ATTGCTGCTCAAGTTCAAAGCCTTGCCAGCGTTCTGTTACCAACATGGTTTGACCCCCCACAACTATGCTAATGACTGCAGCAACCTTCAGTAACTGTACCTCCTGAAAGGCGGCCTCGGTAACTCTCTCTCTCTCTATCCCAATTCCTTTTGGAGAACACTTTGCCGTGTTGTGGCTATTTGCACAGCCAGTAAAATGGGTTGGCTCTGCTGCTTGTTGTTTCTCTGGGTTAATTATTGCTCGCGCCTTGATGTAAAGCACGGTCCGTGCCCAGCCAGCGTCTTCATTTTATTACCAATAAATAGGTTGCCCTCTGCTCTGTGCTACCGGATCCCCATTGTATTACATATTCAAATAAATAAGCAGACATGATGTCTCCTTAACATACCGCCTCTCGACATATCAACCCACCCCCTCCAAAAGTATTTCTGACATACTCTTAGTTTTTTTCGGTAAAGTCACGTAGGTAAAAAATAAATAAATGAAAACAACTCAATTAAACCACGACGTTTCGGGCGCAACACAAGCGTCCGTCTTCAGGTGGGGACAACGCGGCGAAAGCACAACCGCTTAAGTGTGTGACACACCTGAATCCGTGCAGTCACGAAAACTTCAAATCTAGAATTATTCCTGACATAGCCCATCAGTCACATGGCCTTCTCGAAGTGCCTAATTTCAGCAGCGTCGTTTCAAGACGAGCAAGCGATCTGTATCGGTTTTTAAAGCGCAGCGTCTCGTCCGCAGAAGCAGGCTTGCCTGAACGAAATGTTGTTGGATTTGTTAACGACGCTGCGAGTAATCGATTACCGCTGATTCTCTTTGTCGTAAACAACCAACTTGTGGTACCGCTTTGGCAGCGGTGCACAGTCACTAAACGCTAAAACTCGACAACGCTGAACGGGAGTTCGAGGCTTGGTGGTCACCTGGTCTAACAAAGTCTTAGATGAGCAGCCTGCGCGAGGAGGAGGTCGAGAGATAGGGAGAGGAATATATGAGGACGAGAAATATAGGGGTGAGTAATAGAGGTATTTTAAATAGAGGGATGGCAAATAAAGGGATGATAAATAGAGGGATTTTAAATAGAGGGATGAGAAATAGAGGGATGAGAAATAGAGGGGTGTGAAATAGAAGGATGGCAAATAGAGGGATGGCAAATAGAGGGATGGCAAATAAAGGGGTGTGAAATAGAGGGATGATAAATAACGGGAGTGGAATTGGGAAGCGATGGAAGGCCGTAAAGCCCTTTGCCGCATGTAGGTCAATTTGTTTTTCAGGGTTTTTCTGTGTTCCGATGAGCGATAACGCTCCTTTTTCCACAGATGTCCAGTGCGGGCGGACCAGAAAACAACACAGAAACACGACATGAGTGCAAGAGTACAGGAAAGGTAAGCAAATCACGAAAAAAAACCACCCTAATTTTTATTTGACCACGTAAAAACCCACTGAGCTATTAGCTTCTTCTTTTTTTAGAACAGGGGAGATAACATCTCGCCAGCAGCCAGCCAACCCTCCCCGTCGCTGCCGACTCTCGATCCGCTTCCCGTCGCCCTTCAAGCGCCAAAAAGAGCCACTCCGATGACCAGTGGAGAAACGTTTCCGCTTCCAGTCGGAGGGTTACCGCCGTGTGGAAATGAGCGGCAATCCAGCGGAGTTAATGATTGCGGCACATTGTGTAGCCATAACTGGTAGCGCGGTTATTGTTTCTGCAATGCCTGTTGGCCTGTGGACGACTTTGTAATGCGTGTGCACGCTCAAGGTGACGGTCACACGTATCCTGTACGCGACATAGTTGAAGTCTCTTTACAAGGTGTGATTTGGAACCCGATATGCCGTCTCTTTGGACTCTCTCCTGATAAAGGAGTGACTAACTTACCGACTCATATATATTTTATTGCACATACTATGCACACGTGTTAATCATATACGTGTATAGACACACACGCATACCCGAGAATTTTGCATATGGTAAAAATCAACGGGAATACCCCAAATTGCATCAGATCTTGGAAGCTAATTAGCTTTGAACCTGGCTAGTGCTTGGGTGGGCGACCACGATGCACATCAGGTTGTTAGAAGCTCCTACGGGGCTATGCATAGGGCAGTGAAGCTTTATTGTTTTGTTGTTGTTGTACTATACTTCTGGGCTTCCACGTGTTATGCTCCCCGCCTTCACCAACCCACACGGACGCACGCACACATGAGCTCAATCCAAGAAGCATATTCACTTGTATCAATTAGATCTTAGATTGTGCTGCTTGTTGCTGGGCTGCCTGGCGTTTTGGGATTTCGGACCTGTGCTCGGCAACCGTTATAATAGTGGTAACATCCTCGTGCTCGCATTCGAACACACGCGCACTAATTGCATTGATGCAAACTGTAAAGTAAAAAAAAATCCGTTTTTAAAGAAGGTTTTTAAAACCTTACGTAAAAAGGGCAGATCTGGCCAATTGGTATTTGTGCGCTGCGCGGCGAGTTGCATAATGATTAATACGTTTAGGGGTTATGTCCTTTGTGTAAAAATGAGAAGTGTTCTTGGACATGAAGAGATGGAAAGACCAAATATTCCCCAGGCATAGCAGTCGATTGCCCAATTACACCCTTAAAAAAATTAACCCGTAAAAACTAAGTTTTTCACTATAAATCCTTTATATGCGTGGCATCGGTTGTATTTTATTATTCATTTCTGTTTTTCTTGAGTAAGAGTTTCATTTTTATCACATTGGTATTTTAAATTAAATATGAATTTTTTTTTCCTAAAAAGTGGAAAATTTTGGAAAAAAATTTTCACGAAAATAAATTGTCACGCACAACGAGTCTGTGTGCAAAATGTCAGCTCGATTGGATCACGGGAAGTGGGTTAAAAAACGACCGAAAGATTTGCACGGTCGTAAGCGTGCAAGCAAGTAAGCAAGTGAACTTAATATAAAGGATTTAAAAATACATCAAACGTAAATATTTACTTAAAGCTTTCGTGACTGCAGGTTCTTTGAACCTATCTACGTGACTTTACCATAAGACCCAAAGAATATGACATCAAACATGTCACGGACATTGTTCAAAGATCCCCTTCGATAAAATTTCTGAATGTGACCTTTTACTCTGCCTTACCAGATACGTCAACCACATCATACCAACGTTCTTATAACCACCGATTACCACTAAGAATTGCAAACATGACTGGGGCAATACCCCAGGAGTACATTCCAGTCATATATTAACGTGCACAATTAGTTTGCTGTCTGGCATCTGTCGGTGGAAAATTGTTCGTATAGCAACTGTGCCTACGAATGTTAACCCTTGTCAATGCTTCACGTTGTAAAATGATTTATCTATTCATGCCACAATACGCATCTACCCCCCTCCGTTCCTCTGTTCTAAAGGGCCGTTCGTTGACAATTTCGCTTTAATATTGACATTTTCTGCTTTAAGGCCGTGTTTTTCATTAAAGACAAATCAGAACTATAGTAAACTATGGTTGGCTACTTATGGGCCAGAAATAAGTTTATTTCTCCCTACGTGACTTTACCGATAGAACCAAAGAGTGTGTCGAACTATAGTATTTACATCTTGACTTTCAACGCCAGGGCCAATGAGGTTCCTTCAGCATCACCATCATCACCGCTCATTATCAATCTACTGCTGGATGAGGATATTTCTTGTGGTCCTGCAACATAACAATCCATCTGGCACCTGCACGCGAGCTGCAAGATCCGACCGTGTCCGTCCGGTGCTAGCTGAGCTGCGTTGGTTTCAGGTTGCCCAACAAATACATCTCGAGGTCGAACTCATTACACACGAAGTGCTTGCCACAAATGAACCACAATACCTTGCTGATCTCGTCAAAGAGCGTAAAATGTCACGGGAAATCCTTGCAGCAGCGGCTTTGGCTAGCCATCGAACACGGTCACCGCATCATCGCGCGCTTTCAGATGCGCTTCTGCGGCCGTCTGGAATGCTCTTCCTTTCGACATCAGGAAATCCACAGGAGCTATGTACTTTTAAATCTGGATTGAAAAGTAATTTCTTGAGAACTGCTTTTTGTGTTTAGTTTATTGTCCTTGCCCGGCACCTCCGATTAGCACGGTTGGCTACTTATGGTGCGAAAGAAGTTCAACATGCATGAAAGCATCGCTCCATCTCTGTGGTGGTGGTCCTCCACAGGTGCTTTCTCTCCGTTGGCTGCCACTCCGTTATTAGTCTCGACCACTCGGCCCTCACCCCTTCGAGTGACGTTTGCTGCTCAAGCCAACTTACTTTTGTGAATGAAATATATACGGTTATTCACGTGCGTATGTTCTCGAATCCATGTGTTCCTGTCTGTCAGTGGAACTCCAAGCAATGTATCTCCGCCACGTTTTTCTGCACAAGTTGTAAGCTCTTGTTCTACTGTCTTGGTAAACGTTTGTGTCTCTCATCCCTGTAATAGCAGGTGATTTACACTCATGAACTTGTTTCTTCTTTCGGCACATTGCCATACATATTCCCGTGTCTTTCATATATGTAAAAAAAGCCCGATTAAATAAAACGTTTCCCTGATTCAACACAATTTAAACATTAACACGGCACTTTTTTTATACACTGCACGCAAGGGTGAACTGCAGTGGACACGCACAGCGGGTGAACTGCGGCTGTTTTCACACGCATGAACACAATCCAGTTTTTACACAAGCGTTTCCACCGAAACATTACATTTTTAAAGAAACCACACCGACCTCCTTCGCGTTTACCTAATATTTGCAGCCTTTTGAGCAGCAAAATATCGACCTTCAATATGGCTTTTACACGTACAACGGCTAGACATTAACATCGACTAAGACAGTTGTACATTTTACACGCAAAAACAGTTTTAGCTGAGTCGGTTGTGCCAAACCAGCGACTTTCTCTTCGCGTAAAAACAAGGGGTTGTCGGCTGGCGTGAATTACACAGCAACAGAAATGGGGGGGGGATACGATTTTCCGAACATCACAACCGCGCCACCGGCACAAAACGGGATCTTACCGCACAAGACGCTCCACCGTGAACTGCAAGACTGGGCCGTTTAAAGAGTCCAGCACGCAGAGCCTGCGACACGCAGGGAGTGAACCCCTCCGGGTGCCCGAAAAGCGGTCGGGTGCGTCGGCTGCACTCAGAGGCGGGAGCCGCTTTTCTCTCTGCCTCTGCTCCCTCTCTCTCGCTCTCTTTCACTGCAACAAAAAAAAGAATAGCACACTCGCATCGATTGCAAGACACTTAACTTTGGTGGCCAGGGGCGGCGGGGGGGGGTGCGTTGCGTGCAATCTCAAAGGTCGCCACGGAAGGCTTTTATTGCTCAGATATCACGTGCCTCCGTCTGCCAGGCCCTCTCTCTCGCTCTCACGCACGCACACACACACAATTACTTTGCGGAGTAGAATTGTTCCCATCCTGTGTTGTTCGGAGGTAGGGGCACAGCCAACTAAACCACGTGACGTTGTCAGGACACCTTGGAGGGTTTTCTTTTGACACGGTCAAGAGTCATTGACAAAACTTTGGACAGAAATTATCGTATTTTGAGCCTAAATCTGTTTTTTAGATATATAGAGTGGCACCGGTGTTGTCATTTTGTATTCGGCCATTGTACGTCATGTCATAGGCCATTTAAAAAAAAGTTTCATACTAAATGCAACTCGTGCATTCAGTAATGGGCGTTTCATCTTAAATAAAAAGCCAAAGACAAAGTTAGGAAAGCTTATAGTTCAGACGTACCTGAAGTTATTTTTTAGCTCCTCTTGGCAGGAAAAAAGAAATTGCCCATATCTGAATTCTTCAGCTGTGTGCGCTGCTGATGCTATCCGTGTCTCTCATGGGACACAAAATACGTGACCGGTTTTTTGTTTGTTTAATGTCAGGTGCGTCAAATTCGCCAACTCATACCGCCCTCGACCTATGCGTTACTGCTACCCGGCGTGGCACAAGACTTGGCAGTTACTGGCAACAACTCCCGTTGCTCGATCCGGGCACAACTGGCTGCGGCAGCTCGAGACGGATTTCGGTGCCTCGACTGACGGCACTTTGACGTTAATACTCTTAGTTCTTTCGGTAAAGTCACGTAGGTAAAAAAATGAAATAAAAATTAAACAGCTAATCTGGCTGTGACGGTCTCACCTGATGACGGAGACTTGTGTTGCCTCCGAAACGTCGTGATTTTATTGTTTTATTTTTTATTTCATTTTTTTACCTACGTGACTTTACCGAAAGAACTGAGAGTATGAATCCTTGCAGTCACGAAAGCTTCAAATCTAGAACTTTGACGTTTGACGCAGATCAGCCGACGTGGAGGGCCACGAACCCACCCTGCGCTGGTGACGCGTATCAGCGCGTGAGCGAACGTTTTATTTACGTCGGCAATTTTACATGTAAAGTCGATTAGATTTCAACACGGCTTTTTTTCTTTTCTATTTCACGTGAGTCGAAGGAACTCGAGCGACGGCTGGCAGTGTTTTTTTTGTATCGTTGTTGGTGTGTGACGCAGTTGACAAAGCACGGATGGTGAAATCAATAGCGAGCCATTGGGCCAAGTGGGATGCTGAGAGTACTCCACTGCCGCCGTGAGAGTTCCTCGGGCGGATTCCTGTTGCATTCGCTCGGTGCACGTTCAACACCGCACCGGCGTCGTCGCGTTGAGCTTGCACCGCTGGGATCTTGGGAGTTTAAAGCAGGGTTGAAGCCACCTGCCATTAACTCACGTCCTCAAGTGTACCGAGCTGATGGGTCTCCTCAGGGAGGCCACCAATTAACTTGTGTTACAGGGCCATTCTTTGGCACAACGTGGCGCGCGCCGCGATTGATTTTCTCACCTAAAGTCACCTCACTCGAATGTTAGTTGGGTTTTTTTTTTTGGCATGAATAATTATTTACTTTTTTTCTAGCACAGATGCTGAGCACAAGTCGGGCGGTGCAAAGGGCCAATCGGCCAACGAACAAACAGCACAACCGATGGTGTAACAGACACACCGCCCCGCCGAAGCTGAGCAACGCTGGCATACTTTCAGATTATTTTTAGCGCAATAGACGTACCGCTATGAATGAAGATAAGCAGAAGCTTGCGCAGAATTACACTCGGCCGCTTTACCACCACCGCTGCTACAATCATTGGATAGCCTCCCAGTTTCAAGGGGCACTCAGCGTGTCCAGACCGGCTGGAAGGGGAGGGGACTAAAGCTCCGTTAACCGGCGACAACTAAGGGTTGTTAAACATTGTTTTTTTTTGCATTGCCAATTTACCGAATGGAAAAAAATGGTAAAATAAAAATCAGTTACCAGTTTGCCCCCCATACATATAGTACAGTACCGTAAATGTCTGGCCTTAAACTCAACATTGTCACCCGCTTTAACTGTGAAAACGAAGGGAGCTGCTAAATTGGAATGTCGTCCTTCGCTCGCACCTCCCCGTCAGCACGGTTTGGCTACGTACGATGCGAAAAAAATTCAACATACATACAGACATACGTCCATTGGACTCGAAATCTATAATAATGAGCCAGCAATTCCAATCCTCTTATTAAACCACCCGGCTCTTAATATTGTATTCCGAACAGGTGGTGCCAGAAGTCACACTTAAATACGAAAGCGCATCTATAAAAGAGAGTTTGCAACACTGTGTGAATCAGAATATTTATTCATACTGAAGAAATCCGTTGAGCTATAAAGATATTTTTTTACAAATGTTCAGTAGGGGCGGGTCGTCACAACAGCAAACATTGCAAAAACACAACACGAGCGCAAAGTATATGAAAGGTAAATAAATCACTTAAAATATATATAGAGTACAAATAAAACTTTTTTTTTCTTACCAGGTAAAAATTGTTTCGTTGTATTTGTGCGAAGCCGGGTGAACTGATTTTCACTTCCTGCCATGCGGTGAGCGGCGGCGATACCTGAACCAGTCCTGAACGAGTCCTGAACCAGTCCTGAACCAGTCCTGCGCACTCCGCCCGCCCGCCGTTTGACAGCCGACACTAACCAGTGTATGGGCACGATTTTTTTACACGGATTATACTTTTTGGTGAAACCAAAGCCTCGATGTTGAAAAGTATAAAGAAGGAAGCTGCTGAATCTTGATTTGAAGCTTTCGTGACTGCATGAATCCACACTCTTTGGCTCTTTCGGTAAAGTCACGTAGGTATAAAATAAAATAAATCACGACGTTTCGTCCATCATCAGATGGGAAAGCATGATCTGCTGCTGACCATGCTTTCCCACCTGATGATGGACGCTTGTGTTGCGCCCGAAACGTCGTGAATTATTTTATTTTATACCTACGTGACTTTACCGAAAGAACCAAAGCGTAAGGTACTGCTGGTTACGCAGAGGAGTACTCTTCATCTTCAGCATGGGCAATGCCATGGATCTGTACGAAATGTTCACTTTATTTCACATAGGTACGTAGCCGACCTTGCCACACCTGTCAACCCCTACCTTATTACACTTCAATTCAGACCGTATTGGTCACCCCGTGCCCTTTAAATCTCAACGTTCATCGTAGAAAATCCCATCACATGGAGAAACACAGACAAAACATTTGTTTTGCCCGCATTGAAACGGCTGAACGCCGTGTGGACCTGAAAACTCAATTTTCCTGTACAAGAGCACGAGGTATAAACCGTGATGGGTTCACACGGTATGCCGTGCTACCCTCTCCGGGCTGCTGTACGTGACATTTCCCCACTGAACCGAGTACGAAACCTGTTCTTGCTATTTGCATATCAAGTGCAGCTTGTGATCACCTGACAAAGGCACCCTCCTGGCCAGCCAATAACAAACGCTTCGTCACTCCAGGCAGAACCCCTTAAAGGTTGCTGATAACCCTCCGAGTCAGAGTACACAAAGGTCGTGAAAGGCAAGGTCACTTATGTTGAACCTCTTTCGTGCAGTACGTAGCCAATTATGCTAAGCCGAGGTGACTTAGCTCGGCTTAAAAGGAACCTACCCATAATCAGTTACCTAATATTCACACATATTCTCAACATGGCATCGAGTTAATGGTACCAACAGTGACACATTCATTTAGAAGCACATCTTAACAATTCGGGTTTGTACTTCATGAGACATAAGCCCAGCTACGAGTGTCGAATATGCCCATTCGCAGCAGTGAATCACAACACGATTCAATTGCCCTGCAGCTCAAGATTCATCTGGTGGTTGTTTAAGGTATTAGACCACTGATGGGTCTATCATGAAGGGTAAGTCCAGGTTGTATGTTGTCAACCGCTAATTTGTTTCCGCCAACAGATGCTTGACCGCTTCAGTGTGAACTGGAGAGTAAACAAACACGACAGCATATTGCACACGTTACTGATATTCTCCGATTGTATGGTTGCGATATTATTAACGAATGATGCAAAGTAAAAAAGGTAAATATAATTAACTAACTTAATTCCCTGCAGGCAGTGGCGTAGGAACATTATCAGTGGCGTAGTAATCACATTATCAGTGGCGTAGTAACTACATCATCAGTGGCGTAGTAACTACATTATCAGTGGCGTAGTAATTACATTATCAGTGGCGTAGTAACTACATCATCAGTGGCGTAGTAACTACATCATCAGTGGCGTAGTAACTACATCATCAGTGGCGTAGTAACTACATCATCAGTGGCGTAGAAACGTCACTATCAGTGGCGTTGTAACTACATTATCAGCTCAGGGGGAGTGGCAATCTGGCAGGTGGGACCCCAATATTTGATTTGCCTCGCACGCACGTACCTCGACGCTATTACATATCGCGGCTCCTCTGACCTAATCACACCGTCGTTGCGCTCACGGTCTCGAACACTTAACGCTGTTGGGGCGCTCCGTCTACGCAAAATTCAGCCACGACAGCTCCGTAGTTGCATTATTACAGTACTGCTGTCAATAGGAATTAAACGTGGAAAGTAAATGAAAGCCTTTTCGTATTTATTGTTTTTAATTAAACCGCGTTATACACAAGTTTCAGTTATTTTACAATGTTGTTGAAAAGATAGTGGTGGTTGTCAAGGGGGCCCAACTTGTAGTTTTGACCACGGGGGGTGGGGGGAGGATTGGGGGCAAGGCCCCCCTTTCCCCGCGTTCTGAAAATAAATGAATAACTCGGTGGGTTTTGCCTGGTAGGCTGGGGATGGTGTAGTTTAATTTGCATGTTTTTGAGTGATGCGTCTAACTTTGTTGCACTTTGCACTCCTATCGTGATGTTTTGTAGCGTTTGTAGCTGGAACGTTCTTACCCTCCCCGACGGGACATCGGTGAAAAAAAGCTTCATAGCTAATCGGATTCCTCCCGTATACACACGCGTTTCTGATTCTGAATTACGCTGCTGCCAGCATGGGGACTGTGCTCGCTTGAGCAGGGCAAGAGGGTGCCCGGGGTCGTCGATGCGAGATAGCTTCGTGCTTACCCAGACGCGGGTGGCCGCTGTGGAACTTTGCACCCCTTTCTCGGATTGAGGATTAAGAAATGGCATGCCAACACGGGAGTCCATAGAGTACTACTGTAACTCGCAAACAAAAGCCAACGGGAAACCGACACGAAATCGAGCGTCAGAAAGCCACGGGGTGCACACGGTGGTGAAAACTACCGCTCTCTGTTATGAATAGGATACTGTAAAAACTAATCACATTCGTTTATTGATCATACAATGTTCATGCAAATCAACGAGGCAGGGTTTTCTAAACTTCAATCCTCGGAACTCACCACGCTGGGGGCCGTCCATAAATGACGTCACGCGATTTTGGACGATTTTTTACCCCCCCCCCCCCTTCAAATATGACGTCACAAAGCTCTGCCCCCCCTCACCCAAAAAAATTCAAACATGCTTCAAATCGCTTTAAACTATTGTCATTATAGTGCGTATTTAATGTGGCGCTGCACTCTGATGTTGTAGGAGAAACATTTATTAAAAAGTCTATTTCATTAAGTAGAACGTGTTGTCTATATTTATTTAAAGTTGCGCATTTTGACGTGACGTCACATTTCTAACCCCCCCCCCCCTCGTCACACATCGTCACAAATGTCAGACCCCCCCCCCCCTAGGTGCGTGACGTCATTTATGGACGGCCCCCTACGTCTCTCCGCGTTTATCAATTTACTCCATTCAAATAACAGGAACTCGTTGCACGCTGCACGCGCCCGATGATTGTTAAACACGTCCCACGTGACGCGCTAAGCAATGAACGCCGTCTGCTTCACCTGGAACACGTGCCCACACACGCGTGTGTAACAAGTGCACACGCACGCACGCCGAGATCTCGATCTTCATTTGCATCAGCTCGATTCACGCGGGCAGCGTTAATTGCGTAGTGTATTGTTAATTTGTATTGGAGAAATTGGTAAACGTGGAAAGACGGCGGGTGGAGGGTCACGAAACCTGAATGTTGGTAAAACCTACAATAAAGACAGAGGTTAAGGTAATGTTATGATCTAAATGCATCATCAAATTATTGAAGTAATCACTTTAAATGTTGGTTAGTTTATTACAGCCAGTGTCATCGTCAGTCATGCTCAATCCACTGCTTGAAGACCATCCTTTCCGGTTTTGCGACACAATCCATCTTGCTGTTCTCAAACTATTGTCATTGTAGTGCGTATCATCCTCTAAGGCAGCGATTCCCAATCTTCCCTGGATCCGTCGAACAAAGTCGACGCTCAAAACAATGTACCAATAAAATATTTTTCTAAATGCAAAACTGCTCTCTCAGTATCTGCAACAGTTATATGGATCACTTCCTAGTCTTACGTACGGTGCAGAAGTTCAACAAATCTACACATTGCTTTATGGCGTTTTCACTCCTTCGACTGCCATTCCATCACTAACCTTAGTCAATTTGAATTTTCAGAAAGCATCTTCTGTCACCGTGAATAGTCATCGCGAAAGTGCATCTCCGTGCCCGACTCCTTGCTTCATTTATATGTAGTTTTCTTCTGGAAATCTGCGTAGCTGTCCCATAATCATAAATGGTTTCGACAATGTCTAATACTTGTGAAAGATCGGATGACATGTTTTCACCGATTAGTCTACCAAACCAGGTAATATATTTAAAAAAATATCTTTTCTTTTATACTATTTCTGTGGTCAATGGTCGAAAAATCCTTTTCTAATTCCTGCCTGCTCATGTGGTTGGTATCTAAATTGTCCATTATTACGTTCCATTTGATGTTCGTGAAGAATCTATATACATATGTGTGCGATAGGCGAGTAATGCATTTAATTCTTATAATCAGTTTTATCGTCATTTTTTATAGAATGGAGCCTCTTCCATGATTCAGGTTTATAATCTTGAGTATTAAGTTCGTATAAAACTCCACTAATTTAGTTTAAATAGCTGGGCCAGCTTTTCTGACAATTCCAGTGATACTGTTTCTTTGAAGCTATGCATAGCTATACACGCTGGTCTGGGAGATTTCAGTGTTTATTAACACCCTGCAAAGTGCAGAGTTTATATTGTTTAATGTGACACCTTAAACCTCACACTGGGATTTTCCCAGTTTCCCCAACGACATTTGTTTAGACACCGAACCTTGGACGATCTTCAATGCAATATAAACGGCGATACTGTAGGTGGCCTGACAAATCGGTGCCAATGGATGCCCTGATGTAAGTCCAAAGTTGTTACCAGTTCAACTTTGGACTGATTAAACAAACAAAACTGGGATTAATCTGGGTGGCTCATGAGATTATGAATTGTAATTTCCTATGTGCACTATAACACACCCTTTAACTGCTATTTTGCGATATAAATTGGGATGTTTAATATATTTATCCAGAATTGTAAACTTGGACGTGCATGGAAAATAAACATTACTGCAAACCAATTAATTTTGGACAATGTCCAGAGAACAATTAGCTTCCTTTAACATTAACACGTGTAATATTAACAAACAGGTAGAAAAACATATGCATGTTCGGCTTCATTTTTTTTATAACACAGCTATGTAATAGTGGAAACAATCTGACAATTATATAGACATATGCTTTATTATTACAAGTGGAGATGGCACGTTTACTCATTGCAAATGCACACCAGCATGGCAAACACCATATGAATAGAGAAGATGTAAAAATAACTTCAATCATTGAATCTCTGAAACACTGAATAATATGTACACAGCTCACCCCTATTTAACAGATTTACAGTAGACATAGTAGACACCTCCAACTGTCAGCATGGCTGGGATGCAGGATTTTTGTTTTCTTCCATTCAGCCGAGTGTGTTGGCCCTGTTGTAGAAAAAAAGAACACAATTAAATAGGATATAAGAATGTAAAGTGAAATAAAAAAAGTAGCAGTTCAGAGCATCAGCAAAAACAAATGCTCCGAAATTAATTTACTTAAAATATGTCCAGCTTTAACTCAGGTATCAGTCCATTTTAATCATCTGACTAGAAAAAAAAAAACAAGGACGTACCAATTAACTGATTATAACCAACTCTCATGTTTGCAAGACAATTGTATTAGACGATGCAATACACACTAATGCGTGTATAAAGATTAACATTTTTTCAGTTTATGCAATTGTGCATGTACAGTTAATGTGTTTCTAGTTAATGCATACTGTATGCGATTCGTTCATGAAAACCTACAGGTTCATGGCAATATTTCCGGTGGATTAGACTTAAAGCACACCAAAAACACATTCCTGCGGAGGGAGCTGGTAGGAACGTTGGGTTGCTCGGTCAATGGCCAGGGTCAACGGCGGCGTGGTGTATTCCGCAAATATGGCCGACTGTGAGGGCGGGCACAAGCCGGCGTGAGTAGGTTAAACGTTGAGTTCTATAAGGGCACCACGGGGTGACCAGCCCCTCCCCTCCCCACCCAGCCCCACCCCTCCCACCCCCCACCCTCCCCACCCAGCCCCTCCCCACCCAGCCCTCCACTCTCCACCCAGCCCCACCCATCCCATTATTGGATGCACGACGGACGGACACAATAATCCCCTGTGGGCTGGTGGAACCAGGTGGCTCCTACCAGTATAATTGTTTCTCAATTCGAATTTTAAGCCAGAATTGTCGAGGGAGTAACTTGCGGCATGCCTCTTAGCAAGGAACCTATTTTGACTTGAAATTTAAACATACACATGTTATGCATTGCATACGTCATCGGCTGATTTCAGTGGGTACCTCTACCCACTGAATAGAAAGACCCTTTGCAGTGGCAAGAGCACCATGTGAAAAGCTCACAAACGTTCTCACAATTGCCATTGACTAATCTGTTTTTAGGGTTGGATGTTCCTTGACTCAAACAGCTCATATCGTAAGGATACACACACACAGGTTGTGTGTGCTGGGTTATCTAAACCAAGTCTGAAAGTCCACCAATGAAGAAAATCACTCAAATTGACACGACAGTAACACTACACTCCAGTACCGATATATGAAAATGTACTGCAGCATCTCAGTCTCAGAAATGGCATTAATTATTATACTTTACATATTAATTGGTTACCAGGATGAGACCATCAACACACTGGACTTGACGATGCAATTTAATCATGGTTGGCTGAAACGTTGACTCCGGGACCTTGGCGGTGCTAGCTTAGCGTTCTGAACTAGAGCCGGCACAATTGGTTGATTAATCAACGAAAAATTGTGATCAACTACCTTATTGTGGGAAATTACTCAGGCCAAATGACACCCTTGCAAAGGCAGGAAACCACTTGAAGCCCTGCCCACCACATCATATCCAACAACGCACGCGGGAACAGACTTTTGTCCCAAACAATTAAATGTCATATAATAAGTCAAGTAATTGAACAGACAATCGAGTAATCGATTACTTTATGAATTGGACATCCCAGCTCTATGCTGAACCCCGAGCCCTCTGGGCGAACTCCCTTCCTCGTACTCCACAAGTTAAAAACCAATATAAGCTTATTTTTACCAGGTAAGGCCCACTGACCTCTCTAGCTTTTTTTCAGAAGCGACATGGCCACAAATGATAGGTGACTGAAGTGGCTTATCGTGTAGGAATTAATAACAGCCAAATATTCTAAATGGAGAAAAAAAATCTACGCGGGGAGAAATATACAGGTGTCAGGGTGGGGATGGAACCCACGTCCTCCTGTACACCAAGCGAGGTAGCTAACGTCTCCCGTCTAGCGAGTATCGACTCCGCACGGGGCGCAACCTTGCAAATGTGCCGATGGCGACGATGCTCAGGATGAGCTCAGCACCGTGCAGCGCGAGGAGGATTCCGTTGATGATGACCTCGACGCGCAGAACGTACGTCTGCAACAGCAGCAGGTAGACGGAGAGCACCACGGCGGGCACTGTGAGCCCCACGCCCACGCTCAGAGGAACATTCCGCTCCGTCAAGTTCCCCTTGCTGCCTACCAGGTGCGACACGCAAGACAAACGCGTTTCGTTCGCTAATACGATGTTGTTGCTGCGCTTGTACGCCCCCATGTCTACGAGGCAGCCCACCTTAACCAACTCGTACTGACCAGCATGAAGTATGGTCAGATAACCCCAATGACACGCACAGCCTGGGGAGACCCTCAACTAGCAATCAAATTGAAAGGGCTGTAGGTGCACATTATGTGCAAGAACTATATAATGTTTATACCAACATTTCATATGTATACGTAACACAAACACGCCACTTAAGGTATATTATTATGTTGTAACATTAACCTGCTGAGCTCAAAGGGAGGGTTTAAAGGGAAAGATTTGCTCACAGAAGAAGATGCGGAAAATCTCGATAAGTGTGAGCACAAAGAGCAGGATGATGTCGAGGGCCAGGTTGGAAGAGGGGTAGGGCAGCACTTGACCTGCAGATGACAGCACATGACCTCGAAGTCAGTGTTACTAGACTCCAGTTCTTGCAAGTAGAAACAGAACTCAGGTTTGCCAGGTTCACAGCATAGTATACGAAACGTTACTACTCTCCATACCTACATACACACTCGTATAGAGTACATACACCGATATCAGTACTTTGTGATGAGAATGTTGGCATCAAAACGGCAATTAATGGGATTCAAGCAACATGCCCAACAAACACCTGATTAGTGACCCCACCACCCCACTGCCTGGCTTTCATCTTCCATGGAAACAATAGGCAATGCTTAACCAGACTGTCTAAAACCAGACAATGAAGACACCTAATGCACAAGTGGAAACATAAGAGTCTCCTGTTTGTAAGTGCTAATAAAAAACCATGGATCATATAACTTCACACTGCCCGAAATATAATTTTAAAGGTGGTGTATGTGCAATTCACCAACTGTCAAAACAAATGAACGGCTAGATCAATTTGAACTGAATCTTGAATAGTTGCTCATTGGTCACATAAAATCTAAGTACAGTATGATGTACTCATAAACACATCTTATACACAGCTCCAAGGAAAAAACACATTTACGATTTGATGCAATATATATTATTCTATGTTATAAATTTGAATAAAAGTGACAGGCCTTACCTTTGTAAATAAAAATCAATGCCTCTGCGATGAAAAAAAAGCCAAGATACCAGCCATTCAAAAAGAGTAAAAATTGCAAGGGTACTGAAGAAAGCTGGAGTGTTTCAATTAAGGAAATTTACAATTCATATTAAAAGAAAACAAAGTCAAAGGCGCAATCGGAAGTTAGAACTGACGGTACAAATTCTGAAAAAAAATCACCACGTTAATCATTAACACTGCCATATAACAGTAAAATACCCAAATGATGACTTGGGAAAATAACTGCCCTCTTATCATTACTTTGCATGCAATCGCTTGTATTTATGATTGGAAAATATATCTCAACAAATTACGAGTTCTAAATAGGATCTAATTAAACACAGCATTCATATATAATTAATTTGCAACATTTAATATTTTACTGTAGAATATTCTTAAAATGTTTAATCACTGCCACGTGTATATTGTGTTTAGCGTGCTCATCATCTGACATCAAAGGATACGATCATATTCGCTCTCCCTGAAAGAAAAAGATAAAATTGTATTGGTTAATCATTCACCATATCCATAGCTATTAAAGCAAAGAAATCAGATATTTGCAGCAGTCTTCATACCAACTTATGTTATTGGTTAGACATTCACCATATCCATAGTTATTAAAGCAAAGGAGTGAGATATTTGCAAAGTCTTCATACCAATATATATCCCTTTGGCAATCCACTTCTGGATGAAGGCCTATACATTATGTGTCTGTCATGAAGATTGTTTGACCATACTTGACCACACTGGTCAGAGTGGGTTGGTGAATGGGATTCCCCCTGGACCGGTTCAGAGATCACTCACCACTGTTATTAGCAGTGGCTGGGGGTCAAACTTCGGTCGCCAGGGTCAGAGTGCAGTGCACTAACCACTGCACCACCACTCTAACCACTGCACCACCACTCTAACCACTGCACCACCACTCTTAACCACTGCACCACCACTTTCAGTTTTCAGTTTATTTGGTATAGCCCTGTGAGCCATTCGGCTCTTGAATCGGGTGCAACCACAACAAAACAAAAACATGAACAAGAAAACATCTCAAAGTGACTACGCGCAAACAGAAAAATCCAAGAAAAAACTGCAAAGTCTTCCATAAAAAGCACCGTACACCAACGCTGTGTGCAAAAATCCCAGTGGGATGCAAGTCAAACAACAACAACCACAAGACAATTTAGATTAAAGCCATCAGTCTGACTCCGTACTACAACAAACAAAACATGGCCAAACCAAAAAACTTTTCGAAATCACCAAAAAAAGACATAAGCAATGTAACTTAACCGTCAACAACCAGGTTAAATATAACGAAATGACTATTGGACAGTTAATAGGGCTAATATAGATAAGTCTGTGAGACATTGGGCTCATGATCACATTAGCGGACATAACATCCTGGTTACTGTCAACTGAGCACACCATCACCGCCATAACTTTAATCACCAGCGGACAGACTGCGCCACGCAGTGGACAGACAAGAGTTGAAATGTTTTATCGTTTCGTCACTGACAACCAAACAAGGACTATCACAACCATTGTTGGTTCAAGTGAACAGTTATTATGGGTATACCCGCCCCTGCCATAATACCGTGGAATTTCCATCACCGACGAATGATTTGATCGAGATGAGTATCGCTTAGCCCCCATTAGAGGGGTATTATCAGGCATGATCAATCCACTGCTGGGTGTGTTGATCGCACAGATGCATCGACATCGACTTAAGTTTTCAACCTTACTTTTTACGGTTCCTACTTTTGAACACGTGTATTACATTTAGCAACAATTTCATCATCGGCAGCCGTGGTCAATCCACTGCTGGATGAAGGCCCTCCCTAAGCCGCCGATATGTGGCCACCAACATTAACCCTACGTGACTTTACCTACGTGACTTTACCGAAAAAACCTAAGAATATGAATCATTGCAGTCACGAAAGCTTCAAATCTAGAATTAACCCATTTCGTCGCTCCGTCTCCACGGTGGTAACCGTCTCGAGCGAGTTACAGTACATCCCTCTGTGTGTCCACTGCCTGGCTGGTTGTCTGACAATGAACTTTAGATATAGTTTATACATCCCAGATTCAGTCGTAAACCCAAGATTCAGCTATACATTTCAGATTCAGCTATAAATCCCAAATTTAGCTATACATCCCAAATTAAATTATACACCCCACATTCAGTTATACATCCCAAATACAGTTATCCAACCCAATTCAGTTCTACATCCCAAATTCAGTTCTACATCCCACATTCAGCTATACATCCCAGACCCACAATAAGTCTTAATCGAGAGGCTGTACACAGTCACACAAGAACTGCTTTAGAAGCAACCATGCATGGAATACAGACAGCTTAACTACGCCATCAAGTTCTTACTCGTTTAACTAACTCGGTTGATTCGTAACAAAACGTTTAATATTTTCTAACATTCTCTTTGGGTCTTTCGGTAAAGTCACGTAGATATAAAAATAAATAATAAATATTAAAATAATAACAAATCACGACGTTTCGATCGCAACACAAGCAATCGTCTTCAGGTGAAAACATACAGCAGGCGGACTGCTGAGGCAGGAATAAATATTAAATGTTATAACATTTGTCTAACATTGTCGCTTTATTAATTCTAAACGCGACACCGCCGCGTTGCCATAGCGACGGAGAAGCTGCTCACCCCTCGCGGCCATGTTGCTCCTCCCAGAGTTCCTCGTGGCAGCGATCGCATCACGTGACCGTGACTCACTTCCGCCCCTGGGCAACGGGGGGAGAATCGAATAGTCGATTACTGACAACACGATTCCCTTGAGCCGTGGATCGATTGCAGCACAGTAACTGGAGTTTTAAGTTAATTTTATTTAGCCCAAAAGTGAGAACCTCAAGAGGTCAGATTAGTCACATGGGGTACCAAAATTAGAAGAAGAAAATAAACAATTAGCACAAGCGCGTTTCATAAAGAAATTCGAAAAGAGGATACATTAAATTATTTATTAAAATATATTCCAGTAAATAAAAGTTGCTTCAGACAAATGACTCAATGTTAGACCACAGCAATTTCTCAGCAATATAAGTCTAAGAGCCCTCCCCCCCCTCGCTCAATCACCGTAGTCTCCATGTTAAAAGACGTACCCCGAAATTTTGCGGCGGTGGCAAGACAAAGCGCTTTACAGCTAATCGGATTCTGATTATACACATCCGATCTGATCATAAACACTCGCCTATCGGATTATGAGACGCACCCCTTGACGTTTGCTTTAGGGTGAGAAAAAAATATCGTAAACCCCATCATCACCGTCGACTCGTTGATTCAATTCGAGTTACATTTTACAAGAAACCGACTATCAGAACCGTTGAATCCAGATCGATTCGATTCCCCTTTACACATTGACGTGTAGGAATCGATTCGTCTTTTCCTTGTCTCGCACGTTGAATCGAACATATTTTAATCGATTTGCTTCCAAGCCGAATCGATTCTTCTGCCCCGTCCATCAGTCTCGGGTCATATTCGCGTTAACGTCGCTCTAGAATTTGTTCTCTTAAAGTTGTCATCTTTAAGTTGTAAGGACGTTAACGGTGCCAACATCTCTCTCGCCATGGCCCTGAGACAGACTCCCTTGACCTGCAGCGGCCACACGAGGCCGGTCGTGGACCTGGCGTTCAGTACCATCACCCCGTACGGCTACTTCATGATCAGCGCCTGCAAAGGTGCGAGGCCGCCCGCGGGAGGCGCTAGGACAGGCCGTAGGCTCTATCGTGGAGCTAGGCCGCGGCGTGGCCATGTGTGCAAGTGAGGGGAATGAATGGTGGTGGATACTCGTGTAATAAGGTTAGAATGGTGTGGTTGTATTGACGACAGTGGTGTTACTTTGTTAAATATACTGTGGTTTGAATGTGTAGAGGGTTTTTATGGTAAGAGTATAGAATACACTTTGGTTTTAAACTATAAAATGTACAGGATATAGGCCATTAATGGTAAGATTGTTTGACATTTACAGTGGTGCAAATATATAATTATATCGTTTGTAGTGTTCATTTATAGGGGATGTATTGATGTGATTGTATCGAATATATTAGTATGAATATAACATCTTCAGTGGGGTGTCTGTGTGACTTTAGAAATTAGTGAGAATATCAACAATTTACAGTGATGTGAAATGTATTAAATTAGTGATGTGTGTGGAATCTATGGAATAGAGTGGTGTGAATTTATAGACTAGTGATGTGAATCTTTATCGTGATGTGAATCTGTAGAGTGCAATGGGATGCGACTGGAGTAGTGTTTATTTATAGTACTGTGATGTTAATCTGTAAAATCCAGTGCTGTGAAAAAGGAGGGATCTATATTCTTGGTTCTTTCGGTAAAGTCACGTAGAAGGGAAATAATAAAATAATAAAAATATTAAACAATAACATTCTCACGACGTTTCGTCTGCAACACAAGCAATCATCAGGTGTGAAATTCACAGCGAGAATTTTATATATTTTTTATTTTATTATTTCCCTTCTACGTGACTTTACCGAAAGAACCAAGAATATTAATCCCTGCAGTCACGAAAGCTTTAAATCAAGTAGGGATCTGTTGACTATGTGGTGTTACACCACTTACATGCTATGTTAAGTCACGTACTATAACGCCAACATTTAAAATCCATTATAACGACTGGGCGAATTCGGATCTATGAATATCACATTACAGATAATTATTTGCAGATGAAGCAAGTATTTTCAAGTCTGTTTTGCATTGCAGACAAAACCTCTGGTGTTTTTCGTGAATGTGTGTGTTCTTGAATCTTACAGCAAGGAACCGAGCCAGGAAGATGAATGTCGCTAAAACCTGTAACATTAACTACCTTGATTATTGTTTTTTTACCCTTCTATCTGGCAACAAAACTGACACCTTTTTACAAGGAGTCATGTTTGCATAGACCACAATACCTGCAGTCATAATGCAAACAAAAAACAAGACTCTGATAATGTGCACTGTCCTTGAAGTTGATTGGTCCACACCCGAGACAGCTTTCCTTAGAGCCTAGTCTCACATGGGTTGGACCAGATGACGCCAAAAGGCGCACAACCAATTATCATATTTTACTGGCAAATGAGGTTCCAATGGTGTAAATTAACTACCTTTGTGATTTTGCCGACTTTGTACGTAGACGGGAAACCAATGCTGAGGCAGGGAGACACGGGAGACTGGGTCGGCACCTTCCTGGGCCACAAAGGAGCGGTGTGGGGTGCCACACTCAACCGCGATGCCACCAAAGCCGCCACCGCTGCCGCGGATTTCACCGCGTAAGGGTCTTGTAATGTCATTGTTGTCGCCCCAGTGGCTGACATTTGTTGCAGTAGCTTCACGCGACCGATGGATTTATTTTGTTGAACTCGGCAAACGTTTGGCTCCCTTGAGCGAGTCAGTATTCGTAGGACGTGTGACAAAAAGAGCTTGCCTTGCCTCTCGGCCATCATGAAGAAGTAAAGTGGCGTGTTCGTTGGCTTTGAACACCTCCGTTGGCACCGTGTAATTGTATTTTAAAGTGCAATATGCATCTTAATGCCTCCATATCAATTATTGCTTACAGTGATGAGTTACAAGGCCAGCATGCTGTTAATGTGTAAGAACACATAGTTTGGCGATATTACAAAAAATGTGAATGAAATAACTTCTTTAAAAGTTTTGACAATTGGAATACGGTATTAGAAGTTAGGCTATTTTTGACGTAACTTCCTTTTGGAAAACTCAACGTAATAATGAAACGCCACATCATTTGCCTAAAGAAGCGAAGATTTAATCGTTTCATATTACCCACTGTATATGTAAAAAGCACATATTAATACTGCATGGATGGTGTCGGATACAAAATGGTAAATTCCACGTTGATGAACGCTTTGAACGGACACATTGAGACTCGAGTGTGAAATCTCAACCTCTCCACCTTTTCTTCTTGTCCGCAGTAAAGTGTGGGACGCCATATCCGGTGACGAGGTTGTCAGCTTCACACACAAGCACATCGTTAAAACTGTCGACTTCACCGAGGTAATGGTGTAATTCTCACTGCAGCATATTTAACGTCTCTACAGCTTGTTATTCGATGAATTATTAAATTAATGTTTTCTACTTTGGTGCGTTGTAGTGCCTGTAGTTGCTGCAGCGGTCACGCAGCATGCAGGAATAAAAAAAAATTGTCATGCACACAATTCTATGCATGAATCGCGTGCATTTTATTCAATGCATCATTATACTTTTATTGAGAAACAGATCGTAAGTACACGATGTGTTTATTTTTACTAGAAATCGTCCCCACAACACTAGAAAGTAGGGGTGTAAAGTTTCGTCGAGTTGAGTACATTTGAAGGCTTGGGTACATGTATTAAATCACACGTATAATATTTGATGTGTTTCGATTTAAAGCTTTATTTAGTTTTTTACGTGGTGGTTTGGGCTGCTGCAGCTCCTTACTATTAAAATTCCTTCCCTTTATTACTGCTAACCCTACTTCCTCCCTTTGTTGCTGCTAATCCTACATAATGCACGGGCATAATGACTTTAAGACCCCCCCCCCCCACCTCCTACGCATTCCACAAGTAGTGACTAATCCCATATCTGCATTTCCCATAAATATGCTAAATTCCTCTGTTGATATGCCAATTTATTTGTCAAGGCGCCTTTCCTCCTCTAACCCAGCTTAAATATACGCTGCCAAGCTTGGTGGTGTTCATTCAGACGCTGTCTTTCCGACAGACCTGTTCTTCCCTTGAGTACGGCTTCTTGCGTTGTGGCCAAAACGGCATGAGAATTGTATTTTGTTATGTTTTATTTTTATAATTTTATTATTTCCCTTCTACGTGACTTTACCGAAAGAACCAAGAAGATTTGATGTGTTGCGATAGATCACATGCATAGGATAGGATGCTGCTTTAGTAAATAATATAAAAAGTAATGCAGCAAATTTTCAACAATGCGGATGTGATGGTAAAATCAAGCAATGGAGTGACATTACTGTAGTAATAATGCAGTAAAGTCCAGAGGCTGTGCTTGATTTAAGGTGCAGGCACACACACCTGTGCTGAACCCGATGGGGTGTTTCCTTGCAGGACAGTGTCCACTTGCTCACAGGAGGACAGGACAAGATGCTGAGGATCTATGATTTGGAGAAAACAGACGCAGGTGGGATTGCACACCCAGCTGTGTTGGAAAGCATTGATCTTACATGCAAAGAGGTTACGATGTTGTATTAAACACATTTAATTTCTTAAACCAATATGCCTCCTCACCACCAGAAATGGTCTGCACATCTTTCAGCTGGGGGTTTCAGATAAAAATATAAAACGTTCCAAGACACTACACAGCTCATGCACTAGAAGTGGTCAATATACCAAACTACTTTGGAGTGCAGCAAAATACATTTTCTGTACTTCTAAGCTCCCACATCTATGCCCCCTTCACTTTCAAATAACCTCTAGGACCCACCACGCTGCATGGGAAGAAGCTTGTCATCCAGCAGTGGATTGACAAAAGAGCTATACATAGTAACATGTTTTCACGTGGGCTTGAATAAGTAGTCAATTATTATGACCATTACAGCACCATTGTGAACTTAATTTAGACTGAAACTGAGAATGCACTTGATTGAAAGTGGCACAATTTACAGGTGTTATTGACCATAGGTGCGACGGGACTGTCTTGTGTTGGTTCAGAGCCCCAGTTGCTGAGCGGTCACACGTCGGGCATCAGGCGCACCGCGTGGTGCACGGGGGAGAAGCTCATCATCTCTGTCGCCGACGACAAAACCATCCGGTGAGAACGAAACCTCCAGTGAAGTGCCAATGCATTTCCTACGTGACATGCAGTTCACCCTTGCATGCAACTCCAGATTCGAAGATAACACCTGGCATGATGTCTTTGGTTCACTAAACCGAGGGGGGGGGTTATGAATAGTTGTATGCATGATGTACATGTCTTTTTTTGAAAAGAAACAGGCTATTTTACAGTGGCACGCACCATCGATACATCATCCACATCGCACTACTGATGCATATTCACCCAAAACTGCATTCGACCATGTTTATAAAATGGGCTTAAAGTCAATAAACCACAGCTATTTGTACAGTCACTGCTGAACGAAGGCCTCTTCATACCATGTTACTCTATGCTGGTCAGTGTGGGTTGGTGAAGTCTCCCCCAGAACCAGTTGAAGTATAACTTACCATTCTTGTCCGGGAATCGGAACTCGGTTTGAAGTGTTCATAGTGCAGTGCATGAACCATTTTGCAGGGTCATATTCATGTTTAAAAGCACTTAAAAGACACATCTTTGAAGCCTGACTTAAAACCACACTTAGCTCGACTTAACCAAACAGTGTGTGCAACATATCCTGGTGTATTCTTCTGTTTACAATGACATCAGGCTGAAAGGTAATCGGCGTGTGAACCTCTTTCCAGGCTGTGGGACCGAGCCACGGGCACGGAGGTAAAGTCTGTGACACTGCCCATGTCGGCAAGCAGCATGGAGTACCTCCCAAACGATGAGATTGTGGTGGTAACCTACTCACGCACCATCGCCTTCTACAATGCGCTCACGTAAGGGTTCCACATCCCGCCAACGTCTGCGTGTTGTTTTTGGCTTGTGTTTGCATACACTTTCTTGCTTTGACTTTTGCTCAACAGCAAGCAGTTTGTAAAAAAATTGTACCTTCATTTGATTCTTCCAGCTTGGAACTGATCAAGCAATTCGAGGCTTCGGCGTCAATAAATTCAGCTTCGCTTCATCCGGAAAAGGAGTGCTTCATAGCCGGCGGAGAAGATTTCAAGTTGTACAAGTTTGATTACACCACTGGAGAGGAACTCGGTAGGTGATTGTCAGTTCAGTTGCATCAGTTGAGTTGATTCCGCATCATATAGCCCTCCTGTATACATCGCAATTGGCCTAATAATATGGATAGGCGTGGTCTTAAGGGGTATGCAGTCAGGGGCAGTTACCCAGGGTACAAAGCTGTTGGGGGCACAGGGAATATGACATTTGCCATGCCAAGGCCTGTCCTGTACACATTTGTTTTATTTACAAGGGATGTTCAGATTGTCAAGTGACGATGTACTTTGAGTCACAGAGCAAGACTAAAAAATAACTGGTTTACCTCCTGTATGAGCTTCACCACTGTGGTAGTGTAGGTGACTGTTGATGTTGGTGGTTAAGCACCTCGCTATGAACATAAGCAACCCCGGTTTTATTCCCGACCATGGCTAACATTAGTACCAAGTGATATCTGAACCAATCCAGGGCCTACCCTAGTTCACCTGCAGGCTTAAATTATTACCTGCTGCTGTGTATAAATAACCATTTGGGTGATAAATGCAGCCGGGTGTGACGCTGGTCAAACCACCCCCTCCTGCATCATTAGGGCCTGAACAGATGCTCCCTAACGGCACTTGCCTTCACAGTCCGAATGTTTTGTAAACACATAAGTGAATCTGCAGGGAAAAAAGTAATTGGGAGGGTCGTAAACCATGACATTTCAGACATTTTATAGTATGTACCAAAGTAAACACCTTTGAAATGGCAGAAAATCTGCTTTTTTGCAAGTACACCTGCTGCACAGAATAAGGTAATTCTGACAGTTGTGTTGCTGTTTATATCGGTGTTTCTCAACTTGTCTTTTTGTGGCCGTCTCGCATTGTCAATGTGCTCGCAGAGTCGTACAAGGGCCACTTTGGACCGGTGCACTGCGTGCGGTTTAGCCCCGACGGCGAACTGTACGCCAGCGGCTCGGAGGACGGGACGCTGCGACTGTGGCAAACGGCCGTGGGGAAGACGTACGGCCTGTGGAAGTGTTTGCTGCCCGGTGAGCAGACAGGTGTTATATACACACATGTCAACACAACTCTACGGGACGACCACTTAACGTGTTGCAAACATTTGCCTTTTTATCCACCGTTTGGTGAAAATGTGCCGATGTTTCCTACATCAATGGTGAGGCACAGCAGGCAGACACTGAACACTTGCCCATGTTATATCAGTTGTAATAGAGTGAGCTAATATAATTTTTCTGGGCTTTACCTGGTAAAATAACAGTTAAGTTGGTTAAACTCACTGCACTTGATCGAGGACGCGGTATAATCACGGACGGCTGGAACACAGATTCAAACCCAGCATCTCAACGATGCCAGCTCAGCACCCTGTCCTGTGAGCCACCAGATCACCTCCACCTCATACTCAATACACACAAAGCGCTTGCCACAAATGAACCACAATACTTGATCTCGTCAAGGAGCATAAACCATCACGTGAACTCAGATCATCCTCGCAGCGGATTTTGGCTAGCCATCAAACAAAGACGGTCACTGCATCGCGCGCTTTTAGATGCATTTCTGCGGCAGTCTGAAACCCTCTTCCGTGGGCAATGACGTTTAAGTAAATTCGTAAAGATGCAACTCTGTGCTCACCAGATGCCTATTGGCCTCTGGTGGAAACACATGTAGTACAATACAATTTACCATAATGTGTATTCATAACATCTTATGCTGCATCTCACCTACAAGAATGGTCCCATAGCAGCTGCTATCTGCAGTTAATAATCACTTGTAAAAGGAGGGATGTAAAACACGAAGCTAATTTTTGTTGGTCTATTTAAAGGAAAATTGTACATCACATTAACCATTTTGTATATGTACCTTTTGAACGTTAAAGTGCAATGTTAGCGCCTGCATAATTATTTTGAAACTTATACACCAACTTGATGACATTGCATATGCTTTTCCGTCTACACTGTGTGCGTTACACATCGCCTAAGCAAAGCCAGTTTGCTGTTCCTCTGCACTCTTACCGCCCCATGTTCCCACAGAGGAGCTCACTGCAGATAACGGTGAGACGGTGATTGGTGGCCCCGATGGCACTCCAGAAATGAAAGCCTGAGCGACACAAGCTGGTGTAAACCTGCATCTCAGTACACAGCTGCTCACGACTGGAGCAACAGCAGCGGCGGAGGCGGCAGCAAAGAACAAGGGTGCAAGAAGATAAAAAAAAAACATCTTGCAAAATCAGGGGCACTAAACACTCGCCTGTTTGCTATCGGTTGTAAACGAGTGCGATGAGAGACTGTGCAATACTCGAGCAGTCTACAAAAAGGAAAAAAAAAAGAAACCGCAGGCGCTCGCTGTGCAAAATATTGGTCCGGAAGGCCGACCAGTGCGCATTGGTAGAGCAACATTTAAGAACGTTAATTTGAATTCAATTTTTCTTATGTAAGTGTTGGACATCGATTTGAAGTCCAGTGGTGTAAAGCAAGAATAGGTCACATTTGTTTCCTGTATTGACACTTATTGTCAATATGCAGTGACCTTTTATAAATGAGAGCAACATGTTGCCCACGCACAGATATTTTGCTAAGTGCAACTGTCACTGGACAGGGAAAATGGCACTTTTCTGTTCACAATATAATCATGGTGTACACAGTGCACAAGTCTGCCTTTGTAAGCCATCTGGAATTTATGTACAACAACATCAATAAATCACTTACGGCATCTCTGAAACCGTTTGCATCAAATGAATACAATGTGCAGCCGTTTTATCAATCCACTACTGGGTGCAGGCCTCGCCACAGCAGACAGCATGAAGTAATCAAATAACCCTCACGATCTGGTCAATAGAATAATACAAATCACATTTATTCAGAAATATGCAAAATACAAAAATTAAGGATATTTGGCAAATATGTAAAAAATAAACTAGCACTTCTTACATTAAATTATTGACACTATACACTATGTAACTTCCAAAAATGTTAAAGAAAATACATTTAGTGGTTGAAATGGACAATTAGTGTTTAAATACAAACAGTTGAGATGTCAATTACACTTAAAATCCATGACCAATAACCCTGGAACATAAATCAACGTGATTTTTTAAAAAGCCGACATTGCAGAATATAATTACACTTTATAAAAATGTCTCCATCACATACCTTCTGAAAAGTTATTCAAAATCTGTCGGCTCGCAACTGGCAATGAAAAAACGCCATGCGAGCTTTTGTTCTTTTTGATGGTGGGAAGAATGTGTTCAGTGATGGTGGGGTGGCTTTAGTTGGTCCTTGAGAAGGCCTTGCGGAGCCAGAGGGAATCCTCGTAGAGCCGGGGATCGCCCAGTCTGAGTGCTGTCCGCTTGTAAAAGTAGTAATAAAATACCGCTGCTACACGTGCAAAGGGATACAGATGGTTGTTTTAACCAGTGTTTTAATGGTCATTGACGAGGCCGCAGCAGACCGGCAAGGGATAAAATATAAAAGTGTTCATCTTGAACTATATGGAATCTCATTTTGCGCTTACTGAAAGTTAGCTAGCTCGACTCACCAAGTCTTTGAAAGACGAAGAGTGCTAGCAGTCCATCAGTCCACTGGAAAACGCTTGATGGAGGCCAACGCACATGCTTGAGGTGAGAACAAAATGCCATTCAAGTTTGATTTACATAGCATACAAATACATCTCAAGATGATGCACAGAAACAGCATATGCAGTCATTTTTGTTATTTAAGGTTCTGTGACTTCATTCTCAAACTTCGAAAAATACGTTTTACAAGCTAAATAAAATGAAAAGGTATTCCGGGGTTAAGTATAATCCTCTCAGGTGATGTGGAAAGGGCAATAACATAAGAGGTTTAGGAGACAAAAAGGCATGGGAGAGGTGATGGCACCAATGGCATTCGTGGCCAAATCGCTAAATAAAAATGCATGGTAGTGCTCCCCCCTAAAATCGGAAGTAGACAACTCCATTATATTACCAGCAGAGCAGTGCTTCAATTTGTATGCGTGTGTCTCCATGTGTATCGATATACAACTTTTACATTTGGCTTCTATCCTTATTCTTGGTTCTTTCGGTAAAGTCATGTATAAGGGAAATAATAAAATAATATAAATATCAAAAATGAAAATTCTCACGGCGTTTCGACTGCAACACAAGCAATCATGTGTGAAATCCACAGCATCAGGTGTGAAATCCACAGCAAGAAAATTAGAATTTTCAAATTTTCTTGCTGATGATGATTGCTTGTGTTGCAGTCGAAACGTCGTGAGAATTTGTATTGTTATATATTTATATTATTTTATTATTTCCCTTCTACGTAACTTTACCGAAAGAACCAAGAATATGAATCCCTGCAGTCACGAAAGCTTTAAATCAAAATTTATTGTATCCTTGACTGTCTTCTATCTTTGCGACTGTCTCCTAGTTTTACAACTCCCGGCCTCCTTCACTTGCCCCGCATACTTCTTCCTCAACCACTTTCATTGGTCTATCCCATAAACGATTTTGTTCTACAAGTCACAGGGATAAATTGCATGGCATCTCATCAGAGATATTGTTTTACCATTGTATAATACATCAATAAGCAATTTTAATGCACATACATAATACAGTAGTTCAAATACATCCTCTGCATGAGGCTCTTGTATTCACATGGATCTTATAATAGTTTTAGCGAATTCGAAGAACATGTCTCTTGTTACATTAGTTGTCTAACCCTGTGCTCCACTCACCACAATGGCAAAGAGAATCGGTTCATGAATTATGACCCCTGAATCGTAAATGACCACAGCTGCCGCATGCATCGTGAAGGGTGTTGTGTATGTACCCCCTTTTTATTTTTTTTAATATTATTTTTTTTAAGGCTTATTCTGCCATCATATATAATATTGTTTTTTTAATAGACACGGGGCCACGTGGGAACGAACACGCCCCCACACTTCCACAGAGGCCCCCACACTTCCACAGATGCGCGCATACCTCATTTCAAAGGAAAGAGGACATGACAGGGGGGGCAATAAGGTAATAAAAAAAAAAAACTCCCCTAAATTCACACAAGAGGAACAAGGGAGGGGGGGAATTGCAGGCGGGGGGTTGCAGAACCAGGAGACACGGAGGAAGAGATAATTATATTCTGAACAAAGATAAGCCGGGATATCAGATTAAATAATCACAAGAAGTCAAATAATAAGTACGGAATTAAAGTAGAAGAGGAATCAAGGGCGGAGAAGGCTCTCAAAATTAACCAAACACAACACCCATGGGAAGCGAGCAACACGGCCGCCTTTGTCTTTCCGAGAGGATCTCCACACACAGGCACCAAGCTAGGAAATGACACCCATAAAAGGGGCAATGGCTCAAAGGAAATAAACACGTCTTCGAATAAATAAGCGCATGCGCCGGGTGCTCCCACCGTGGAAACAACCGCCTTTGTCTCCCCACAACACGGACAAACACGCACGCGAAACACACGGACGGACACACACACGGACGCAGATGGTTCAGCCCACAGGAAGGTTTTATGACACAGCCTTTGAACAACTCGGGAAGCCGAGTGGAAGTTTCCGATATAAACCGAAGAAAAATCCATACAAAGCATCTCATCCGGGCTTTGGCTCCAACGCAGATCGACAGGGGCTCTGGCCCCCATCACATATCGTCCGGGCTTCGGCTCCAACACAAGATATCATCCGGGCTACGAGCCCATCTTCGGCTCCACCACAGATCTTCACGAGCTCCGGCCTACATCTCATCTCGTCTCCGGGCTAAGGCCCCACCAGAGTTCTCCAGGGCGACAACCATCTCTCCTCGTCGCCGCCAACGAAGAAGCTCCTGTCATTCAGAATGACGAGGTTTGCGGAGTAGCGACGCGTAGCTACAAGCCGAGGTCTGCACCACCTGAGAGGAATCGCTACCCTGAGTCGCAGAGCTGCGAGTGAAGCCAACAAAGACGCCAACGTCCACCCTGCCACGAACGAAGCATCGCTCCTCGTCAGAGTGACGACCAGCGAACAACCCGCAGGAAAGGCGGAGATCGCTGAACGAGCGCTGACCGTGCGCCACCGTGCGCCACCTTGCGCCTCCGTGCGCCACCGCGCGCCATCGAGCGACAACGAGCGACACGAGCGACCGAGCATCTTCAAGGACAGCATCGTGCCAACTCGTCATCTAGCAGTAGAAAGAGAGAGCGCACGAGCAGCACCAAGCCCCCGGAACCATCAAGCGCCAAGCAAGCAAGTTTCTTCAAGGAACATCGTGCCAACGCCGCTCAATCCAGCAGTGGAGAGAGAGAGAGAGAGCAAAAGCCGAGCGACACGCCGAGCGAGGGAGCAGCAGCAGCTGTTCGTATCCTCCCACACCACACAAGCTAACGACACAATTAATATTACGAGAGGACAACGCACACACAGCACGCACACGAATAAGACTTTCAAAAAGTGATCTTTGCGTTTCAAAAAGGGTTGCCATTTCGAGGTGGTGCGTTCAATATCAACTGATCGTGCAAAGCAGTTGCTGCCGTCGAGTTACATAAATGCATAAGAGTTTTCGTTATTCATATTGCATAATTGCATAATTTCGCAACTGCATAAGTTTTTGTCGTTCATATTAGTTAATTGCATAATCTTGCCCATGAATTATTGACTCATGTTTGACCTGCATGATAGAATGTCGCGTGCTTGTTAGAATAAAATTGTTATCACAGAAGCATATTGAGTGTTCTTTCCAAGTCCATGCAAAACCATCTTATTCATAAGAGCTGTATCCTACGATGAGATATGAAAATGGAGACCTAAAATATTATAACACACACTAGGATAATCGGTAAATGAATCTATGATAATCGTGTTATCCTGATTGATAACTCTGGATAAACGAAACTAAGCAAATTATCATAACTGCACACATTAACATAATCGCAAGCCTCCGCATAAATTACTACGATTATCATAATTTATGCATATAATCACACGCATTATCATAATTTATGCATATTAATACACACACTATCATAATTAATGCGATTTGCGCATTTTTCGGAAAATTATTAATTTTTATTATTTTCATCAAAATTTCATAATCACAACACATACAACATAATGGGGGCTCGTCCGGGATCTCTCGCAGACAGTGTTTTGCATGGATGATGGAATGAATCACTTCGTGTTAACCAGAATATCAGGATCGAACATTGCATTGTAATTGTGAACGGGCGGAAAACTAAAAAACGCCCTCTAAGGTTAAAACCCAGAATAGCAGGTTAAAACAGAGACAGTGGAATTAAGATAATATCGTATCAAACCAATTGCATCCTCTGATAAATGGTGTTAGAGGTACGCACTCTGAATCGGAAAATAACAGATAGCTCGAGTCAAATTGACTACACTCTGTGAGATAATTGTTTTATATGCACTCTGAAAAGAAATGTCAAAGTAACTTCCGCCATACCTAAGATGCTAGGATTAAGAATAATTTTTGAATGGGTTACGGGATACGGGGAGCTCGTATTTAAACGTACCGACCAATCTGTTACAAAGCAGTACAGTCAGAGAGACATATGGGAAGGGAGCTGTATCGATAACACGAACACACCTCGGGGGAAACTAATTGACTGGATAAAATGTAACGAAGGCGAACACGATGTAAAAACTGCAGGAAAGGCAGGACAGGACTCATTCCTTTTCACACAGGCATACAGACAGGGATTGTGGAATGAGGAAAAATTTGGAAAGGAAACGGGAGAGAAATCAGTACTCGCGACACCAGCGAAACTCACAGACGTTGATCCGCAGAATAAATATGGAAGTAACAGTAAATCACACTCTTGGGTACGTGGACAGAGTCCAGGGACTAATCGCACAAAAATTATGGATGTCGAACAAAAAATCCTTGACAAAGGGAAACCCTCACAATTCGAGAGAGGGAGGAAAAATGTTAAAGTAAAGTCGACAGGACATGCTCCACTAAGGGCAGAGGCAAAAACTGAAGAGAAATGGCAACACGCTCGACACAGCACAGACCAAAGTGACAGATTGCCTGATGATAACTTGTTTGATGATGACGCTGTCGGCGATCAACTTTCGGAATACCTATTCACCAGTAAAACCCTTAAATTGATGGACAAGGCTCTAGTCAGAATTCCCGATTTTGACCCCCACAATAAGACTATGGATATCCACACACATATCGCAACCGTAGAAGAGGAGGCAATGATTAGAGGGCTGAGGAGACGGGATGAAAAAGCGAGTTTGTTGAAACGGACCTTACATAAAGAATCCATTCCATGGGTAAAGTCACTACCACACAAGGTTAGAAATGATTTTAAACAACTGAGCCTGGCAGTGATTCGGAAGTTTGGAGAATATTCGACACTCACGGAGGGGTTTTATGCTGTAAAATCGATGACCCAGGGCATGGACCAAGATCCACGTGACTACCTCGTCCAATTTAAAAGAGCGTATTACGCAGGCGATGTGAATCAATACCACGAAGGAGATAAAATGTTCAAAATTATGTTTTTTGAATCCTTGAGCCCAGAGATTACAGAAAGGGTGAGAATGGTTTTGAATCCAGAAACCGCATCCTTACGCCGCATAGAGAGCAAGGCGTACATGGCATGGTTATACAGAGCTAAGAATCATAATTCGGATCCAGAACACAGGGAGAGGGATGAGGAACCCAGCCTCTCAGAGAGGAATAAAAATCACCGAGCAGTCCCACCATGCAGGACGGAGCAGAAACGCACGCACACATGGCAAAATAACCCAGAGAGAGGTTGGCACGAGAATGAGAGCGGCACAAAGCCGAACATTCAGGAGAATCGCAGGAGGGAGAGGTTCAGAACAGAACCATATCAACACCCCATGCCACGACACACACAAGATCAAAATTACCCACAAAGATGGCGAGGTAACAATCCAGGAAAAATGTGGCACCCAAATGGGAGAAATACTTGGCCAAAAATGTACGAGAATCGCAGGAGGGAGAGGTTCAGAGCAGAACCATATCAACACCCCATCCCACGACACACGCAAGGTTCAAATTACGCACAGAGATGGCAAGATAACCACCTAGCGGGAAGGTGTTACACAGACCGCGGAGGTATGGATGCGAACATTCAGGAGAATCGCAGGATGGGAGGTCAAACACAATCGATCCAATTCCGACCAATTCCTCCACCGGCTATACCAAGAGGGAATAGAGGAATAACACAGAATGCGGTCCAAATACGTGATGAACCATCCACAGTGAGTGCGAGCGAGCGGCCAACACGCTCCCCACCCGCCGAGGTGTTAAACCCTGAGCAGGCTGCAAGTGACAGGGCTGAATTGAAGTGTGATCGGACGGTGGATAGCAGACAGCAGAGACAAAGAGAGAACACAGAGACACGCCCTGAGGAGCGCAGGCGTGAGCCTTTGAATGGAAAATATCCAAGGGAAACCAAAATGTATGTGGATCGGAGTGCTAAAATGGAGACGAATGTTCATGACATATCAGGAATGGTGTTGGAATCTAACACACTCGTAAAAACAAAGAGGGCAACATTACGAGGCACAGAATTAAGTCGACACACTGACTCGGCAAATGTGCATGTAATCGCAGAGAGAGCGAATGCCACGAACCAAGTGTCAAAATGGGTCGTGTGCGCGAATTCTGGTTACGTGCAGCACAATTTTTCACCACACACTCCCACGACGCGAGAGAGTGAGAGAGGAAACTACAAAAACGAACCCGAAAACCGTGATCAAATTATCAAAGTGATAAGTGGTAAACCAGGCAACATGAGGAAGGTAACGCATAAATGCGTTCGAAACCGCTACCTAGCGTTTCCCAGGATTTAACAAAACAAAAATGAATGTTCGTCAGAGTTATGATGTATGAGAACCGATGTAACGCAATATCGATGTTAACGGGTTGTTATTTTCTTTGCTTAATTCAAATGTAACCAGGATTTAACAAAAACAAAAATTAATATTCGCCGGAGTTATGATGTATGAGAACCGATGTAACGCAATATCGATGTTAACGTGTTGTTTATTTTCTTTGCTTATTTCAGATGTAACCAGGTTAAGATGGTAATACGTGCACGCGCGTCGTAAGAAATAACCGCCGAGAGTAAGGGCGGCTGATGGGATTCATGACATAAAAAGGGGGCATTACTTTGTTTGAAAATTCGCCAGTGGCCAAATCGACCCCTGATAATTTTCAAACGGGCGGACTGTTGTGTATGTACCCCCTTTTTATTTTTTTTAATATTATTTTTTTTAAGGCTTATTCTGCCATCATATATAATATTGTTTTTTTAATAGACACGGGGCCACGTGGGAACGAACACGCCCCCACACTTCCACAGAGGCCCCCACACTTCCACAGATGCGCGCATACCTCATTTCAAAGGAAAGAGGACATGACAGGGGGGGCAATAAGGTAATAAAAAAAAAAAACTCCCCTAAATTCACACAAGAGGAACAAGGGAGGGGGGGAATTGCAGGCGGGGGGTTGCAGAACCAGGAGACACGGAGGAAGAGATAATTATATTCTGAACAAAGATAAGCCGGGATATCAGATTAAATAATCACAAGAAGTCAAATAATAAGTACGGAATTAAAGTAGAAGAGGAATCAAGGGCGGAGAAGGCTCTCAAAATTAACCAAACACAACACCCATGGGAAGCGAGCAACACGGCCGCCTTTGTCTTTCCGAGAGGATCTCCACACACAGGCACCAAGCTAGGAAATGACACCCATAAAAGGGGCAATGGCTCAAAGGAAATAAACACGTCTTCGAATAAATAAGCGCATGCGCCGGGTGCTCCCACCGTGGAAACAACCGCCTTTGTCTCCCCACAACACGGACAAACACGCACGCGAAACACACGGACGGACACACACACGGACGCAGATGGTTCAGCCCACAGGAAGGTTTTATGACACAGCCTTTGAACAACTCGGGAAGCCGAGTGGAAGTTTCCGATATAAACCGAAGAAAAATCCATACAAAGCATCTCATCCGGGCTTTGGCTCCAACGCAGATCGACAGGGGCTCTGGCCCCCATCACATATCGTCCGGGCTTCGGCTCCAACACAAGATATCATCCGGGCTACGAGCCCATCTTCGGCTCCACCACAGATCTTCACGAGCTCCGGCCTACATCTCATCTCGTCTCCGGGCTAAGGCCCCACCAGAGTTCTCCAGGGCGACAACCATCTCTCCTCGTCGCCGCCAACGAAGAAGCTCCTGTCATTCAGAATGACGAGGTTTGCGGAGTAGCGACGCGTAGCTACAAGCCGAGGTCTGCACCACCTGAGAGGAATCGCTACCCTGAGTCGCAGAGCTGCGAGTGAAGCCAACAAAGACGCCAACGTCCACCCTGCCACGAACGAAGCATCGCTCCTCGTCAGAGTGACGACCAGCGAACAACCCGCAGGAAAGGCGGAGATCGCTGAACGAGCGCTGACCGTGCGCCACCTTGCGCCACCGTGCGCCACCTTGCGCCTCCGTGCGCCACCGCGCGCCATCGAGCGACAACGAGCGACACGAGCGACCGAGCATCTTCAAGGACAGCATCGTGCCAACTCGTCATCTAGCAGTAGAAAGAGAGAGCGCACGAGCAGCACCAAGCCCCCGGAACCATCAAGCGCCAAGCAAGCAAGTTTCTTCAAGGAACATCGTGCCAACGCCGCTCAATCCAGCAGTGGAGAGAGAGAGAGAGAGCAAAAGCCGAGCGACACGCCGAGCGAGGGAGCAGCAGCAGCTGTTCGTATCCTCCCACACCACACAAGCTAACGACACAATTAATATTACGAGAGGACAACGCACACACAGCACGCACACGAATAAGACTTTCAAAAAGTGATCTTTGCGTTTCAAAAAGGGTTGCCATTTCGAGGTGGTGCGTTCAATATCAACTGATCGTGCAAAGCAGTTGCTGCCGTCGAGTTACATAAATGCATAAGAGTTTTCGTTATTCATATTGCATAATTGCATAATTTCGCAACTGCATAAGTTTTTGTCGTTCATATTAGTTAATTGCATAATCTTGCCCATGAATTATTGACTCATGTTTGACCTGCATGATAGAATGTCGCGTGCTTGTTAGAATAAAATTGTTATCACAGAAGCATATTGAGTGTTCTTTCCAAGTCCATGCAAAACCATCTTATTCATAAGAGCTGTATCCTACGATGAGATATGAAAATGGAGACCTAAAATATTATAACACACACTAGGATAATCGGTAAATGAATCTATGATAATCGTGTTATCCTGATTGATAACTCTGGATAAACGAAACTAAGCAAATTATCATAACTGCACACATTAACATAATCGCAAGCCTCCGCATAAATTACTACGATTATCATAATTTATGCATATAATCACACGCATTATCATAATTTATGCATATTAATACACACACTATCATAATTAATGCGATTTGCGCATTTTTCGGAAAATTATTAATTTTTATTATTTTCATCAAAATTTCATAATCACAACACATACAACAAGGGTCTAGGCAAGAATAATTTGCAATGTTTTTTTTTCCAACCTGAGAACCCTAGGTACGGGCTACTCACGTGGATATTACTCCAAATGTGGATTAATATCTCAACACAATATGATTTACACCATTAAAAAAATCTGATGAAGCCCAGTGGAGGTTTGATGATTCACTCTCGGTGATTTGATGAAATTTTGTTATTCGGTTGAATATTTCTTTTGACAATGTCATTCACAATATAGAGGTCGCTAGTGGCTAAGTGAACCCTTTAAAACTTACAAGTAAAAAACACATTGATTCTTAAGCAATTAAAAACATTTATCGATGCATTGTCACTACTCTTCAGCACGTGGGTGTTTGTGTGGCTCTTCCAGAATGGGCTCCAGCCACCCCGAGGATGCCCTAGAATGTGATGATTGTTGCCCTTGCTGTCCAATTGTTGTTAGTGCTGGGCCCCAGTTGCTTTGTTCCACACTGCGACTCAGTGTTGCTCTCTCCCATGGGCCCTGCCCTGACCGCACCCCTCCGCACTTTCCGTTTACCATCATATTTTTTGTCCGGTGATACGAGTGCATTTATAAACTACAGCATATCCATTGACTTTGTTGTTGTTGTTGCTTGTAAAATCAATCATGAGCTTCAACGCACCATGACCCAGACGTGGAAGGCAATGCTGAGGGTTAAGTACAGGGCCGACGCGAGGATGGTGGCCTTGAACTTTTGTATGAGCACGCTCACGAGCCCGGCTTGAAACACGAACGTGTTGAAGAACATCAGGAAGATGATGATGACGTTAAAGAGGATTCCAGCATCCTGAATACTGCAATGCAGAACACAAACATATCGATGTTACGTTAACATTGACAGCACAATTCCATACATTATAAAACAGAAAACATTTAATACACAGCTAATATTATTTTAAAGGAAACTTCGTACACTTTTTTTGTTCATTTATGCTTGTTTTTTGTTCGTTTATGCTTGTTTTTTGCACCGAAATATGTTGCACAATTACGTTTTAGTTTTTAGCCCAGGTCCCTATTGCATACTATTTTTGTCTTCATGACCACTCAATATATGTGTACAGTCATTTTGTAAATCCACCGATGGATAAGGACCTGCTCACTCCGTGCAGATCTTTGGATGATTTCTTATCTTCACCATGCTGGTCAGCGTGGGTAGTGAAGACGGGGACAACATTGGAACATACAAAGTACAGTACAGCTATGTATTTTGCTACACTGTCCTCTCCAGACAAGGTAGCTCCCTAGCAGTGGACACCTATTTCATGCATGGTGGTCTCCCATACAATCACAATCCAGGCTGAAATCTGCTTATGTTGTGGGTGACCTGGTCATAAGCACTTCATACTTAGTGAGAACACAGATTATATATACTAACTATGCTAACAGCATGAGGTACTTTCATCATATTTGCATCGATTAAACGCAATCAGTGTCGTCTTTTAATTCAACGTTTAACACACACTTTTAAATCGTTTTGCACATCACCATTTGGCATCAAACAACGAAATTGCAGCAAACAATAAAACGCGGGTGAACCACTGCACATCGCGGCACTCACATGAAAAGCACGAGCTGAATGACTTTCTCTTTGTAGAGCAGCTCCGAGAAGGAATTCACCACCAGGTCGTAAATGATCAGAAGGAACTGCACGGTCAGGACCAGGCTATAGTTCGTAACCTGCAGCATTGTCCCTGTGGTTGTCTGACGTTAACCCCCACCGCTCGATCTAATCGTTCTTCGCGCGAGTTCTGTGCTTCCCAACACGGCTCGATCGGCCACAGTTCATCCCTCTTGATATGAAAAATCTGCAACGACAGTGGGCAGGTGGCACCCTCTTGACTTTCTTCAAATAACACCATTAATAACTGCACCTCCAAGCACACAACCCGCGCCTACCCGTGCACATCCATTCGTGTACTCATCTGGCGATGTAACATTCGTGGCTAAGGCTAAGCTGGCACACACTGCATTAACTAAACACTTAACTAAGTGAAGCCATGTTTGTGCATGCAACAGTAACGCGCTCCGCTGACACGGGCTAAATATAGGCTGTAGAGCCATGGCGCGCATCTTTGAGCTAAGTCCCCTTAATTCCCTTACACAATCCTAAGTCCCATACCAGTGGCGGGGCACACTCAGCTTAATGGCAGTGCCGTCTCGTGGTTATTTGACAAGATAACCAATTGTGTCGTAACCCTCCACCACCCGACACGGCCAATCAGCAAAACAGTGTCGCGTTGACAAAAGATAAATAGTTGACTACTTTAGCCCACCGGTGTGTTGGAGAGTGAATCCACAAAAACTGTTGTGAATTCACTCTTCAACACACCGGTGGGCTAAAGTAGTGAACCGTTTGTCTTTTATATTCTTGGTTTTTTCGGTAAAGTCACGTAGAAGGGAAATAATAAAATAATAGAAATATAAAACAACAACAAATTCTCACGACGTTTCGACTGCAACACAAGCAATCATCATCAGGTGTGAAATAAACGTGTCACTTTTTTGCTGATTGGCCGTGTCGGGTGGTGGAGGGTTACGACACATTTATAAATAACGCGATCTAACCCAATCACGTTTATTATGAATAATATTGATGGCGAAAGCCTCAGTGTTAAAGATAACCTATTGTTGCACACGCGAGTGACACGGCAAATGACCATTCAGTGAATGCGATGACTGCGACGGTAATTATTTTGGTCGCCGTATGATGTGGCTTTTTTTGCGGAATACATTTATCTCTCTGTTAGCAACCCTGCGTAAGTAGTGTAAAACAATACTCCTCTGGCAGAATGTACATATTAAAACATACTTATATTTAAATATACATATTTAAACATTACAAAACAATACTTCGTGATATAGTACTGCGTTGGCAGTGGTGTACAAGCAAAGATAATAAAAAAAACTCAACATATTCGCCAATAACACTGCCTTAAAAAGAACATACAGTAATAATAGGCGACGTTTCGGACAATGGTTCTTGTTCATAACACAGAGAGAGACCAGAACATTCGTATTTTAGTAACTTGGAAATCTGTGAAAAAGAGCTTCATAGATCATCGGATTCCTCCTGTAGTCTAATTAAAGATTATGATAGTGAATGACACAAGTGAAACCGCTACACTAAGACTGCATGCACAATCTAAATACAGATTAGAAGTGGAGTCGGATAAGGTGACACGCTTTCGAAAAAGTTAAAGTCACAGGGGCAAAAAAATGTTTTCCGAAAAATTTGATTTGGAGGAATGAACGCATTACGATATAAAGTGTATCAAAGTGATAGAGTATTGGAGATCTATATAATACTACCTGTAGCTAAACGTAGTATACATTAAAAAATACACGTGAGTTAATGTTCACTAGTTTTATTGAAGTCCGTTTCGCAGAAGCAAATTAAAACACCGATTCATTAAACAGTTTCGCAGAACCCCGACCCTCGTAGGCCGAAGCCTCCCGCTTTTCCTAAGCGCCTTGCCGGGAACCTCGCCTCGGAGCCCGCGGAGCGGCGGTACCTCAATGATCCGGTTCTCTGGAAGCTCCTAAAGCTATCAAAGCTTACAACAATTACGTTAACGCAAGCACACAACACCGCATCATTACGCCGCAGCGTTATCCGTATTCATATCCAATATTATAAAGATAAAACATCAAATCATTACCAAATACCTCAACGTAGATCCCACGTTGGACACTTTACACTTTGTAGTCAACACAAATCACGCTTCACAAATGCAACCAATGGGATCCACGATGGGCACCGTCACGTGAACAGCTTGGACCAATCAAACGGCGCCCTACTCGAGGGTTGCGCCTATACGCTTTATGAAATCTCGCGCCGCCTGGCTAAGCAGTTTACGTGACGTCACCGCCGTTGCCGTGACTACCGCGCATGCGCAGAGACGTAGGAACGATCCACGCCCCCCCCACCCCCTTCATACCGCAACGCGATTGTTTGACACTTTCTCTACCGTCTGTTTTTTTTCTTCCGGAAGAGACCGGGTAGATGTGTCTTCCTTTACCGGTAGACGTCTTCCTTTACCGGTAGACGTCTTCCAGTTTCAAATACAATAATTATTTTATACCTACGTGACTTTACCGAAATAACCAAAGAGTATGGATTCATGCAGTCACGAAAGCTTCAAATCAAGATCTCTCTCTCTCTACCTGTTCCGGTAGATGTCTTCCGGTAGAGTGTATTCCTGCCGGTAGATGTATTCTGGAAGAGCCCTGTCTCTACCGGTAGATCTCTTCTGGAAGATTCTGCCTCTACCGGTAGATATCTTCTGGAAGACTCTGCCTCTACCGGTAGATCTCTTCTGGAAGATTCTGCCTCTACCGGTAGACATCTTCTGGAAGACTCTGCCTCTACCGGTAGATCTCTTCTGGAAGACTCTGCCTCTACCGGTAGATAGTCTTCTGGTTGTTTTAATGGCTCCACGGTAGACGTCTGCCGCTTCTGGAAGATGCTCCGGAGTCAGGCGGCCGTGTCAAGTGGCGAGCGGTCGAGGCGATGGCGGCTCGCAACTTGGGACTGGAACTCGGTAGGAACTTCACTTTCTCGCCGATATTAATCGGTACAATCAGTCGTCCGTCTCGGCGCGCATTGACGCTTCACCAACAGCTGCTGCTGCACGTTTTAGTTCGTTCTACCTGACAGACTTACAACTTTCACGGTGCTGTTTTGTTGTTGGGCTCCTGGCGTTGTTGGAAATTTCGGCCTTTGCTGAACAACCGCAATTTAAGCAGTGGGCTACTGTGTGCGAACAGTAGCTCGTAATAATAATAATCATCATCATCATGCAACAGCCTTTGAGCCACTGCCCTGGATAAAGGCCTCCCCACATCGTGTCGGTCGTGGGGCTTGTTTGACCATACTTCACCACGATGGTCAACGCCGGTTAGTCAATAATATTTGTAGATTGGGACCAGTTCTGATTGTAATGCGCCCACCGATATTAGCCGTGGTCCCCGAATCAAACTTGATGCCGCCGGGTGTCGTAGCATAATGCGCTAACTGCTGCGCCACCGCTCCCACCACTGTGGTTACGATATCTGGCAGAAGGAAGGAAGCGATGGCGAGGTGGGCGCAGTGGTCATGCGCGGCACTGTGGCGGGTTTATATTGGCGCAAACTAACGCAAACAGACCTCTATCATGGATAATGTTAGTCGCGAAAGTCTTCTACGTGGTCAACTGGGTCATAGGCGCTTTGTGGTAGGAGACTTTTGAACCAGGTGAGAGTCCGCTGAGATTAAACAACTCGCTTTCAAGAGAGACCTCGGTGATTCGTCAATGGCAATCGGTTCTAACATGCATGACATATGCAGAGGAATTGTGCTTTCAAGAATCTGTACTGTTAACTGTGCTTGCGTGCGTTAAAAAATATATGGAGTAGTGGCAGAGTGGTTAGCGAATTTTGCAACGAGTCCAGCAACCTGGGTTTATTTCCCTGCCACTGGATAACATTTACACTGAGTGATAATCCCCCCTTTCAACGACATTCCGAGCATTTAATGTCTCATTTCACAACAAGCAATGTATCCAAATGGAATATTTGTATATAATTAATCAACCTTTGAGATATATAGTCTTGGTTCTTTCGGTAAAGTCACGTAGATGGGAAATAATAAAAGAATAAAAGATTAAAAATTTTTTAGTATTTTAGTGTTTCCATTCTACGTGACTTTACCGAAAGAACCAAGAATATGAATCCCTGCAGTCACGAAAGCTTCAAATAAAATGTAACCTTTGAGATGTATCGTACGCTAGTTTTGGCTTAGTGGGTAGATCCCTCTCTCTGTTCTGTAGAAGGGCCATTGCTTGAAACGTCAGCCTGTTATATATTCATCGTGTTATAATGCATTGTTCATGATGAATGTGGTGAGCTACGGTGTGCTTGTTTACCTTTGAAACAGCGGTCCCTCTGATTAATAAACATTTATTCAAAGTGGCTTACAAAATAAATGAAGAAAACGTAGCATCGCTAAGGGGAAAGAGGTGGGAAATAAGAACAAGAGGTGAATGGCATCACTGTAATACCCCTGGTTTAGGGCTCCCCCCTTTTATTTCGCAAATACGTGGTCACTTTATTAACACTGCTACCTGATTTGCGCCCACTAAACCTACACTTGCTGACAGCATCGTCCGTCCGTCCTTTCTCGTATCCGTCGCCTCTCAGCCTTCGCCTCCACCTACCCCGCACACAAACTACTTTGCGTCGCGCATAAAGAAATGGACTGTTCTGCAGAAGACGATATAAAACTTACGTGCAGTATTTTGGTGATTGGGAAAAATTGCTTTGATTTACGTCGTTTTGGATATCCGTTGCAGTTTTCAGGAACGCATCGCGGACGTAAACCGGGTTTTTACTGTAAAAGCACAGAGATGAACTCCAACCGCTCCATGCACAGTACGGTTAACAGATGGCCATTGAGAAGCATCGTCAGTCCACAAATGAAAGTCCAGCAACATGATCTCAAAAAACATGGCCACAATTCCAGAACACCCCCTTCACCACCACCAATCCTCAGCAAACCCACACCGCACGTAGCCAACCGTAATCATCAAACAACCACCAACCCACACTACACACGATCACCACCAGCAATCCCCACCAAACTGCACTGCCACACTTAAGAATTGTTTTATTATGTTTTATTTTTATTATTTTATTACTTCCCTTCTACGTGACTTTACCGAAAGAACCAAGAAGAAGAAGTGACAAGGTCCTATGAGCGATAATTGTCATTGAATGTCCGTTGCATTATTGTGCTTATTTTACTCCACATCTCGATAAACTTTTGCTGTTGAGCACGTTGAGATATTTTTGCATTTAAATGTTAGATAAATATAGTGTAACCTAAGCATGAAGGGATTTCAGAAGTCGTTCTGTGATCATTGGACCTCCTTTGCCAGTACCAAAATATAATAATAGGGTTTTCCCCCTTTTTCTGGCAACAAAACTGAAACCTTTTTACAAGGATTCATGTCTGTATTAACCACAATACCTGCAGTCAAATGCAAACAAAAACACACGATGAGTTTTGTTGTCAGAAAAAGGGGGAAAACCCTATTATTATAGTTCTGTGATGTTCGCCTCCACTCGAGATCTGAATGGATTCTTCATGACATGACACGACAGCTCAGTTGGAATACAATTCGTGGAAACACACATTCATAAAAAGAGCGTAAAGTATAATTTGCAAACAACACTGGTTACATGAACGAAACTGATGTAACGGGAAGGATTTGTGTGTGTGTGTGTGCTCACTGCCTGCAGACCTGGACTGGGTGTCCCGCGTGCAGGTCAACCTGCCGGCCGTAAAGCTGCGTGCCGAGCAGCTACAAGCCCGACGTACTGTCAAGAAGCAGTGGCAGGTGAGGTGTGCAGCGGTGAGGTGTGCGGCGGTGAGGTGTGCGGCGGTGAGGTGTGCGGCGGTGAGGTGTGCGGCGGTGAGGTGTGCAGCGGTGAGGTGTGCAGCGGTTAGGTGTGCAGCGGTTAGGTGTGCAGCGGGGGTTCAGGATGGCCATATCAGTGCCCCTGAGCCAGTGCCACTGAGAACTTGGGTTTAGCTAAACTTCGTCAAGACGTGCTCGCCCTAAGGTGCTTCAGTGGCTCAGTTCAGTGGAGTGCTGATCTGGCACAACTGAGAGCCTGAGTTTGAATCCAGGCAGCTGCCCGTGATTAAATTAGGTTCTCAAGTGTAAGTAAGTTGATGGTCTCAGCCCGGTCACACATGACTGCATATAGAATTAGTTGCTGCGCTCAATTTGGCTAAATTCCAGGTTTAGAATCACTTTGATCCTCGAGTTAACCCCCTCCCCCCCCTTCACGGTGAATAACCCCTCGTCCTGTGAAGTTGGTTGGCGAAGCTGCTGACCCGAGCGTTTGGTGACCTCCCAGGCAGCATGGCTGCTGAAGGCCGTCACCTGCATCGACCTGACGACCCTCTCTGGCGACGACACGGCGGCCAACGTGCACAGGCTGTGCTTCAAGGCCAAGTGGCCGATTCGCGAGGACCTCCTGAAGGCCGTTGGCATGCAGGATAAAGGTGGGTCTGTGGTGGGTTGTGTGTGTGGCTCTGGATTTATAGACGAATGTTTTTGCTTAAACGTGTGCATGCTTTTTTGTACATGTTCACTACTGGGCAGTTCATGAGTCACTGCCCCCACGATTACATTTTTCTCATTTGTAGTTTTGATTCATCTTGTTTTCTTAACTTATTATAACATCCGCATAACATTTGCATACATACTAAAATACTCCATTCACATATGCATGAATCTATGCACATCAATTTTAGTCAATGGATCAATGAATGCATCATTATGTCTAACATGTTTAATCAATCTAATCACTTTTGAATGATAGATTATAACTAACTCTAAGGATGTCATCATCATCAATGATGTAAGTGATATCCATCAATGATGCAATCTGAGTCATATAATAAACGTTATGTATATAAATCATGATGGTGAGTTAAACGATGATGATGATTATCATCTAAGAATATAGTGGGGTGAATAAGATAAAATAAAGGGATTTTTTTCCATCTTTGGCAACCTTTTTAATTTACTGCAATCTGAGTGAGAACTATGGAGTCATGATTCACAAATGTGTTGGTCCATTTGTTGTATGAATTGGATTCTTTAATCAGCCCGATGTCACAATAAGATCAATAAAATGAGTACCATTGTGTCATCATTTTAGTCGTGGTTTCCTACAGAAAAACTGCTCCCTGTAATATTAATGTGGAGTTTTCACCAATTAGCTCTGCCAGTGGACATAACCACTGCCCACATTTTCACATTAACGTTGGGACATTGACCCCATTGAAGGAATGTGTCAGGGAATACTTGTGTCTTTAAAGGAGGGCGGCAGTATGGGTCACATGATCTTGGTGAGCTGTGTAAACCGTAGTTTCCATGTGCCCAAGTTGTACGTGTTTATCTTGCAAATACATTGGATTTGAGAATAGGTTTTCCCCTTTTTTCTGCCAACAAAACAGGTGTTAAGATGTTTAAACACCAAACTGAAACCTTTTACAAGGAATTATGTCTGCATGAACCACAATACTTGTGGTCAGAATGCAAACAAAAAACGTAATCCCCGCATCTATGCTTCCCACCTTCACCAACCAGCACTGGCCAGCGTGGCGGAGTTTGGTCAAGCAACCCTCATCACCCACACGGCTTGTGGATCCACGAAGAAGGCTGTACGTGTGCATGTGATGATGTCGTGCGTGAGGTTTGCATCTGCCCACTTTGTATTCCCGCAGGGATCACGGTGGGGGCCGTGTGTGTTTATCCGTCTCGCGTGTCCGACGCTGTCAAAGCTCTCAAGTCCGCCGGGTGCGACATCCCAGTGGCATCCGGTATTTAGATTACTCGCCACCCATCGCGCTCACCGCACGCTCACCATGCACTCGCCAGTGTGCCACAAACCACACCCACCACGCTCGCACCACGCACGCGCACTCTCGCTGTGCTCACCACAGTCACTACGCGCTCGCTGTTCTGTTACAAACTCAGCCACGCTCACCACACTCACCACGTTCGCCACACTCTCACAGCACGCTCGCCGTTGTCACAAACTCAGCCACGCTCTCCACACTCGCCACGATCCCCACACTCTCACAGCACGCTCGCCGGTGTCACAAACTCAGCCACGCTCACCACACTCGCCACGCTGACCACACTCTCACCGCGCTGTCTCACTCTCGCCATGCACGATCGCCTCACTTGTACTCACCAGCTTCCCACTCCACTCACTGTACAGTTCTTAGCCCTGTCTGACCTTCTGACCTTCATATGCGTGCTGCTCGGCCTTCCAGGAACAAATCTGCCGCGGGGATAATTGGCCTTCTGCCGGCGTTCACACTTTTATGCGATTCAAACGCGTTGTTGGTTTCGACACATTTTCCCTTATTATTTGCTCCGACAGGTTTCGCATTACACGACACTCAACAAGCAGTGCGCACAAAGCGAATTGCCGCACTGTGATTAATTCCCCCCCAGCGGTTATGTTCATGGTTAGTGAGAATGTACACGTTCTGTCGCAATCAAACACGCGTGCGTGGGCGAACCTGTGTTGCTGCGCGCAAGTGTTCTTTCGGTTTTTACCGGTGCGAAACGGCTCGCAAACGATATTTATTCATCATTGCGAACATCTTATCTTAGCAGCACTAATTGGATAAAGGAGGGGAACATTTCCAACATGGTAACACTCTCTTACTCATTTTAACACGCCCAGTAATTGGTTTTGAGCCCTAATTATGTTTTCCATTATAATTGGTTAATGCTGATGTGTGTTCTAACGTGCGGTTGTCCGCCAAAGGTAATTGAAAGTCCTATTAAGTCATTTAATCTCTTGCAGTGGCTACGGGGTTTCCTGCCGGGCAGACTCCGCTCAAGACCCGGCTCGAAGAAATCCGATTGGCCGTCGCCGACGGAGCCAAGGAGATTGACATTGTCATCAGTCGGGCGCTCGCCTTGACCGGCCAATGGAAAGGTAGTTGCCGCGTCAGGCTGGCCAATGAGAAAATGGGATGCGGCGTTTTGACTGGATGGCCAATGTGGGCAAAATGTGAAATTCCGAAAGTAAGCATGTAATTACGCACCACCCACGCTCCAATAATCTGATGAATTGTCATAAACAAAAATACTCGGAGTAGCAAGGTTAGTTAGAAGGATTTTAAAGATGGAAAGAACAATAATATAAATAATTGGGGAATGCACACATGTCAGAATAATGCCACCAAACAGCAATGGCAACGCTGGTGAAATTAAACAAAGACGGGGTACGACCGAGAAAAGGATGGACTGAAGGAGTGGAGGAGGCGGCACAAGAATGCAGAGATTTGACATGGAACCATCAGCAACAGATGGGCTATGATGGTGATTACTAACAGTGGAGAACTGCTGCCTGCTGCTAGAATTTCAGAACCCAGCAGCCGCTGTAAAGGGGCTGGTCGGTCGAAGAAGACCACAGCGTTGTTAAGAAGCAAAAGATCATGCGTGCGTGCGTCTATGTGTGATTGTGTGCGAGCAGCGCTGTATGAGGAGATCCGAGCGTGCCGCAAGGCGTGCGGAGAGGCGCACATGAAGACCATCCTCGCCGTCGGAGACCTGGGCAGTCTCACAAACGTCTACAAGGCCAGCCTCGTCGCCATGATGGCCGGTATGCACGTGGTCAAGTACAAGCCTCTCTCCTCCATCCTCTGCTGGATGAGAGCCCCTCCCCATGCCGTGCGGGCCGTGGGGGTTATTTGACCACACGTCACGCACGCTGGTCATTGCAGGTTCGCGAAGGCGAGGAGTGTCGGCGTCAGAGCATGGTGCAGTCCAACAATGTTTTTTTCTGCACTGCCGTCTACCGACAGCATAGCCCCGCAGCAGCCAACAACACCCAGTTTCATATACAAACACGTATCCACTCTCAACCCTGCTGAGCTTCTGAATTCTGACACAAGGCAATGGCTGGGTAAGGCATTTGGAGACTGCATGCGGGAACGAAGCAATGAACCCCCCCATCCCCCTCATTTTGCCACAGGTTCCGATTTCATCAAGACGTCCACGGGGAAGGAAGGGGTTAACGCGACGTTCCCCGTGGCGCTGGTGATGGTGCGAGCCATCCGCGACTACCACCACCGCACTGGGAACAAGGCACGCGACGCACCTCGCTCCTACAGAGCACACGGGCATGTAGCCCTCGCCCATGTGGCTTAGTAAAGAGAGCCGGAGGGGCGGGAGGGGGCTGCTCCAGGAGCGGTTCAGATATATTCCTCGCCACGGATTTTATTTTCATCTACAAGGCAATTGTCCGTAGATTTGCTCTTTATACTGGTAGGAACCTCCTGGTTACACCAGCCCACAGGGGATTATTGTGTCCGTCCGTCCGTCGTGCAGGGAGGGGTTGAGTGGGGAGGGAGGGAGGGGCTGGGTGGGGAGGGTGGGGCTGGGTGGGGAGGGTGGGGAGGGGCTTGGTGGGGAGGGTGGGGCTGGGTGGGGGTGGGAGGGTTGGGGCTGGGTGGGGAGGGGCTGGTCACCCCGTGGTGCCCTTATAAAACTCAACGTTTAACCTACTCACGCCGGCTTGTGCCCCTCCTCACAGTCGGGCATTATTACGGAATACACCACGCCGCCGTTGACCCTTAGCATTTGACCGAGCAACCCAACGTCCCTACCAGCTCCCTCCGCAGCAGGAATGTGTATTGTCTAACCCGGGGGTCGGCGGCCTGAGGCTCCAGAGCCGCACGTGGCTCTTCATGGACTGCTTCGTGACGTTATTCATCAAGGACCAACGTCTTGTATTCACGTGCATTGTGGCACTTGAAATATAGAATTTTGTTTGCAGAATGCGACAAAGAGTGGCTCTCATGGTCTAGCCTGTTATTACCAAGAGACAATCCTAAAAAGCTGCGACGCCCGTCTGATTGTACATTAATAGTTCCCAGCTGTCGCGTACAATTTGAATCAAAAGCATTTAATGTAGCTGCCCCAAAAAATTTGTAACCACCTAGTTTCGTCTCTTAGCATTTCCATTCTGCTATCTCTGGCATCATTTAAACTGACTATTAAAATCACAAAAGTTTTAAGTGTGAATGTAATTTTACAGCATGATTGCTCTTGTTACATCCGTAATTGTGGCTTTGATCTTGTCTGCCGGTCGAGTCGCCCTTGAAAAACAGCTTCTTTGCTCGGTGGGCCCTACTCTGTGGGAAATAGACTTGGAATTCTGAATTCGCCACGGATGTTATCTGTGGATGGGAATTGAACTCGGCTCTCTAGGTTACTAATGCAGTGCACTGTGCCGTCAAATAAAAATGATGTCCTGGATGTTAGCTGTGGATGGGAATTGAACTCGACTCTCTGGGTTAATAATGCAGTGCACTGCGCCATCGACTAAAAACGATGTCCTTTATATACCCTGGAAAGCTTCACTGCGGCTGAATTTTTTTTTTCACGAGAGTCCTTCATTGGGAATATGTATAGATGAGAAGATGTATTGTTGGATGCAGTCCAGCAAAGTGGTTTTAGATGCTGTGTGTGATGCGCTCCAGTGTTTTCCCCGTGTAATTGTGGGTATTCTGATATCAAATTGAAAAGAAACAAAACCACTGAGAGTGGCCATCGTGCGAGTAATGGGGCCTGTTGCAGGGACTTGATCTGTGGTGCCATCTTACACAATGGGGTGTGCTGCTCACTGCGAGGGTTCCTGAGGAACATTTTTTCATCTGAATAAATGACACCTTTGCCACAATGGGAATATAATTGGCATAGGGGGAAAAAAAACATTTAAGTTGAATAAACAGGAAGACTCTAATTGGCCAAATATCTCATCGCAATATATATATATATCAGAAATTCTACAGTGTACAGATCGAATAAGACTCAAAGAAAGTGTCGTAAAAAATATTTGAAGTTCACATCTTGTTGGCCTTTGCACTGCTGTCCGATTGTTTCTTTACATTCAAACGTTCCCTTTCAGGTCGGCTTTAAGCCGGCGGGTGGCATCCGCAGCGCAAAAGATGCCCTCGCCTGGTTGGTGCTGATCAAGGAGGAGCTGGGCAACGAATGGCTGAGTCCGGAGCTGTTCCGCCTGGGTGCCAGCTCGCTGCTGACCGACATCGAGAGACAGGTGGGCGTGGCGATAGCGTCACAGAGTCCACATTCTTCGTCACTGCTTTTGGTCACGTGTGTATGAAATCTGTCCCTTTCCAACGTCATCAACATAATCGAACAAAGGCGGTCACTGCATCGCGCACTTTCAAATGTCTTCTGCGACCGTCTGGAACGCTTTTTCTTCCGATATTAGGAAGCCACTGGAGCTATGCACTTTTAAATCTAGATTGAAACATTTATTGAGAACTGCTTTTTGTGTTTAGTTTGTTGTCCTTCCCCCACACACCCGATTAGCACGGTTGGCTATGTGCAGTGTGAAAGAAGTTCAATATATATGCATCATCTGAAGCATTCTTGTCATTGTCAAGTGAAACAAAAAAAACCCAAGCTGTACATAATAGGTGACATTTCGAGCAATGCCCCTTTCTCACTTAGCACCCAGAGAGGCCAGAGTGATTGAGTGAATAACAATTGGATAAAGCCATCGTGTCTCATTAACACATTCCTGCGAAGGGAGCCGGTTAGGAACGTTGGGTTGCTCGGTCAATGACCAGGGTCAACGGCGGCGTGGTGTATTCCGCAAATATGCCCGACTGTGAGGGCGGGCACAAGCCGGCGTGAGTAGGTTAAACGTTGAGTTTTATAAGGGCACCACGGGGTGACCAGCCCCTCCCCACCCAGCCCCACTCCTCCCACCCTCCCCACCCTCCCCACCCAGCCCCTCCCCACCCAGCCCCACCCCTCCAATCCCCTGTGGGCTGGTGTAACCAGGAGGTTCCTACCAGTATAATGCATTCCCCTCCATACACCATCTGCTGCAGCAACTGCAGCTCAAACAACAACGCTGCTGGGAAAGACTTGTCTCGAAGCTGCCTATGCTGACAACCAAAAAGTACAATTGTTGTAAGTGGAGTAATGGACTTCCTGGATATTAATTGTATATTCGAAGTTGACTTTGTGTCCATTCATTATATATTTGTCAGATCTGAGGTCAATTATAATTACAGCAACATATTGTAAACTGAAGACCACAATTACGTATGAATTCGAATTATTTTATGCATTATGAATGACAAAATACTGTTGTGATCGATCTCAGGTCTGATATGTTAAATAGAATTGGCCTTTTCATTTTGCAAGCAGGGAATGCGTGCGAAGACCCTGACAGTGTGAAGCAACCATCACGGTGGCACAAAGCCACCACAGTGCCATAACCTTGCGGTGAATTCACTACCTCATTATCTCATTGTCGCACGAAGCATAATTAATGAGATTATAGACACAGCTCGCACAGCCAATCAATCAACCAGCCACTGCAAATAATCTGATTATACAAAGTCTACGTAGGCTCCCTGGTTCAGGGTATAGTGTATTGTCTGGGGCTAAGCAAAGTACGCGTGTACGTTGAACTTCTTTCGCACCGTACGTAGCCAACCGTGCTAATCGGGGGTGTGGGGGAAGGACAACAAACTAAATTCAAGAAAAAAGTTAATGAGTATTCTACACGTTCCCTAACCCATGTACACCAGTACCTCGTGGTGCGGTGTGATGGGCGCGTGGTCACTGAGGAGCCAGTGCGAGATGCGATGGGTCAGTGTCAGATTTTTTTCTTTTTTAAATCCTTTATATTAAGTTCACTTGCGCGCTTGCTTGCTTGCTTACGACCGTGCAAATCTTTCGGTCGTTTTTTAACCCACTTCCCGTGATCCAATCGAGCTGACATTTTGCACACAGACTCGTTGTGCGAGACAATTAATGTTCGTGAAAATTTTTTTCCAAAATTTTACACTGTTTAGGGAAAACAAATTAAATATTTAATTACCAATTGCTGAATACTGGCAGACAATCATCTGACCCATAGGTGGCAGCCATCTCAAGCCAGAGGACGAGAGGACTCTAGCCGCCACGCATATAAAGGATTTATAGTGAAAAACTTTGTTTTTACGAGTTTACTTGTTACAAAGTGCTGGCAGGGGTTGTCATTTTGAAGTAACCTTGTTCCAAATGTGACCAGAGCGACATGGCCAGCCCCGCTGACCGTGGGGTCGGCCGTGGCTGTAATGGTTTCCATTGGTGTTAGTTTAATCGGTGTATGAAAACTAAGAGTAGGTTTTACCCTTTCTGGCAATTAAACAGGTGTTAAGATGTTGCAAATACCAAATAGAAAACCTTTTCATCGGCGTGTTAGTCCCAGTATAGCCGACGACAACATGTGGAATTTTAGTTAAGTCTCAGTTTGTAGCTTTAATAGATTAATTAATTAAATTAAACGCTCACTAAAATTAACACTGGCTCAGAGATAGCCGTGGCATCATCTCAACATGAAGCACCAAAATCATCCAAAGATAAGAATATTCTGTCTCCATGCCACCACCGTGTATTTATTCTCATCCGTACAGTCGACATTTCCTGGGTGAAAGGGTTATCGGCAGCTGTAGCCCTGAAGCTGATTAGTGAGAACGAGAGAGTGCTCACCCTTGGCACATGGAAGGCCGTCTGAGATTAAGACTGTGGTGCCGAAGGGTTCATGCCGGAGCGTGCGAGACCGGCGGCCGTGACCGGTGTTGCATGCTCGTTGCGAGCAGCGAACGCGAAGAAAGACTGTCGATTTTCAAAACTCGCTAATGCGGCAGCGTTAAGGTGAAGAGGTCATCTCGGCGGAGCGCTGCTGATGCCGTCACGCCTCGTCATCGCATGTTTGCTTGTGCTAGATCCTGTAGTTATGAGGTTGATACCTGACCATCAAGGTCCGCTCCTGCGGTGTCTTCATCACCACCATATGGCTGAAGGTCTTCTCCTTGGTTGCTGAGCCCTCTGGGTGCCACTCCATTGCCTGCCTCGGTGACCTGTCCCCTCGTCCATCCTGCACGTGTGTCCCACCAAACTCAACCGCCTTTAATCTTTGTAGCTGCGTTCTGTTACAAACTTCAAAGTTGCTTACTGTGCAATGAATATGTGTGTATGTTGAACTTCATTTGCACCGTATGTAGCCAATAGGATTCTCCATAAACACAAGTTTATTTCTAGATGCTCTCTAACCCATGCAGTAACATGGACATTATTACTGCCTCAAACCCCTCTCTTCATACTACAGATGACATCCTTAATTTTACATAGTGGTCTATTTAGTATGTCCAAATGCACACTACTAACTCAATAAGCCTCCTGATTTTCTTCTCATAACCCCCTGCATAATACACATCATCATCATCATTGGCCATGATCAATCCACTGCTGGATGAAGGCCTCCCCAAGCCATCTCCATCTCTCACAACCTTGCGATGCAACAATCCATTCAGGTCTTGCACACGAGTTCTGATTAGCACGGTTGGCTGCGTACGGCGCAAAAGAAGTTCATACATACGAGTTAATTTCATTGCTCTATCTCTGCTGTAGACATCCTCTCAGGCACGTTCCTTACCTTGGCTACTACTGCATCATGAGCCCCAACCATCGGCCGTCATTCCCTGACACATGTCCTTTCCCCCACTATCCTTTCCTCTACGAGTCTACGTCAATATGATTTCTCTTAACGCGCACGTGACTACCTAAATACACAATGTCATCTACGATCTCCACAGCCTCATTTCATTTTGTAAGTGTGCATGGGACCAATCAATTCCTAACCACTGCCGTCAACTTCATTTTAGAGTCAATCGCATCGAGAGCCCAATGTCTGGCCTCTGCAATTACAACTGCCAAAAGAATCTGAGGAAAGCGCGAAAAGTTTCACTTTCACACATTCGCCCCACAATAACACGACTTCCCCAGCGGTGCTTGACAGCGCACGGGTGGAAGGTGGTGAGCAGGCTCTTCTCCTGCCACGGCTATAGACATCTCCATTGACACACATGGGTCTTATTTTCCAGAACTGTTTGCAGTCAGATACACGGGTCTGTGGAGTTCTACAACGCTGCCCACTCTCAACAAGCAGCAACTTTAATGTCGTGTCGTGGGACGTTACTCTGGCCATGCTTTAAACGATGCTTTGCACTTCAGTCGCGCTCCCGGGCCGCAAGTTTTAAACGAATGGAGTCATCATTGTGTTTGAGTTATATTTTTCGAGTGCTCTTCACGAAGGGTGCAGTGGATAGAACGCTGCGCTATGAACCCGGCGACAACCTAAGTTCCATTCCCGGCAGCGGCTGATGTCAGTGATGAGAGATATCCGAAACAGAATCATCAGAATCAGAATATTTATTTATACTGGAGGAATCCGATGAGCTATAAAGCTCTTGTTCACAGATGTCCAGTCCCACATCCCCAGCAGGGGCATGAGCAAGCAGTTGCAGTGTTGCACCTCAACCTCTTTTGTTAACTAAGCTCCCCCCACTTCCCCACAGCCGCACAATGAGATGGCGTCACGTGGCGCGTAACATGCAATGTCATCTTACTGCGGGGAGAGTAGCAATACTATCCCTTATTACATTATTTCTTATCAAGCGATTCCAAGAACAAATCCACGTTGGAAAGCGTCACAGAATCCAAGCATATGCATACTTTTTCTTGTTATATTTATACATACCTGCTTTTTTACTCATATTTAACATTTATTTGTGTTTATGCGATATATTCGACTTCTCATACGAGTCGGTTCTTTTTGTTCCGATTTCTGTTCGCTTCATCGCTGTGCATTGTTTCCTTTGGCTTTTATAATGTTTTTTTTTGTCAAAAAACGGCTCACTCTTGCAAAGGAGGCCATCCTGGTGGTCTCTAGAGTCTCTGGACCCGGTTCTTTCCGTGTGAGCTTGACACGGCCCCGTTCTGTGTCTTCGCAGATCTACCACCACGTCACCGGCCACTACGCCGCCACCCACGAACTGCCCATGGCTTGACCCATGGCCCCTTGACTTTGGACTCCAACCCCATCCTCGCCTGCCAACTTCACCAGCATTCCAATCGCACTCATCATTCTCCCCAGTCCTACCACCCTCGCCAATGATTAATTTCTGCCCTGATTTAACCTTTTAATTTGACATTTAATTTTCAGCATGTGACGCTGGGTTTTTTCCATTTTAAATGCAGGTGAAAACAAAAAGATTACCAATGTGTACAACAAACGTAAACTTGTTAATTGTCACTGCTGGTTATTTTGTTTGCAGTCTTGCTGCTGTACAGCTCTGCAATGCATTTTGGGGTTGTTACCGTTTGCCATTCGGCATGAAATGTCTGACGTTTCGCTCTTAAGTATTCGGACCTTCAGGAAGTAAACATCAATAAAAAACAATTCATTTCCTGAAGAAGCTCCCCATATATTTGGAGCTAAATATCCGATATGATGCCGAACAATGCGTGGTACAACCCTGGAGAGAACGCATCGTTGAGCTGTTTAATTGATCTTTGTTACCTCTTGATGTCTGCGAGTTTTATAGGAGTACATTCCACAGCATAAACGAGTGTGCATTTTTCGGATGGGCGGTTGTGTCAACCGAGACAAATCAGATGTGGTAGGGATGCCCCTAATCTGAGCCACCATTAAGCTATGTTAGTGTTCATCCAGGCATGTTTTCATGTTTCATTTATTAGGATTAGCCCTGTGAGCCATGCGGCTGTTAAGTCGGGTGCAACCACAACAAACAAAATATGAACACAGAACATCCCAAAGCGACGACGCGCAACAGAAACATCCTGGAATAAACCAGCAAATATTCAAACAAAAAATAATTAAAACGCTGTGTGCAAAAATCCTAATGTGGGGCAAGCCAACAACAAGTGAACCATACAAAACATGCAACCTGGCTCCGTGCCTGCATAAAATAAGTGTCCGAATTTGCAGTGTTGTGGTTGCAGTCTCTTGAGGGCCAGGCTGTGCAAAACTTTTGCATAATTGGTGTGCCAGACTACTGAGCAGCACAAACCTGCGACACGCGCGGTAACTTCGGGAGTTTTTTAAATCACTCGGAGAGAGTCGAGCCAAGAAGAGGCAATTGTCACTGTCACGGGAGGAAGTTATCTGCGATTTTCGTCCCAGCCTCGACAGACTGCGGCTCTCTGCGTGTGTGAGAGGAAGCAAGGAATACAAGTCAACAAATACAGGACATTGCTATGGGGCATGTAATTACATATTGCTTCAACGATATTGATTATTGAATTCCACGTGTGAAAGAAGGGATGTTATTCTTTTTATTTGTATGCGTTGTAATGGTCGACTGCGATGTGACTCCTGCTGGGTTGACCGTGGATGTTGATGGATACGTGACCACCGGGCTTGAACAGGTGCTGTGGGCTGCTGTGGGGCTATCCTGTCAGCAGAGGGCAGTGCGGCAAAATCCATTGGATGTGTGCTCCCAAATGGGAAATTTAACACATTCCTGCGGAGGCAGCTGGTAGGAACGTTGGGTTGCTCGGTCAATGGCCAGGGTCAACGGCGGTAGTGGTGTATTCCGCAAAGATGCCAGACTGAGGGCGGGCACAAGCCGGCGTGAGTAGGTTAAACGTTGAGTTTTATCAGGGCACCACGGGGTGACCAGCCCTTCCCCACCCAGCCCCACCCCTTCCACCCCCCACCCAGCCCTTCCCTACCCAGCCTCTTCCTGCACTACGGACGGACACAATAATCCCTTGTGGGCTGGTGTAACCAGGAGGTTCCTACCAGTGAAAGTGTATTCGGGAAAAATGGAAGGAACCGGAAAGAGAGGAAGACCTAACGGAGAATGGCTTAACGACGATGACGTCAGAGATTGGTGCCAGAAAGACGTAGCACAACTAACCATTTTGGTACAAGACAGGAAAGTGGAAACATAAAATATGAAGTCGACACCTCTGGGCAATCTGCCCATGGGGACAGTCATGATGATATGCTCCAAAGTCCGAGCGCTTTCCCAACCCACACTGACCAGCGTGGTGAAGTATCACATTTCCCTCGTGGAATGGCCTTCAGCATTTGATTGACAAGGGCTGTATTGAGGTGTACGTACAGAAAGGATAAGCGGCATGCCAAGGGTGCACCACAAGGCAGCAGGAGGGTTGTGGCTGAGGATTTGTGCCTCTTCACACTCAGGACCTCCCCCCCGTCCTGTTGACGATTTGTTTCAATCAGTGGTGCAGCGCTAGACGAGTTCACAATCGCCATAATAGCGGTTACAAGAGAACACTTTGATCCCGAAGTTGTGGCTTTATGCATGCCATGAGTGCGTGAATTCATTATCCGCTGTGCGCGATAATCAACTCTTGTCAATGACGACGAAAACCCGCCCCATCACAACAGAGTAATACCCCACGCTGGAAAACCAGAAGTGCCAGACAAGACACGAACAATGTGGAAAAGGCACACGGGCTTTCGCACCTACGAGTAGCACGGTTGGCTACGTACGGTGCGAAAGAAGTTCAACACATACGCCGACGTTTGATTTTTTTTTGCATACGCACGAATGGTCGCGTGCGTTTTACACATTGTTGCGTCTTATTGCACGCTTGCTTGCAGCCCTTTGTCAATCCACTGCTATGCGGAAGGCCTCCCCGCGCGTTGCTGATGATTGAAGGTGGTTCGACCACATACTTCGCAACGCCGGGCAATGTGAGTTTGGTGAGGAAAAGGAGGCCAGGATCGAGGATCGCCTCGGTCATCAGTCGCCACCGGCGTTAGCCGTGGCCGGGATTCGGGCTCGGTTAACCGCGTTCGCAGCACAACAAAACTGCACGTGTCGCCTAAGACGTCCATTAGCATATTTTAAGTGGTACATCAAAAGCGTGCAATATTCGAGTCACGTCGCTATCTCATTAAACAATCGTGTTTTAATTGATCAGAAGCTTGGCACGGCATACTTTTGAATGTTGCATGAGGGTATAAGGTAATCTTCCGTTTAATTTGTTCCCTTTTATCTCAAATCAAAGGCTCGCGTGAATTTATAAAACTATGAATAAAATTATGATCTGTAAGGGAACAATGTTTTATGTGGTTCCTGCTCGTTTCGACGAGGATGTTTACTCCGTGCAGCAGCAGCATCAGCAGCAGCCATCTATCCACTGCTCAATGAAAGCCTCAATCCAGCTTAACCTGCTACACAAGGCGATTTCATCGCTCCATCTTTCAGCAGCCCATTGACCAATTGGAGTCGATGTAACCTGCAAAGATGGCACTGTCCTGTGCCTAAGGTCAACACCTCGCACCTCAACAAGGTGGTGTCTGGGGTAGTGCAGCAAGTAGGTTCCCGACCTGTTATCTGTGCAGAGTTTTGAGTCGTGCCCTCCCATATGCATGCATGTGTAGTGACTAACTCCGAGACGATAAGACTTGGAGGCACTTATATTTCACTAGCACCATCGGTATAATACATACCCTACGTGGGTAAATAATAAAAAATAATAGAAATAATAATTATTATTTCTATTATTTTTACCTACGTGACTTTACCGGAAAAAAAACCTAAGAGTATAAATCCTTGCAGTCACGAAAGCTTCAAATCTAGAATTAACACCCTACGTGGGTACACACACTACAGTTGCTCGTCTATACACAACTCTACGTGGGTACACATACTGTTGCTAGCCTATACACAACTCTAACCGTCTAACACTGACGGCGCTGAACCGAGACCGCCAACAACTATCTGGCAATGCAATATCGAGTGGAGGCGACAGCGACGATGGCAACGAGAATCCCACTCCAACGACAGCCCCGAGGTCCCCCCACAGGGGCCCTCTTGTACTGTCAGCGTGGCCTCACTCCGCTCCGGCCACACCCCCTTTCTGGAACCTACGAGCGGGTTCCTGGTGGGCCCCTCCTGTGACCTTTCCCCGAGGTCCCCCCTCGTGTATATCGTGGCCTGCTGACGTCAGAACTGCCTTGCCGCAGATCCCCTTTTCTGCCAGCAGCCAGCACTATGCCACTACACACGTGTAGGGGGTTCTACGGAGGCATACACTTGAACTTGGAGGCAACACGTTTATTCTCACACCACAACAGGGTAACTGCATGAACGTGCACTGGTTAACTAGGCCACAATGGGGTAACTATAACCGGGTCAGTCAGTAACACACTGCCTGACCCACGATGCTGAGCATAAAGACCGAGGATGGAAGCGACGTAGCACCGACGGGTTCCATTCCTAAAAACAGACTCGATTGCTCTTGGGACCTCTCTTTTATGCTGCCGGGCGCGGCCTCGCTCCGCCCTCGGCCATGCCCTCTTCTAAAACTCACCAGAAGGTTCTCATCCGAGCATGACGTGTCCCTTGAGCCCCCTTTGACCCCCCTCGCGCCGGTCACGTGCCCTCTCGGGGTCACCCAGACTGCCATGTCCTCAGATGCCCTCTCTTTTGACCGTTCTCCGAGCCATGCCCTCTAGGGCCTGCTTCCATGCCATAGCTGCTCCAGTGCCAGAGAAAGGCTCAAGACGTACAATTCCACTTCTTACGACAGTAGCTGGCGCTAAACCACTACGGTGACTTCATTTACGTCACTACACATGCATGGGGTTTCTTACTACCAAATTACCCGGAATGGGCCCGATTTTAGAAGCCAAAGAACCGGGTTGTAGGTTGTCCAGGGCTCGTGTAAATATTGGCGTCATTGTTGCCAAGCCTCCCGTGTCACCGTCAAATGTCACGGACTTCGTGACTGATAAGCGGACGCATGGAACTTTGCCCCCTCGTTATCCTGTGACCGTAAAGTTGAGGTTGAACTCCCGATATATATACAACAACCCTTTGCCCTCAACCATAGCACATCCCAACATCCCCAATCACACACACACGCGCAGGAGACATACGCATATACCTGCTACCTTGAACTTGTACTGCTACGTGTTGCGCAACTTGCTGTTAGCAAGCACTGATTAAGGCCGGCACAGCACGCAAGGGTTGCACTGATGAAAGCTGCATCACGCCCGGCCGCCTTTGTCTCCCCAACATGCTCACGCACAACACCATGGTCATTTGAGGCCGAGTCAACCTACAGATTGCCATTGCAGTGTTGGGGGGAGGAGGGAAGGAGAGAGTCGTGGATGGGAAAACAAACCCAAAATTGGAGACGTATAAACATTGCAGAGAAAACGAGTTGGCTTGAGTGGGACCCGTCATAGCGAGAAGAGACGATGATGAAGAGGAAGTTTCTTTTACTCTTTGGTTCTTTCGGTAAAGTTTATTTTATTTTGCGAGGTGAGAACTCATGGGACCGAGGTTGGTCTCATTTGCAACAGTGACGTGGGTCACCACAATCACAAACAAATCAAGCGCATCAATGAAGCAACTGCTGTGTAATTGAGCACAAACAAGTATAACCCGTAAAAACAATTTTTTTTACTATTAAGCCTTTATATGCGTGGCGGCTAGAGTCCTCTCGTCCTCTGGCTTGAGATGGCTGCCACCTATGGGTCAGATGATTGCATGGTAGCATTAAGCAATTGGCAATTAAATATAATATTTTTGTCCTAAAAAGTGTAAAATTTTGGAGAAAAAAATTGCACGAACATTAATTGTCACGCACAACGAGTCTGTGTGGAAAATGTCAGCTCGATTGGATCACGGGAAGTGGGTTAAAAAACGACCGAAAGATTTGCACGGTCCTAAGCATGCAAGCAAGTGAACTTAATATAAAGGATTTAAAAACAACCGTGTCGCGTGAAGAATGGAAAACACGGCACGCACGTAAATCAACGTTAAAAATATCGCCTTCCCTCCAGCGGTTTTTTAAAATCCTTTATATTAAGTTCACTTGCTTGCTTGCTTGCGCGCTTACGACCGTACAAATCTTTCGGTCGTTTTTAACCCACTTCCCGTGATCCAATCGAGCTGACATTTTGCACACAGACTCGTTGTGCGTGACAATGTATTTTCTTGAAAAAAATTTTCCTAAATTTTACACTTTTTAGGATTTTTTTTATATTTAATTACCAATTGCTTAATGGTGGCAGGCAATCATCTGACCCATAGGTGGCAGCCATCTCAAGCCAGACGACGAGAGGACTCTAGCCGCCTCGCATATAAAGGATTTATAGTGAAAAACTTAGTTTTTACGGGTTAAATTTTTTTCCAAGACTGTTCATCGTACAATGTAGTTCCAGAAAGCATTGCACAGATAGATCTAGAGTGACTTGCACTAAAATGGAAACTTGACAAGGGAACACACACAGTACCGTCCACATCAAATACGCGAAGTTGCGACGCAGCCACCGAAGCGACAGCCTAACGCCACGAGGTCCATTGGCGTCCACGACAAAGATCACCGCGGAGGGCAACCTCCAACAGACGGTCAGGACAAGTGCTGTTAGCGAGCGCCTATTTAACCACGGGGTTGGTGGCAAGCACCACGCCCGGCCGCTTTTGTCTCGCGCGTGGCGATGTTGACATATCGCACCATGCACTTAAGTATTTTAAGCTGAGTCGACCTAGGGGAGGCCCAGAACTGTTTAGCTACGGTCATCGTCCTTGCCGGGTTCGTAGCGCAGCGCGCTAACCACCGTGCCACCCATCGCTCTCCACTTTCACACAAAGACAAAGCTCCCCCGTGTAGCCTTAACAGACTATAGTGGCAAGTGCTGTTAGCGAGCACCTATGAAGGCCGGAAAACGGCACACGAGGGGGTGGGTGGCCAGCACCACGCCCGGCCGCCTTTGTCTCCCCAGTGGCGATGTTTACACACCGCACCAGGTACACTTTTCAGGCTGAGTCGACCTAGGGGAGATCCAGGACCCGCTCGTATAATCGTCACTGGCGTTGGTGGCCGTGAGCGTGAATCGAACTCGGGTGGCCGGGTTCGTAGCGCAGTGCGCAAGCCACTGTGCCACCCCCCACTTTCACGCAGCAAAGAAAATAAAACAGACACGGGCGGATTGCTGTGAGTTTACGATTGCCTAACCTTGGCTTTCGTGCCACAAACAGGCAACTCCGATCCAGTACACTCCGGTTGGCTTCTCTTTCGCCTCCCAAACCCGCCCTGCAACTTTTTTTTGTGTTCCACCGCGAGATTTCGCAATGACTCCACCCCTCTCCCAGGCCCTTTCATATTTCACAGCCACCCACCCCTCCCATCCACCCACCCCTCCTATCTCGCTAAACCCACGACCACACTCTCATTCTTTCAGGTGGAGCTGAGCGCGCAGTGCCCATTGTCACTTGTGCAGTTGTCTCTCTCTCGACAGGTCCACAATGGTGTTCTACGACGATGCCGTGTTCGCGTCCTTCGCGACTCACGCCACCGCGGTTCTCTTGAAGATGATGCTGATGGGACCGATCACGGGGTTCTATCGCTTCACTCGCAAGGTATAAATAACGCGGCACGTGCGTGTGTCTGTGTGTGTGTCGACTCAGCCTCAAATGAGTACCTGGTGCGGTGTGTAAACATCGCCACTGGGGAGACAAAGGCGGCCGGGCGTGGTTCTGGCCACCCACCCCCTCGTGTGCCGTGCCGGCCTTAATACGTACTCACCAACAGCACTTGCCCCAACAGTCTGTTAAGGCTATACGGGGGATCTTTGTCTTTGTATGTGCGTTCGTGTAGGTGCAGAGAGTATCGGTGTGTGTGTTAATGTCCGTGTGTTATGTCTGTGTGTGCCTGCACGTTCACCTGTGCACGCACCAATGCATTCCCGTCCGTATGTGTGCAGAGGAATGTGTGAACGTGAGCATACGGTTCATGGGTGCTACTCGCAAAAACGGCACTTGCTCCAAAAGTCTGCTAAGGCCATAATGCAGAGTGGCTCTTAACCTGGGCTGCATGCACCCCCAGCAGGTGCGAGATGCCCTTTCTGGGGGTAGGAGACATGGCAGATTTTTTTTTATAAAGTAAGAAAGTTTCGAAACACAAACTAAGCATGGGCATGTAACTACAACTACAGTACTCTGTTTCATCAAACCCTATGTATTTATTAACATACATTTTCTTTACGATTGAGAACCAACGAGACGCAAGGCTGCAGTAAAGATTAAGAACCACTGCTAGAAGGGATCAGATATCTGTCTGTGTGCGTATATTTCATGTGTTTATGGGAGCAGATCGGCGGGGGCACTGCATTACGATACCAGCAAACAGCGGCTTGGGCTCGATTCCTGGCCACGGCTAACATCAGTGGCGAGTAATATCTGAACCTATCTTGCCCAGCCCCCATGGGTAGATGTATACACAAGGAAGTGTGCAATCGATAAAGATCCGAGGTTTGAGTGTTTCTTGTCTTTAATAATTTAAGTTCTCTCTGTCTTGAAGAACTCCAGTGTCAGGTGATACACAAGTGACGCGTTACATTCCCCGCGCCAAAGTCTCACGAAAAGAAATCCTTTGTTACGAGGCAGTCAGTGAATCATTTTCCTGGTTCACGTGTTGGAACATTTCTCACACGTTCCGCACGCACAAGTAAGTAGCTTAGTAGGCATGCTGGTGTAGTGTAGTGGTGTTAGGAGTTAGCACGCTGGACTTAGAATATATCGAGATGTCGCCAATTCGTTCGTTTTGGTAGTTTGGAGAGAAAACATTGGCTAAATCCTCACCGCACACAGCCACCTCTTGTCTACCCAGCAATGTAAATTGGCGCGACAGAGTTCATCAGAGGGCAGGTCGCACGCGGCGGGGTCAAGTGTGGTTACTCTGGACTTCACACCTGCAGAGGGGGGCCCTATTTACCAGCGGTTGGCCTGAGCAAGAAATTGCACGGGCTGCGACCTTTAGATTCGCACGTGCATCAGCTGCTGCTCCAGCTGCTGCGAACACGTTTTAGCAAGACCCACGTTTGAGATATGGTGAACTGTGGACTGGAATGAACGGGTGAGGGTGGTGTGATTTTTGGGAGCGTGTGGAGTCCACTTACTCTGCGTGTTTTTTCAATTAGACTGAATGTGGCGTGTGTGTGTATATATCGCAGTTGTGCAAAAAAAAAGCACCCACCATTCAGCCCTGCATGAACTTGTGGTGCAAAGGTTATTAGCGAGCACCGATTATTATTAACGGATCGTAGGAGGCGCCTCGCACGCGCGTGAGTGAGTGATGCGGTCAGAATCACGTCCCCACCCTCTTTGTCTCCCCAATGCTGACGTGCACCATACTGGTGCCGCTCGTGCTGTACTCACGTCATGGCGAGCTCACCTAGCAGACGGCTCGGCCAAGGTTCAGATAAGGCCTGCACGGGATTGACGACCGATTCGGAATTTGCGATTCAATTCCAAGGATCCGTTCTTGATTGTTTTTTTTCTCTTCTTGGCTCTTTCGGTAAAGTCATGTAGAAGGGAAATAATAAAATAATAAAAATAAAACATCGTGAGAATTGTATTTTTTAATGTTTTATTTTTATTCTTTTATTATTTCCCTCTACATTACTTTACCGAAAGAACCAAGAAGATGAATCCCTACAGTCACGAAAGCTTTAAATTGTTTTTCTCCTTCCACTGTGTGGTGGATGTAACGCCTCTAGTGGCTGCAGCGGTCACCTGAAAAAAAATCACAACATGGGCCTTTTAAACCATTTAAAACTAAATTATTATTTGTATTTTACCAGGTGTGAGGCCCACTGAGCTCTCTTTCAGAAGCAGCCTGGACACAAATGATCGCTCGACGAAGTGGCTCGTCGCGTGGGAATGTATCACAGCCAAAGAGTCTAAACACACGTTTCTAAATGTTGAGGGAAAAACCCGAAGACCCAGAGAAAAATCCACGCGACCACGGGGAGAGACCACGCAAACTCCAAATATACAGCAGCAGCGTGAGGGTCGGGATCGAACCCATGACCTCCTGCATACCAGGCGAGGGAATTGACATCTCGCCTGCTGGATGAGGGCCTTTCCACACCGCGTAAGGTCGTTTGACCACACTTCATGTTGGTCAGCGTGGGTTGGTGATTCAAATTATTGGATTGTAGCTGCAACATACTGGATTCCTGTATGAACGATTCGATACCTGCGTCGCGATGGTCAGAATTGGTTTTAATCGACTGATCAATGCATCGTCGCGCGCCTAATTTGGACTTGGGGTGAGGTCCACACGTTTGTGAAGCGGGCAAAAACACCACTGGCTGGCGGGTGGAGATGTCGGCACAAAATCGGTAACATTCGAAGAATTAAAAAAAAACACTTATTTTACGTGTACACGTCATATCCGAATCGCGATCCTAATTGTTGATTAACCCATTAGTTCGACGTTAAAAAGTCACTTCCCGATTACACCGGCGGTTACGCACGTCGTCAAAAAGTGAAACGTGAGCCCGATAATCGTGGACCAGCCGCACCTGGGCCGACGCAGCAACAGCGAGCGCCCTAACGACGCCCGCCGCTCTGCTCCTTGCGCCCCTTGTGACGACGCAGGCGTTTTCCAACCCCGAAGACTGCATGGGCAATAAGGAGGAGGCAAAGAAGAGCCTGCGTACCGACCCGAGCGTGGAGCGCGTCAGGAGGTGAGCTGTCTAAATAACAACACAACAACCACAACAACAACACAATAACAAACACCCGCCATTCGCCACTAAGTGGTGACGACGAGACCCAATGCGCCTGTGCCAGGCTAGGTGCACTATGAGGCTATCACGTGAAGTGTCGAAGGCTCGCTGGCAAGGAGGTGACGGAACAAGCCCAGGTGCCATGGGTTGACTTACTTGAGATGAAATGCATACAAAGACAAAGATCACCCATGTAGGCTTAACAGACCATTGGGGCAAGTGCTGTTGACGAGCACCTACAAAGGACAGCATGGGCTCAAGGGGGTGGCGTGGTCAGCCAGCACCGCGCCCGGCCGCCTTTGTTTCCCCTGTGGCAATGTTTACACACTGCACCAGGTACTCATTTGAGGCTGAGTCGACCTAGGGGGAGGCTCGGGACCGGTTCAAATATTCTCCACTGTTATCAGTCGTAACCGGTGAAGCCCAAGAGAAAAAATAAAACTCGGGTTACTGGGTTCGTAGCGCAGCGCGCTCACCGCTGCAATACGGCTCCCCATGCTCATGCACACACACACACAGTCTGCACCCTCCTATATATCTCCCATTACCCCTTAACAGAGCTCATCAGAGATCCGACAGGAATGAGCTGGCTTCAGCCTGTATGGAAGAAAGCAATAGGCTATGGTTAACCTCGTTCGAACGACGCACGGCAGGTGCAATTGAGGTGATGTTGCAATCTGTTCATCGCCCAACCGAGCACTGCCCATGATGCACTTACACAGCAGGTACCGACGCCACACATCGATCAACCTCTGATGCTGGAGGATGGATCGCCGAACCTACGCCATTAAAATATCTTGTCAGTCGCTCTTCAAATGTCATGCAAAAGCGAGGCGTCTTAGCGCAGGCGTGGGGTGAGCCGCTAAAACCGAATCGGCCGTGGGGGCCTACATAGTTGCCATCACTAACGGCATTCACCCAACAGTCTGTTAAGACTATACGGAGGATCTTTGTCTTTGCCTATATACAGGGTGCTTAACATTTATTTTTACACTTATATGGGACTATCGTTTTTAATGGAAAAAGAACGAATAATACACTATAACATGATGACAAATGATTGTTAATCGCATTCAAAAAGCCAAATAATCTTCACTTGTTCGCCATCAATGTCGACGCGTACCTGGAATCTTCTCCAGGTGGTCCCCAGAGCTCGTAGGAGGCACATTACTTGTGGTGTTGTTGCAAATTCTCAGAAGTGTGACCATTGATTCGAAGCACCCCGTATTTGTCGGTACGGCGTAGAGCATTGAAGGCATAGAACGCTGGCAGGCAGATTTGAGTGGTCGCTCAGCCAGTTAGGAATGGTTTTCACAGTCGAATTCTGTTAAGGCTACAACAGCGGGCTTGATGGGTCTGTGTCTCTGGTCTACCAGGTGCCACCAGAACGACATTGAGAACATCCTGCCCTTCCTCGGCGTGGGGCTGCTGTACGCGCTGTCGGGGCCCGACCCGTGGATCGCGCTGCTCCACTTCCGCGTGTTCCTGGCGTCGCGCATCGTGCACACCATCGCGTACCTGGCGCCGCTGCCCCAGCCGACGCGAGCCATCGCCTACCTGCTGGGCGTCGTCTCCACCTTCTCCATGGCCGTGGCGGTGATGAGGCTCCGAGTCTTCGTCTGAGCCCGGCGGTTGGGGTGGTCTCCCCGATTCGGCTTGGGGGCACCAGGGTGAAGACTGCGATTTGTGGAGGAGGCGCAGAGTGGTTTTAGGTTAGCCAATTAAATGATCAAACATTAACAATAAACTAGCCGAATCATAAACTAGTCCTAACCCTCTCACAATACTCATAACTAGCTCACCAGCCACGAGTAGTAGTATCTCTATCCCTAACCAACGAGCAATAGCCGTCTTGCTGACCATAACCCTACCTTTAAATCCTAACAAAATTGCCAACCAGCCACTACCGCTAGCCCTCTCAATGATGCTACCTCCACCCATAACTCCACCTCATGTGCTTTACTAGGGACCCTCTTAAATGTTTGGTTCACTTTTCAAGCGTTGCCCTCACAGCTCTGAGAGGCCGATGAATCTAGTAGTGCCAAACCCCTGCAAAATACCCCACAAAATACCCACGTGCAAATCTCTCCGGCGTTCCCGGTGGCAGGGTTTATACACAAGCTCTCCCTGGGGCACCACTATCTTGTACGTCATCAGTTTTTCTTCCGATTCCATTGAGATGATGTATGTGTACGTTATTTAAAAAAATGGTAGAAAAAACTCAAATAACATAACTTTATCAGCACCGAGGCTCCCACAAGGCCATGCGGGAGGGCGTGTGGCACAGTTTGGCGCCAGCTATCGTAGAGTGTGGTCGTGTTGCGTTCAGTTCTCTGCGGTGAGTGTCTTTAAAAACAACGGCGCTATCTAAATAAAATGAACGCTGAACTATCTTGCGCGTTCCGAGATTCAGAGATAAACGGGACTCGCCGTACAACTTGCAGACGTCTCGGAACGTGAAAGGGTTAAGAGGCACAACCCAAACTACAAAGAGCAAAATTTTGACTTAAAACTTTCGTGACTGCATGAATTCATATTCTTTGGTTCTTTCGGTAAAGTCACGTAGATAAAATAAATAAATAAATAATGGGCAACATATTTTCTTAATATTTTTTATTTTTTTAAATAAAAAATTATTACAAATTAAAGTAAAATTTTTTTTTAATAAAAAAATAAAAATGACAAATATTTTTAATTTGAATTTTTATTTTCTATCTACGTGACTTTTCCGAAAGAACCAAATAATACAAAGAGCTATTGCAGACATATATATACCCATACCCGGGACGTGTGTTCCTGTGGGGCTACATGGGTGAGCAGCAGAGAGCAGTGCAGTAAAAATGCATTGTTGCACAGTTCTTCTATGCTCCCAACCCGAGCTGGCCAGCCAGCATGGTGCGGTTTGGTCAAATAACCCCAATGATGCACCTGGCGTGGGGAGGCCCTCATCTAGCAGTGGGTTGGCAAAGGAAGGTGGATGTGCGTGTCCACGAGTGTTGTTAACGGGGCCACCCTCACGCGGTTTACTGCGCGTTTGTGCAAATTCTACCGACGGCAACACCGCTGTGACAGTAAATAATCGGACAACCTCAATCATTTTATATTTTAATTGTCCACGGCACGCAATGTTGGAACCTGCCGGATATCGCTCGCGTGACCTCGTACGTGGTCTACGCCTGTGCACAGAGGTGTTTTGGTTTTACAAGCGTCGGCGCACCCTACCCCCCACCCCCACCCCCTCACAAGTCCGTTCTCTCTGAGGTTTCATCTCGTCGTGTTACGAATAAATTCGTTGATTGATGGCGCGCGTGCTCCCAGTGTCTCGGATAAATCGCGTTAAAACTGAGTTTATGCCTCCCGTTCCCCCCCCCCCCCCCCACCTTCGCTTCACACCACGATTATCACCGCCAGCATGCGATTACTGGCTGAGCAACGACGCGCCGCCCGCTTTACAGCGGACGTTAAAGACCCCCGTGACGTCGTTGGCGAGAGGAGGCCGTCGTGCGCCGGCGTCACGGCCCAAACATTTGCAAGATTCGGTAAACGACTCGGCAGATTACTCAAGCGTCACGGCGTCTTTCGAGGTGGGGGGTGGGGGGTGGGGGGGCGCATTCCCCGTCTCGGCACGACACCACCCCACGTCTCGTGCACCGAAATCTGTCAAGACGGACGCGCGCGAGAGCAATTGTCCAACCCACGCTGGCATATGAAGCGATGCGCTCGATCGCCCGCGCTCGATCGACGTGGGGGATCAAATACAAATTACGACCGTGGGGAGCACAGAGTAATTGCAATTTGATGACCCAATTTGAAAAGCCGCTACCGTTCCATTAGAGCGTAAATGTAGAGATTATTCAGATTACAATTTGGGTTCTCTAATTGTCCTCATGCCTCGGACACGTGGACACCGGCAACGTGTGTTATAGGTTGACCCTCTGCTCCACAACCTTTTTTGCGGGCTAATTGTGAATCTCATTATGAAATCGAGGTTTTTTTTTTTCCTCTTCATAACTACAAACTGAACCCGTGTTTCCCGACGGCGGTGGCTGTACGCACGTGGCCTTGGGAGACGGCGAGGGTTGGTGGGTCACACACGCGCGCTGCGACGATCCAATCGCGTAGGCGTCGAGGAGGTGCCGTCACCCTGGCCGTAATATGAACACATCTGGATATGTTATATTGTGTAGATATATATACACGTAGAATTGGCGTATTTTTTAAATATAATTTTGATGCAGGTGTGTCCGCAATTATATTGTACATTTATTTAATTTGCATGATGGTCGTTATTGCGCTGCTGGGACTGATGAAAAGGCGCTCCATAGACTTGTTCCTGCATGCTCACGCAGACTCAAAGCGCTGACAAAGATCCCCCGTGTAGCCTTCAACTGATTGTTGGGGCAAGTGCTGTTAGCGAGTAGCACTTGTGAAGACCACTGCCACAAGGGCCTGGTGTGTGGCCAGAAACCACGCCAGACCGCCTTTGTATCCCCGGCAGTATGTTCTTGTTGTTTACACATCACGCCGGGTTCCCTGGTTATGGCTGAGTCAACCTACGGGAGACCCATAACCCCATAACCGGTTCAGATATTCGCTACCGATGATGGCCGTGAATGGGAATCGAACTCGGGTCGCCGAGTACGTAGCGCCGGGCAGTAGTAACCACTGCACCACCCCCCACACACACGAATCTATATAACAATTGTCAGATTTCAATTGCGTCTAGACACGGTTGCGTGGGATCAATAGCAATGTCCACTTGTGTGAGCCTGCTATGTAAGGCACGTTCTATCAAGCAATGCGTGTCTCGTCAACTCTTAGATTTATCATTGTTGTCTATCGTTTGTTATTTTCTGTCAACAACAAAAAAAACCCAGCAGGGTTGCAAGGATATCGATTCGTCCTGATACACGGAACCCTTACGTCTGGTGGCTGAACACGTGACAATTAAATATCGCGTGAGAATGTTCACCGGTGCCAATCGTCAACCTCTTGATGGAGCCATGGAATCATTATGAACTCGTGCGTACGAGTGACGTAGTTGCATCGCCATAAGGTGACGGCTTGGGAACGTATCCATGCAAATGTGGATAGATCGTCGCTTCTGATGCTGCTGCTTATGATGATGACGTTTCGTAATTCATGGCGCAGGGTGTTTAATGCCTTGAGTTCAGCAGACCGCGAGCTTTGGTAATAATTTTAACAGAAACGTGTTTTAGCTGACTGTGATAAGTTTAGAACCGGTACATTTCTACTAAGTGGCTCAAACACCACCAATAAATATAATCACCACCACCACTTCAAAACAAAGGCAACACACCCCCTCCCGCAAGTGCTGTTCGCGAACACCTTTTATAATTAACTAGCTGTACTACCCGGCTTCGCCCGAGACTTGGATCCACCACGCCTGACCGCCTTTGTCTCCCCAGTGGCGATCTTCACACACCACAGCAGTTACTCGTTTGAGGCTGAGTCGACCTAGGGGAGGCCCAGGACCGGTTAAAATAATCGTGACCGTGTTGACCGTGAGCGGGAATCGAACTCGGGTCGTCGGGTTCGTAGCGCAGCGCGCTAACCACGACACTACAATGCGTGACGCTTCCACATGCGCGGGTTACGTGACAGATTTGACGTCACAGCTGACTTGCCGTGCAAAAACTAAATGCATTATTGAGCTCCCCCCCACCCCCCAAAAAACAAAAGTGTATTTTTATAATTTTTGCATGGTGTACAGTCTGGAAAGTACCCACATGGCAAATTTCCAGTTTGTTGCATGTCGGGAAGTACGCTAAACATTTTGAACAGACACATAATCACAACTTGGCCTTTTATATATATGGAGAAGATCATGGGCTGGCGTGGTCGACCCACAGCGCACGGCCGCATTATTTGGCCGCCCCAAGGCTGAGTCCACTTAGAAGGACCACGTGGGCCATCGCGATGTAGCTGATGGATTCGGCGGTTGAGAAACTTCAATTCACATGCAAATGTATTCGTCTCGTCCATTCTAATCCATTCCATAGTTACGGAGGGGCAATGGAGAAACACAGAGAGAAAGAGAGTGTATTGCTAGACACTTTAATTGACGATGCCGCTGCTGCTGCTGCTGCACTCAATTTGTCGGTTTCCGACCACGACGCGTCTTTCATGCGGCACCTTTTGAAATGCAAATATGTCCTGCCGTCGTCTCGACGATGAAGGGGTGGGAGGGGAGCAGAGGTGATACTGACGAGGGAGAAAGCGCAGGTTCTTGACTGGCTCCAATCGGTTATGGAAAATGTGTTTGTTGTTGTTGTTGTGATAATGCGGTGACAGTGGTGCACGAGCACAAGCAACAACATCTCAGCACATTCGTCAATGATGCTGCCCCAAAAGAAAATATATAAAAGGTAACATTTCGGGCATTGGTTCTTTTTCACATCACATGTACTATCTATGTTGCTATGAAGATGGATCATCTAAGAGCTCTGCAGAATAACCATTACCTAAACGCCGTCAATCATGTTGTTGTTGTTCTTTTTCCTTTTAGGGCAATGTTGTTGTCGAATGTGAGTCTTCTTGTTTCTACTCGGAGCCGAAGCGTGGTTGGCATTGGCCTTGGTGTGCAAGGAATTCAATTACCCCGCGACTCTGTCCAATGTACCCTCCCTCCCGTCGCCGCCTCCTCTCCTTCGACTCTTCGTAGGGCCCCTTCCGCACGTGTGCCTCGATTAATTTTCACCGTCTGCGCCTGGACACTCACTCGATAGCTACATCACTGCCCCGTGAACTCGCAAAGGGACGCGGGGACAGTGGCCGGGCTTGGGTTGGTATGGAACCCTGTTGCAAGGAGTTGAACGATATTAAAACAAAATATTTTTTAGGGTATTTTACCAGGTAAGGCCCACTGAGCGATGTAGCTCTTTGTCAGAAGCGACCTGGCCACAAATGACAGCTGAACGAAGTGGCTTATCACGTGGTAATTTCCAGCATCCAAATACTCTGAACGCGTGTTGCCTAAATGTGGAGGGGAAAACCGGAGGACCCGGAGAAAAAATCCACGCGACTACGGGGAGAGAGAGAGAGAGAGACACGCAGACTCCAAATATACAGGAGGCGTCAGGGTCTGGATCGAACCCACGACCACCTGCATACCAGGCGAGGTAGTTAACATCTGGCTATCGCTCCCTCCCCGATGTCAAATGAACATGTGCATTACTCAAACGAGCATTGGGCGGCGCCCTTCTGCGCTGTTGTTGGTCAGCGATGAGCATTCCACATTCCTATGGCGGGGACGACAACGCAGAATATTAAAGTAGGCTGCTATATGATCACAAGCGTGGCCTTTTAACGAAGCAAATCGAACATAAACCTCAAAGTGTGGTATCGAGAGAAGCGTGTTTTTGGGATTACACTGAGAGACAGAAAGAGGAGCGTATGTCTGTTGAACTTCTTTCGCACCGTACCTAGCCAACCATGCTAATGGAAGTTGCGTAAAATACCCAGCGGCGTTGATACGCACGCAGCGCAAAGCAAAACTGTGGACCGGTTTCGACAGACAGCGTCTCATCGGCAGAGCACTCGCGAGACGGTGTATCCCTCGTCTTTCAACGAGATGATCTGCCGTCTGGCTCGTCGATTGTCACGACATGTGACGAGCACCGTCGCCTCCAACGCCCCCACGCGCGCCGCACGACTTCACCCATCATTCACATTTAATTGGGAGCCAAGATCCGCTCCGTCCGAAACAACGCGAGACCCGATCACCGCCGTAATTGCTCTGTCAACATGAACAGGCCCTATTTGTGTGGTGTGTGTGTCTATCTACTGCTGGATGAGGACGAGGGCTACCCCACGCCGCGCGGATTGTGTGCGTGGCGGAGTTACTCAACGGGAATTTGTTTTTATTTTCTATCTCCGTGACTTTACCGAAGGAACCAAGAATATGAGAATTCGCCACGTTGGTGAGTGGCGGGGTCAGTGCAGTGTGGGGAGCGTTACAGGAGTGGGGACATATAGGGGCCGTCCATAAATGACGTCACGCGATTTTGGACGATTTTTGACCCCCCCCCCCCCGCCGTCACACGGCTTCACAAAAAGTCAGACCCCCCTCAAATATTACGTCACAAAGCTCTGCCCCCCCACAAACTATATTTCCATTTTTAAAATGAAACATGCTTCAAATCGATTTAAGCTATTGTCATTGTAGTGCGTATTTAATGTGGCGCTGCACTCTGATGTTGTAGGAGTGTTGTTATAACAATTAGTGTTGTTATAACAATTCTATATTTAGTTAAAGTTGCGAATTTTGATGTGACGTCACATTTCTCAAACCCCCCCCTCCCTCGTCACACATCGTCACAAATGTCTGACCCTCCCCCCCCCCCTAGGTGCGTGACGTCATTTATGGACGGCCCCATAGGTACAGCACAGCCGTGTATGTCGCTGCACTGGTCTCAACGTCGCTCCGCTTGCACGACCCACACCGTCTGCGTTGTAGCGATGGCGGAGCCATGATTTTCAGGTAGGGGGGGGGCAACCCCTCCAGCAATGAAAAATGATAGAGGAGTTGTTAGTAAGTCAGGACTTGCCCCTTGCTTTTAATTCGACGCGTGTGCGGCGATGGCGCAGCCATCGATCGAGGGTCGATTTCGAACCGCGTCGTGTGATCGGCATCGCGCTCGCTGAAGGTGTTGACGCCTTCAGGGAAGTCGTGTTGTGTAGACGCAACTGCGCACAATTCTGAGTCACTTATAACTGCTTTGCCGTTACTTATTGCCAATTATGGACTCAGACTATTGTCCTATCATCTCATAGAGTCCTTGGCACGTAAAAATATGCTACACAATGGAAGTGGGGGTCGCAAAATGCCGATTTATTACTAATAAACCCCAATGATCCGATCGAAATCCCTAATTTCGATCGGATCATTGGGGGGGCACGTGCCACCCCCCCCCCCCCCCCCACTGGCTCGGCCAGTGGTTGTACGCATGGCGGTCACCCCCGTAGAATCACACATCCAGGCTCAAGCCCCGCTTAGCTTGCCTGGAAATAATTACGATAAAATAATCTTGCCAGGAATGTCATCCCCTGGTGCGAGGAGTCGATATTAAGCACCGCATCATTGCTCACTTGAGCAGGACACCACATTGACACCATGTGAACCCCCCCCACGCACACCCCCCCTCCCACGCACACCGCCCCCCCCCCTCCCACGCACACCCCCCCCCCCCACGCACACCGCCCCCCCTCCCACGCACACCGCCCCCCCCCCTCCCACGCACACCCCCCCCCACGCACACCGCCCCCCCTCCCACGCACACCGCCCCCACACACCCCCTGATCCTCGTGTCGATGATGAGGTGTCGGCGCTGCTCCGACACGCGATCAGAATTTTGATTTTGACTGGAGGATAATCCGATGAGCTAGAAAGCTCTTTTTTTCTCACAGATCTCCAGTAGGGGCGGGTCAGAACGTTATCAACAACAAATGCAAACAAAAACACGACAGGAGTACAAAGTAGAGGAAAGGTAAACAAATAACTGAAAAAATAGATATACCAACAAAACTAAACTATTTTTATCTTACCAGGTAAAGCCCACTGAGACATTAGCTTCGTTTTCAGAAGCGACCTGGCCACAATTGATAGCTGAACGAAGCGGCTTTATCGCGTGGCAATTTATCGCAGCGAAAGCGCGTGTCGGTGTTGTCCCCTCTCGTGTTGCTGAGACACAGCGAGCACGTGGGGGTTAAAGGGCCTCCCACCGGGTTACATGACATCCTTTGAACGTCACTTAATTATCTATTTCTTTCCACCCCCCCCCACTCCCAATTATATTGTGCAGCATTTTATTATCACGGCGCTGTGGTGAGCAGCGGTCTCCCCTATGAACCGAGCTCCTTGAATTAAATTCCCCGGCCACGGCTAACACCAGTGGCGAAGTGATGTCTGAACCGGGGCTAGAGGCTCACCGCAGCTTCACCAGCCTATGCGCAAACAACCAGCGGAGTGAAGTATGGTTAAACACCGCCTCCTCCACCCCCCCGTCCCACCGTGACCAACAGTAGTCGACATCGGTGTGAATCCCAACCACGGATATCATCAGTGGCGAGTGGTGTTTGAACCGGTTTTGTGCATCCCCTCGGTCAACGGCGCCTTAAAATGAGTTCCCCGGTGCGATGTCTCGGTTATACATCGCCATTGGGGAGACAAAGGCGGTTGGGCAATGGTGCTAGCCACCCATAACTCCTCGCGTGCCGTTCCATCTACAATAGTTGCTCGCGAACATCACTTGCCCCAACAGTCTTTTTTTTAAGAGTACACGGGGGGGGAGGGCGTTCTTTGTTTTTTTCGTGCGATTCTGTGCGTGAGCGTCATCCCTGACTGCGAGCTCCCCCCCCCCCCCGCTCGGAGCTGCGAGCTCGGAGCTGCGAGCATTGCAGCTCGCATCGCACGCAGCGGCAGTAGCAGCCTCCGTCTCGTCTACACCGGTGACATAACAGCAGCAGCCTCTGTCTCGTCTACACAGGTGACAACAGCAGCCTCTGTCTCTTCAACACAGGTGACAACAACAGGAGCAGCAATTTCATAATGAAAGGGTAATACATGCACATATTATAAGTGATAAGATAGCTTAACTCATGAACATTCTGCGACTCCAATGTGCCACGTACATCTAAATACTGTATAAATTGCACACATAGTCGACCAGTCTCGTAGTTTTCCGGGCAAGTTTAATTTTTTCCAACAGTATTTTACACACACACACACTCATAATATACAAGATAAATACGAAAATCCCCCGTATATCCTTAACAGACTGTCGGGGCAAGTGCTGTTAGCGAGCACCTATGAAGGCCGGTACGGCACACGAGGGGGTGGGTGGCCAGCACCACGCCCGGCCGCCTTTGTCTCCCCCGTGCTGATATTGTACATACCGCACCAGGACTTCAATTAAGACTAAGTCGACTCACTCTCACGCACAGACAGACACACACACACACACGCGCAATAACCCCCACCTCGACACACACACACGCGCGCGCGAACAGCGCACGCCGTTCACCTAAACCCAATCAGTGAGCCCCAATCTATCAGTCAATCATGCGCAACCTGAGCTCCGGCGAGCCGTACGGGAGAGACGAGGGACAGGAACGACTCAGCTACCCGGCACTGGCGCTCGGCGTGGGTCTGGTCGCAACAACTCTGCTCGGCAACTCCCTCGTGTGCCTCTGCGTGACCACCGAGCGCTCCCTGCGCACGGCCACCAACTGGTTCATCGTGAGCCTGGCAGTGGCCGACCTTCTGGTGGGCATCTTGGTCCTGCCTCTGTTCGTCTATTCGGAGGTGGGTGGCTGAGCTGGCTGGGTTGGGTCCACAAATCGCGCATCCGTGTGTGTCTCTGTGTGCGGTATGGTTGCTGGCCACCAACACCCACCTCCCTCGCGCGCTATTCCGGTTCGGGTTTCATAGGTGCTCGCTAACAGTACTTGCCCCAACAATCTGTTCAGGCTATACGGGGGATCTTTGTCTTGTGTAAATAGTGGAGAGCGGTAGCGCACTGCGCTGTTAACACGGCGACCCGAGTTCGATTCCCGCTTACGGCCAACACCGGTGACGATTATCTGAACCGGTTCTGGGCCTCCCCTAGGTCGACTCAGCCTCAAATGAGTACCTGGTGCGATGTGTTAAAACATGGCCACCAGTGAGATGAAGGCGGCCAGGCGTGGTGCTGGCCACCCACCCCCTCGTGTGCCGTACCGGTCTTCATAGGTGCTCGCTAACAGCACTTGCCCCTTAAGTCTGTTAAGGCTACACGGGGGAGCTTTGTCTTTGTGTGAAGGGGTGTTCGTGTCGTGGATTATGCCCAACTCTGTAGCGGTGGGTGGCGGTGTTCTTGGTTGCTCAATGTGGTTGTGGTGTGTTTTTAGTCTTAGCTTATTTTTTTGTTTAGTTAGTTCGTGCTGCTGCTTATGCGGATGATGGTGGCGATGTTGCCGTCTCGGAAATTCCGACCTCGCCCCCTCCGCTCCCGGCGCGTACGTACCGTGCCGTGTGTGTGCGTTGAACTTTTTTCGCACCGTACGCAACGTCTAACCGTGCGAGCAGTTCCTGAGCGGCGTGTGGACCCTGGGGAGCGGGCTGTGCGACGCCCTGATGACCCTGGACGTGATGCTGTGCACCGCCTCCATCTACAACCTGTGCGCCATCAGCCTCGACAGGTGTCAGATACCACCCACAGCCCGGCTTAAGGTGTCACTTTGGTTCGTCTACAGCGGTGATTTTCGCTAACTTTTTAAATCCTTTATATTAAGTTCACTTGCTTGCTTGCTTGCGCGCTTACGACCGTGCAAATCTTTCGGTCGTTTTTTAACCCACTTCCCGTGATCCAATCGAGCTGACATTTTGCACACAGACTCATTGTACGTGACAATTTATTTTCCTGAAATTTTTTTCTCCAAAATTTTACACTTTTTAGGATTTTTTTTTCATATTTAATTTGAAATACCAATGTGATAAAAATGAAACTCTTACTCAAGAAAAACAGAAATGAATAATAAAATAAAACCGATGCCACGCATATAAAGGATTTATAGTGAAAAACTTTGTTTTTACGGGTTAATTTTTCTTTTGTTCTTCATCATCAGTGTGAGGGCCGCCACAACATTTGAAACCACTGGGGGGGGGGGGGGGGGCGGCGGGGGGGGGGGGGGGTGACAGCAGCACGACTGATGATGATGGGCGGTGTTTTCACTCTCTGTGTATTGTCGTGGGTCCACAACATCAGGGAATGCACTAAAGGCGACCAGGGGACGCGGGACCTTGCGATGAAGAGCACTGCTTTTCAGTGTCTACGCGGCGTTTTTCAATAATGTGTATACATTTAGAGGGAAAAAACATGTCCAATATTAGCCCGATTGTGATATCGGCCTCATGTAATGAGATGATGAATCCATTTGGATCTCTTGCACAACAGTGCAACCCTTCGTATTAGAGATGGTCGACGGAAGTGGATGTCACAGAGCTACCGCTGAGATCGCTTCGAGTGACGTAGGGAACAGCACTTTTCTACCTGCTCTGACATGCAGAGTAATCCTCATCACTTTAGAGTCAAAGCAATAGATATACGTTGGGTCTTTTGGTAAAGCTACGTAGATAGAAAAATTATTTTACAAATGAAAAAATTAAAACAATATCACGACGTTTCGATCGCAACACAAGCAAATATGTTTTTCCTTGCCTCAGCAGCTCTCCCACAATTTTTTCACCTGATGACGATTGCTTGTGTTGCGATCGAAACGTCGGGATATTGTTATTATTTTTATTATTTTCCTATCTACGTGACTTTACCGGTCTCGGGGTTCCCCTGGGTCGACTCAACCTCAAATGAGTACCTGGTGCGATGTGTAAAAAAATCGCCATGAGAGATACAAAGGCAGCCAGGGCATGACGTTCTTCATATGTGCTTGCTAACAGCACTTGTCCCAACAGCCTGCCAAGGCTATATGGGGGATCTTTGTCCATTGTGTGCTTGCGCGTCTCCCTACGCGTGCACGAATGATCCGCCTCTATGCGTGCGCGTGCATGTACGTGTGTATGTATGTTTACCTTATTTTGCACCGTACGTGCTAATCGGAGGCGCGTCTCCGTGTGCACGCGCGCGAACGCGTGTTCGCGAGCAGGTTCATCGCGGTGCGCGCGCCACTGCGCTACGAGCACAAGCGCGTGAACGTGCGCCAGGCAGCCCTCATCGCCGCCACGTGGTTCCTCTCACTGGCGCTCGCCTCGCCCCTGGCCCTGGGTGCGAACTCGAACCCGGAGCGCGACCCGGCCGTGTGCCGCCTGGAGCGGCCTGCCTTCGTCATCTTCTCGTCCGTGTGTTCCTTCTTCGTGCCCTGCCCGGCCATGCTCGCGCTCTACTGCTGCGTCTGCCGGGGGCTACGGAGATGGAGTGCGCGGCATAAGTAAGATCAATTATTCAGTGACGTTGCTGCTGCTGCTGCTGCGTTGGCCTTAAAATAACAAATGTTTAACGTATATACGATAAACTTGTAAACACACACAATATTCTCAGAAGGCGCAAGGAAACACAGACGGCCAGGAAGACAACCAGGCGGCGAGCCGGCGACCGACAATTGCCCAAGCTCTGGGGTCCTCTCTATATATGTTTTCATCCTGTTAATGAGTGTTTGCCCGTGGTAGGAAACCGAAGCACCCAGGGAAAACCCAGTCTATCTCAGGGGGTTGTAAAAACAACTCAATGTTTCAAGAGCCGCAATGCACGTGACTACGAGACGGTGGTCCTTAATGAATCATGTCACGAAGCAGTCGCTTATGAGCCGCCTGCGGCTCCGTTGCCACAAGTTGCCTACCCCTGGTCTATCGCACACAGGAGGGACAGACGATCTTAGTCCATATTTTCGCTCTAGTGCCTTCTCCTCCTCGACGCCCACGGGAAAGGAGTGTCACAACATTCGTGCGGTGAGCCACCAACCCTCGCTGCTGTCCCCACAGTGCTGGATTACAGGCCACGTGCATAGCCACCACTGGCCCCGCGCCGTTTAGTCAGGGTGCTATGAAGAAGAGCCATTATTACTCTTAGGTTTTTTCGGTAAAATCACGTAGGTAAAAAATTTAAATTAATAAAAGTAAAATCAAACAAATTTAAAAATTCACGACGCTTCGGAAGCAACACAAGCCTCCGTCTTCAGGTGGAACCGTCACAGCCACGACAGCTGTATCACCTGAAGACGGAGGCTTGTGTTGCTTCCGAAACGTCGTGAATTTTTTAATTTGTTTTATTTTACTTTTATTATCCTTGCAGTCACGAAAGCTTCAAATCTAGAATAAGAGCCATTATTGACAATATTTACGCGATATAAAGTCCAATACCCGCGCAATGAACCCAATATTCCGAGTTAGATTCCAGGCCACGGCTAACATCAGTGGCGAGTTATAACTGAACCAATCCTTGGCCACCCCTTATACAACCCGCACTGACCAGCGTTCTAAGGTATGGCCAAACAATTCCCTTAGCCGACACGGCGTGGGAAGGGCCTCTATCCAAAAGTATAATAATAAAGTGCTGAAAATTGTTATCACCATAATAGTTATTGCTTTGAATATGCACGCGGGCCATTGCAGATGCAGCAGCAGCAGCGTGCGGCGTAGCCAGGACAAGGAGAGTGTGCGGACGAGACAGCTCAGCGGCGCAGGAGTTGTGAGGCCGAGTGGGTCTCCAACCTGCCGGGGTGAGAGTTCAATCCCTGGTGAGAAGGAGCAGCAGCAGCATCAGCAGCAGCATCATCAGGATGAGAAGAAGGAGGAGCATACAAGCTCCTTCACCAACCCCACCAGCAGCACCATGAACAGCGCTCACCGCGACCTACAGGTGAAGGGGTCAGGTTGGAGTGGCGACCTGAGTTTGATTCCAGGCCACGGCTAACACTGAGTGACGAGCGACATCACACCCACCATGAGACGACATGGGTGGGAGGCCTTCATCCATCGGTGAATTTATAAACGAGTAAATAAGTATAACCCGTAAAAACTAAGTTTTTCACTATAAATCCTTTATATACGTGGCGGCTAGAGTCCTCTCGTCCTCTGGCTTGAGATGGCTGCCACCTATGGGTCAGATGATTGCATTGCACCATTAAGCAATTGGTAATTAAATATAATATTTTTATCCTAAAAAGTGTGCAATTTTGGAGAAAAAAAATTCACGAACATTAATTGTCACGCACAACGAGTCTGTGTGGAAAATGTCAGCTCGATTGGATCACGGGAAGTGGGTTAAAAAACGACCGAAAGATTTGCACGGTCCTAAGCAAGCAAGCTAACTTAATATAAAGGATTTAAAAATAGAATTTACTAATTGTGTTCTTGGCAACATGGTACCATGATATGGAGACATTTTCACAATAAGAATAGTGGAATTTCCACCACTCACCAAATGCACGTAGCATAATTGCTACGAAGGGCCATTTCCCGACATGTCGCCTATTATATAGATATGTTTTCCTTTTAAGGCCACAGTGTTGTTACTGATGAACGTGTTGAGTTGTTTGGTTCACGCAAATGAGACGGACTGAGTCTCTGCAATGAGTTGATCGCCAAAATCAACGTTTTGGGCGTTGTGTTGTGCTTGGGAGGAGACAGCAGAGTGGAGAAAACACCACGTGGAGAGAGAGAGGGAACACGCGCAAAGCGGTGCGCGTATATCGGCAATCTACTTGCTGCGCTGCTATCTAAGTTACAACTAAACTTTGTTTTTATTTGACCAGGTGAGGCCCACTGAGTTATTTTTCAGAAGCGACCTGGCCACAAATGGCAGCTCGACGAAATGGCTTGTCACGTGGACATGAAAAGCAGACAATTTTTCTAATTGGTGCTTAACTTTCCATGCAGCCTTGCACCCATTTGGTTTACAATTGTAACAAAACGTACAATGTTAATAAATACATAGGTTTGCTGAAACAAAGTAGTTGTACTTACGTGCTCGTGCTTAATCTGTGTTTCGATTATTTACCTTCAAAAAAACTCTGGCCATGTCTCGCAATTCCAGAAAGGGCATCTTGCACCCCAAGGGGGTGCGCGCACCCCAGGTTAAGAACCACTGCTCTAAACGCACACGTTGATTCTAAATGCGGAGAGAAAACTCAGTGGACCCGGAGAAAAATTCACGCGACCACGGGGAGAGAGACATGCAAACTCCAATTATACAAGAGGCGTCAGGGTCAGGATCGAACCCGGGTCGAGGTAGTTATAACATCTCTCCCCACCTTTCGGCACCGGGCTGGGCAATTCTCAGGCGCGATTAATTGCGGGATCGCTCCAGTTGGGTCGGCGTTGTGCCCGACAGGAGAGGGCGCTCCAGCACGCGGTACAATCAAGGGTGTCCGCTCCGCGTGTCGTGCGTCCCCCACGATGACTACGACGACGCGTTACTCACACGGAGCCGGGGGGGGGGGGGCGTGCGGTCCGTAGGGCTCGTGCGGCAGGAGAGGCACCACCGAGGAGGTGAGTGGGATGAGACCGAGCCGGTTCATCGGCCGAAGAGAGCGCAAAGCCATGAAGGTGCTTCCCATCGTCATCGGTAAGATGCAGTGAGTTCAGATGCTCCATACACAGTGGTTCATCAACTTGATTCACTCGGGGGGGGCTCTGTTTTTAAAATGATCGGTTTGTTGGTAGGGCACGCCTATGCAGTACTGCACGTGTGTGCACGTCTGTGCAGTACTTCCACTTTGTATTGTATACGTGTGTGCAGTACTTCACCAGTGGTGTAACGAGCAGGGGGACAGGGGTGCCTTGACCCCCCCCTCGACCCCCTGGTGGCCAAAGCTACGAGTTGGGGCCCCCTGAGAACCCGCATGGGATTTGTTTTCTCAACAATATTGCGGCTCCACCTGGACGATTGCACTTATGCCACCAGTGACCACTCGTGTGGATTTCTTGTCTCCAGCTCTTTAATCTCGATCATGCTCATTCATATCACGAATCTGTGTCTCTTATCCACTTCTTTCTCATCTCTATTCCTTGTTCATCACTTTCGTTTCAATCATCTTAAACCATGGTATGCAAATGGTTAATCTCTGTCGCTTGTTTATCTTTTATGAAAAAAAATTCAGAATATCTCTTTACGTCTCAGCGATCGGACCATATCTCTGCGGGACACTGATATTACCCATTTGCTCTGTACTGCGCTTCCACTTTGAATTGCATTTTAAGGGTTGGTTCAGTGGCTTGGCTATCGAGTGTGCCAGGTGGTGCAACTACACGTGTGCTCACGTGCCAGGCGGGGCCAAGGCACCGGGCTCCTAAATGGGGTTCAATTGTACAGGGCTCCTATGCCAACTCCGCTTCACCACTGGCCTGGGTGCACGTGCATGCGAGCTGCATGCTTTGCGCATAGGACATGTTGTGGCTCGGTTCGTATGTAGGCAGCCTATAGCACTGGATAATTGTTTTTTTATTATAGATTAATGGTGATTATGCCATATGTTATACGCGTAAACCATCATCTTGAGCTGTAGCAGCAAGAGCATCATCAGCAGGAGCAGCAGCGGCATCACTGTCATCAGTAGCTGCTGGTAGAGCAACCTCCACACTGCCATGGCACGTTTTGTTTACGAGACAAACCTCACTAAGGGTCCGTCCATAAATGACGTCACGCGATTTTGGACGATTTTTGACCCTCCCCCCCCCCTTGTCACACGGTATCACTAAAAGTCAGACCCCCCTTCAAATATGACGTCACAAAGCTCTGCCCCCCTCCCCCCCCTTAAGTCGCTGTGTCGGCTGGTGGCGGGTTTCAACGACACATCTGTATCTACCCCCCCTCCCCTTTATTGTAAATACACGTGTGGATGTTTGCCTATGTACAATTAACATTGCGGCATCGGTTTTACGCACCCCGCTTCCCAGGCGCATTCCTCGTGTGCTGGACCCCGTTCTTCGTCGTGCACGTGTCCCACGCTGTGTGTCCCGCCTGCCGGACCCCTGCGCTGGCCAGCGGGCCCTGCACGTGGCTGGGCTACGTGAACAGCGCCCTCAACCCCCTCATCTACGCCGCCTTCAACCCGGACTTCAGGCGCGCACTCCGCAGACGCTGCCCTTGCCGGAGCTCGCCGCGTCGCCGCCGTTGTTGACATCGTGTGGAGGTGTTCGGTGGTGGGGGGGTGCGCAGAGAGAGAGAGGTGGGGATGATGGGTGCTGGGATGCGAGAAAATCTGTCATTTGCCAACAGAGAAGTCATCCCGAGCTGCAACCTCTCCTAACGGTGCGTGCGTCCCTTTTCCAAAGAAGTGTAATTCGCAATCTTATCTGATATGGATGTGTATGGCGCCTTAGTCCAAGGCACCTCCGATTAGCAAGGTTGGATACGTATGGTGCGAAATAAGTTCAATAGTCAGTACATATTAGTAGTATAAATGGGCACACTACAGTTAGTCAATCGGTTGCTCGCGCATGGTGAACTCAATTGATGGAGCATCTTTACAAGCGCCCCAGCTAATTGGAACGGTTGTCACAAGACACGCGATAAATGCGGAATCATTCTAAAAATAAAAAAAATTATATAATGATCTTATGTACATGTAACAGACCAGTTTTTGTCAGTCCGTTGCTGGATGTTCGTACGTGAGTTGGACTTTTTTCGCACCGTACGTAGCCAACCGTGCTAATCGGAGGCGGGTGAGGGGCCTCCCCACGCCGTCAGGGTCGTGGGGCTTATTTTGGTCATACTTCACCACGCTGGCTAGTGCGAGATGGTAGCGGTGGTTGAGCACATACAGTATAGGACGTGTAAACTTATAAGTATAAAGTCTAGTAACATGGTATTTCGCAGCGTTGCCCGCAGAGTAACGCCACAGCAGCCTGCAACACGTGTTGTGCATAGTTGTCCCAGCTCAGCACCATCCAGGCTAAAGCCTGCTTGGATTTCAAGCTTTCGGGATGACTGCAGACATGCCGGACGATGTGGCCATAGGCAGCCTAATCTCACCGCAAATCCAATGTGTTGATGATGTGTAAGGGCTAGCTTTTTGTAAAACGAGTGTCAATTTGTTTCAACAATTCCAGAATCTAGCAAGAGGGAAGTGATGGCCGCATCAGTGACGTTTGGTCACGATGATCTCTTGGACCGTCACGATGATGATGTTGATGAATTAACAGACCTTGAGTTATGGTTGTTGACCTTTCAGTAGCTGTGGGGTCTAGCATAAGGAAGGAAGAAATGGCGATGTGTGATGATGACGATTCGACATTTCCACAGGTCTCTGCGAGGGTGGTGAATTTTCGCCTCTAAAGCTCCAAGGAAATTCGTCCAAGATTCAGCACCTGTCCAACCGGGGGTTGGTGATTCAGCAGAGATGACGATTTTCACGAGACACAAGTCGGTCGCCTCTAGATGACAGTACAGCAAGTGGGTTGCAGATCATTTGTAGTTGCATGTTTTCATGCAGGCACTGTCCTTCCATGAAGCACCAACAACAACACGATTAAAATGTGAGTGGCTCAACATTTGAAGCAAGACCCTCCTGAAAAAGATGTATCGCGGTTGTCTACGTACGGTGCAAAAGAAGTTCAACACACATCAATGATTGCTGTGACCTTCACTCAACTAACTCTGATGTTCTGTTAATGTCGGTTATAAACATTCCAGATTTTTTTAAAATGGAGCCTATTAGAAAAATTGTGACAATTTTTTCTTCTTAAATAACATAGTTTAATATGTCAGTTATCAAATTTTAATGTAAAGCTTTCGTGACTGCAGGGATTCATATTCTTGGTTCTTTCGGTAAAGTCACGTAGAAGGGAAATCATAAAATAATCAAAATATTAAACAATAACAATGATTATTTCCCTTCTACGTGACTTTACCGAAAGAACCAAGAATATGTCATTATCAGTTTTCATTAATCTAATGATGATGGTTTCCAAAAAGTTCGGTTTAAACATGCGTTTAATAAGAAACAGATATTGCAAAATTGTATTCATATCCTATTGCAACTTGTACACTTTATTCTTGATTTATACACTTACTACAGGTGTGTGTGTGTGTGTACGTACACCTGCCATTCATCTCAAGTCGGCTAACCCAAATGAACACCTGGGCGTGTCCAGGAACCTCCTCATGCCAGCAGACAGCCTTTGACAATTCACGTGATTACCTCAAAGTGCACCTAGCCTGGCACAAAATGCGGTGTCAGCGAGGGAATGACTGCTGCTATTGTTGTTTTTCTTGCAGTACATGTACATGTATTTCGTAAAACGCATGCAATGACGTGCATGTTTAAATCACATTTTTCTTTGCAATATAGACCACAATGCTTTAATATATTGTGCACTTAAAAACACTAGGTGTCGATATCAGTTGTACTGGATACCTTTGACATCTGTCAATGCAGCGCTTCTTGAATTGATGTACATTTAAATTGTTATCAATTATGACAATTTAATAAAAAGCCTCTTTGTCAACATACGCTACAAACGAAATATAAAGTCACAATGACCGAACGAGGGATCTGCGTGTAAATGCCTCGTCTTTCGTGGAGTATTAATATTGCACAAGTGACGAAAAACAAAGCTTGTAATGACTTGAGAGATTTCCCCAGACTGCCACGATTCTGGGATCAGGACAGTTGCCCATCTGACTCACCACTGTGAGCCAATGCCGGGTTCATTCCGCAGTGCGCGAATCACTGTGACACCGTTCCATCTGAATGAAAAGTACCCATCTTCTTGGTTCTATCGGTATAGTCACGTAGAAAATAAATAATAAAATAATAAAAATAAAACAATGTTTTATTTTTAACATGTTTTATTTTTGTTATTTTATAATTTTATCATTTCCCTTCTACGTGACTTTACCGAAAGAACCAAGAAGATAAATCCCTGCAGTCACGAAAGCTTTAAATCGAAAAATGAAAAGTACGTTTACAGTGTTGCTGTACTGTTTGTATGCTGTGCCCCCTGCTGGGTGGTAGTTATTTCGATGGTATATTGTGTAATATGCCATGTAAAATATAATTTAGTTTCCTCTGGAACGGATTATTTCCTTTCCCTCTATTTCTTATGGAAAAAAATCGTTTGGTATACGTCATTTTCGGTATAAGTCCTACCTTCTGGAACGAATTAACGACGTATACCGATGTACCACTGTATATGAATTGCTTCTGTCACTGGCCCCGACTGGACATCTGTGAAAAAGAGCTTTATAGATCATCGGATTCTGTTCTCAAGGGGGCGTCCATAAATGACGTCACGCGATTTTGGACGATTTTTGACCCCACCCCCCTCGTCACGCGGCGTCACAAAAAGTCAGACCACCCCCTCAAATATGACGTCACAAAGCTCTGCCCCCCCCCCCCCCAAAATAAAACATGCTTCAAATCGCTTTAAACTATTCTCATTGTAGTGCGTATTTAATGTGGCGCTGCACTCGGATGTTGTAGGAGAAAACATTTATTTACAAAGTCTATTTAATCAAGTAGAACGTGTTGTCTATATTTATTTAAAGTTGCGCATTTTGATGTGACGAAACTTTCGTGACTGCTAGGATTCATACTCTTAGGTTCTTTCGGTAAAGTCACGTAGGTAAAAATAATAATAAAATAATAATAAATGAAAATAACTAAATTAAATCACGACGTTTCGGAAGCAACACAAGCAGGTGTAACTGTTCCAGTAAAATAAATTTTGATATTTTCATTTATTATTATTATTGCATTATTATTTTATTATTATTTTTACCTACGTAACTTTACCGAAAGAACCGAAGAGTAGGGGGACATCAGCCATCTTTGTCAGGGGTGCCATCGGCCATCTTTGTCAGGGGTGCCATCGGCCATTTTTGTCAGGGGTGCCATCGGCCATCTTTGTCAGGGGTGCCATCGGCCATCTTTGTCAGGGAATCATCGGCCATCTTTGGTCTGTGCGTGACATTCCCCACGCCCCCACACTCTGAACCCCTACCAAAGATGGCCGGCGCTGCTCACGTCACCGGAAACTCGCCGGTGACGTCACCGCCATAGTGGGCGAGCGGGGAAGGTCGCGTCCCCGGCCTCAGCAGGAGGATGCTGTCACCGCTGCTCAGGGCGGCCGTGTCGGCTCGCCGGGCTATTGTGACCCCTCTCAGGGTCCCCGTCCGCAGGTGAGGGGGGTGGTGGTGGTGGTGGTGGCGGCGGTTTCAACGTTTGCGGAAAGAATGTTTTTAAAAAGCCAAGTTAGAAGCGAAAACGTTGAGCTTGTTAACTCGCGCGGCCTAGCTGTCAGGGTGAAGCCTGTGCTAGGGTTCTTGGGTTTCAATGTCACGTTTATCGATTTAAAAAAACATACATTTAACGATTATTTGTTGATGTTGGTTTATTTGTATGTACACTCGTACATTGATTGTCCCTGTTTATTTGTTTTATATCCCCTGCTGGTTGAGGGTTTCCCCACGTCGTGCGGGTGGGGGGTGGTCATACTTCACCATATTGGTCAATGTGACGTTTCGAAGGCGGGGACCGTCGACGTGGGAGCATAGAAGTACAGTCAACAGAGTAAATCGGTGCACTGCTCTCTGCTGCCCGCAGCCTACCCGCGCTGCCTATACGCACCTGTTTATACGTGGTGAGCACCTATCCAAGCACTTTCCAGGCATTGACTTATTCGATAAATATGTACTCGCTCAAATCATTACGGAGTCATACTCTTTGATTCTTTCGGTAAAGTCACGTAAGTGAAACTAAAAATAATAAAAAATTGAATTAAATTAAAATAACAAAAATAAATCACGACGTTTCGGAAGCAACACAGCCACAGCACATTAGTTCTTGCTGTGGCTGTCCTACCTGATGACAGAGGCTTCCGAAACGTGATTTAATTTAGTTATTTTCATTTATTTTTACCTACGTGACTTTACCGAAAGAACCAAAGAGTATGGATCCTTGCAGCCACGGAAACTTCAAATCTAGAGAGTCTTGACTCGGGTGTTTACCGATAGCTTAAAAAAACTACACTACCTAAAACACTGAATATCTACAACGTTGGTGGTACTTTTGACCAAATCACCTGAAATGTGCCCAATCTCGTCAAGCAGAGTTAAAGCCTAAATCGTGTGTGGGATAGGCGGCAGGCCAAGCGTAAACGTGTGGTCTTGTCAGCAGAGGGCAGCGCAGCATAACCTCATTGCTGTACTTTGTACGCTCGCCACGTCTATTCTGACCGCACTCTGCAGCACGAAATAGTCACCGAATAAACCCCACGAGCCCAACGTCGTGGGGAGGCCCTCATCAAGCAGTGAATTGACGGTACTATATTGTCCTAGGAGTAGTAGGTTTTTGGAAGTAATTTGAGTTCTTAGATGCACTTGCCGTCGCCCATACGTGTGTTTAATTTCCACTTCTCGAAGTGAAAGCAGATGCACGCCGTTATCACGCTTATTGCTTATGGGAAAGTGTAATTTCCGTCACTGTGTCAGTACAGGCAACATAACTGTGCACTGCTCCACTGATTTAAGCTTGGGGACAGACTCACTTGGTTATCATCAATCACTCCTGACATCTATATGAGCACAGTCGTAAATTATCCACCATGCAATAGTAATCATTGCGATCCTTCGAGGTTCAGTGAAAGTGAACCTCTAATTCCTTCATCCAGGAAACTCACTAAATTTCAAGCCTCGTTTTTAGGCGTTTGCAAAAAAAAATTGATGTTTGGCAATTCTGCCAAAATAATTGTCAAATTTCCACCACCGGCTAAAGAAATGTCAAATTTCCTCCACCATCAGCTAAAGAAATGTCAAATTTCCTCCACCATCGGCTAAAGAAATGCCAACTTTCCACCATCGGCTAAAGAAATGTAAAAATTTCCACCACTGGCTCTAGGGGCTATAATTGCGACGTTCAATGTCACAAGATTGCTTCACCAATAGAGGGTAATCCATTTACCCTACCCAAAATTATTGAAAAAACGTATTTGGACAATCTTTTATTTCATTTAAAAGGCGCTACATATAAGATATAGAGCCATCGATTTCACAATATTATTTTCACAGTTGAGGCGATTGTAAGAGGGTTATTAGAAATTTGGTATCTGTATCACCCTGTATACCATATAAACTTGAGATATGTTACAAACAAAGACTGTGTTATTGTTATAAATGTGTACACTGTTCACTGAGTTTATGAAAATAACGATCCTTTGCGACGATTGCTTATTTATATTTTCGATATACAGATCTGTGCCAGGAGCATAAATACAGCTGGATGTGTTTTGTCACAGGCAGCTTATCGCTGTCAGAGGTGTTATGCCACAACAAGGTCTGCCAAGGTGCCATTAGCAAGTGGCCACAAAAGCAATGAAGAATGTTCCATTATTGGAACAGAGCTTATAGTTTCATTGATGAAAGTGAATGGGTCAGAAACCATTACCCACAGTGAATGCAATCCTTGCTAGCAAACTCAAAACGAAGCACTGCTTGCTGTAAGTGGCTGCAAATTGAATAGTAATTGCATTATGCTCAGTTTATTTGTGGTTACAAGTCGCTTTTAATGATGACAATTACGGCATTCTATCAAGTAAATTGTTCAAAGTATCTTTTTCAGGAGGTCCCTGCTGCATTTAGATGTTTGTGAAATTACATTCAAATAAGTGTTTTGCACGTGGGAGGAAACTGGAGTACCTGGTGAAATCTGCTAATACGAGAGGATCTTCAAAAGGGCTGCACAGATGGATTCAGGAAACTACCTGCTGTACAGCTACCTGCTGGAAATCTTGTCTCACACATTTGTGTGATGCACTAACTCTTAAAAAGCATCGCTTGTCACCTTAAGCTTAAGGCCCTTCATATAAATTCAGTAATTGCGTCTCATAACATTTTGTAAAAATGCTATTTACATCATGTACATGTTTATTTATTCTCAAGTTTCTAGTCCAGTTACATAACCGCGCACGATGTAACACGATTTTTGTTCCTGGGTAGTAAGTGTTATTTTCTAATTGCTTATGCCTCAAAGGTATAAAATGGCTATTCCCCACAAACATTGCTTTTGTGACCAGGACTTTACGTGAAGGAATGACACAAATGCACACCACGTTTTCTCATTGAAATAGGTACATTTTAAAATATCTCTGTCTGGGTCACAAAAGCAAAGTTTGTGGGTAATAATAGCCATTTTCTATACTTTTGAGGCATAGGCAATTAGTAAATAAGGGGCCGTCCATAAATGACGTCACGCGATTTTGGACGATTTTTTACCTCCCCCCCTCATCACACGACGTCACAAAAAGTCAGACCCCCCCTCAAATATGACGTCACAAAACTCTGCCCCCCCAAAAAAAATAAACATGCTTTAAATCGCTTTAAACTATTGTGATTGTAGTGCGTATTTAATGTGGCGCTGCACTCTGATGTTGTAGGAGAAAACATTTATTAAAAAGTCTATTTAAGTAGAACGTGTTGTCTATATTTATTTAAAGTTGCGCATTTTGATGTGACGTCACATTTCTCAACCCCCCCCCCTCGTCACACATCGTCACAAATGTCTGACCCCCGCCAGGTGCGTGACGTTATTTATGGACGGCCCTTAACACTTATTACCCAGGAACAAAAAAAAGGAACATTTTTTATACAGTGTTATTAATGGAGTAGGATTATTAAATTTGCTTTTGTGTCCTCGTCACAAAAGCAACCTTTGTGGGGAATAATAACCGTTTTGTGTACCTTTGAGGCATAAGAAATTGGAAAATAACACTTACTACCCAGGAACAAAAAAAAAAAAATTTGTTGCACAGTGTTATTTTAGTTGGCTTGCTTTCACTTCAATATTCACTTTAAAAACAACTGCGTAGCCCACAAGAACATCTACCTGCAGAGGAGAGATGAAATCGGCTCGTGTGCAGGAGCTAGATGGATTGTTTGCAGGACCATGAGAGATGGTCATGACTTGGGGGGGGGGAGGCCTTCATCCAGCAATGGATAGATCATGGCTGCTGATGATAATAATGAGACATTTAAGATTTTCTAAGGCATGCTGTACTCATAGGTATGTTGTCTTCAAGTGGATTTACAGACACCTGAACTGTGGCGTTACATAAGGTGACAGTGATGTTCTACAACTTTGGAAATGTATTCACAATCCAAGAATATTACCAAGGTCATCCAGGTGTGGATTGATCACGGCTAATACCGTGTCTGACAGATCTGGCGGCGGGCATCACGCAGTGCGCTATCGTCAAGCCACAGACCCGGACCCCTACTACGTGCGCTACGGCATGTTCCTGAGCAGCTTCATGTGGTTCTGGATCTTCTGGCACATGTGGCACACCCCTGAGGAAGTCTTCGTGAGTATCGCACATAGCCCGTGCCAGAGATCACTAGCCATCCACATAGCCACACATGTAGTAATAATAATCATACTCGTTTACTTGTAAGGTATGGAAATAATAAGCAAAATCTGTCGTACTGAACTTCTGTGCTATCACATCTCCGTTCCCTGGCTTCACCAACCCACATTGACCAGTGTGGGGAGGTATGGCTAAACAACTCTCATGACCCATATGGCGTTGGAAAGCCCTGAACGAGCAGTGGATGGTAAAGGGCTGTACATGTACACTTAAGCCAATAGTAAAGATAGAACTGCTGATGAGACAAACATTTGAAACCAATGGGACTATATTATATTTTATATTCTTTGAGTCTTTCGGTAAAGCCACGTAGATAGAAGAATAATAGAATAAAATAATAACAATATCACGACGTTTCGATCGCAACACAAGCAATCGTCATCAGGTGAAAAATATATAGCGGGACTGCTGCTAAGGCAGGGAGTTATAAAGGTTTGAGATGGGTGTAGCCCAAGTGTCAGTGGGCGGGGCTAGAGATTAAATTTGCATGTCAATGTAAGATCGGATAAATCTTGACAAACGAAGCTGTGGGGGTGGCCATTGTATTGAGAGAGATTAGCATGTCAATGTAAGAAATTTGCTTGTAAATGTAAGATCGGAGAGAGCTCGGAAAGAGCGCCACCGCCATATCGAGGAAAGTGAACAACGGTGGCTGTGGGAGTGAATGTAACTCAGAGAGTCGAAAATAACTGCTAACATCGACAGACTGTAAAAATGACACACGCACTGCAGACATGGATCAATACTACATAGATTACAGCATCACAATAATTTGAGAGATGGTGACAGCTTAGGGTGGCCATCATCCAGCGATCATGGCTGATGATAATGATGATATAAGTCAGCTATTTGGCAACCAAATATTTATTTAATTACTTTTAATTGTACCCTCAAGTATGTCTGTGTGTGTGGCCCAGCATGTGTGTGTGTGTGACATTGTATTGTTGAGACAATGCATGACCACCTCAGTTTGGTTTTCATTATGCAGTCCATGTCTGTTGTTGATGTGCGATCGGAGTTGCTTGGTTTGAAGGCATTATTTATCTGTAAACAATTAGGGTGCGTGCATGGGTGTGGGATTTGTAATGTATACAGTGAATTACGTAAATGCAATGGTAAAATGTTATTTTCGCAACAGGGATGCACAGCTTTTGAATTTGAAGCTGCATAAATTGAATAATGTCTGTTTTTTATCCAATAGAGCCTAGACTTGAACACAGTATGGTATGGTTAGCTGGATAAAGGGGAGTCAGACTGAGGGTAGCAGAGGTGAATCATTGACTTTCCACTCAGCACAAGTTGACTGGGGCTTCGACAGAAAGCCCTGATTGCTCGACCAAAGAGTACGTGGAGGGGAGCGGAGTGAGATTATGATATTAGGAGTGAGATAAGAGAGTGTGTGGAGGGGAGTAGGTTTGAGATGAGGAGAGAGCCAATTTCCATAGCACTGCCTCTGTATGAAACCGTCCAGTAAAAATGTGCAATAGTGTATGAGAACAGAGATGAAAGTTCTAAACTTACAATTGAGAAGAGGCATATCATCAAACTAGATTCGAAACTTTCGTGACTGCAGGAATTACTCTTTGGTTCTTTCGGTAAAGTCTTGTAGAAAATAAAATCAAATAATAGAATATGACGTTTCAATGGCAACACAAGCAGCAACTGTTATCAGGTAAGAATGAATGAGAAAAAAAAACAATACGGTAACTTATTAACACAATGCAACACAACACACAGAGCCGGACTACACAACAGCCAACACCTCACCTGGCTGACTACGCTCCTCCAAAGAATGACAAAAAGAAAGACGGCGCCACTGTAGTCGTATTCTATTTTTTTTTTATTTTCTTTTCTACGTGACTTTACCAAAAGAACCAAAGAGGCATGTCATCGCTAAGCTGTTTTTTCTATTTTAATACACGGACGCGTGCATGTAGAAACACCGATCCCAACTCGGCAGTAGCACTTTACCCACGAGGCACATAGCAAGCGAGGGGAAAGGGCAAATTTTTTGGGTCTTTCGGGAAAGGGCAAGTTTTACAAAAAAACCTCTGACCCCCCGCCCCCACCCAGTTGGGCTTGATATGATCAGCAGCACCTGCCTTTACTTGCCAGCCTTGATGTTTACAATGGAACATTTTATTTGGGACAAAATATGGCCAAGTTGTCTGTGCCGTGACATGCTGGGGCAGGATTAAGACCCCCTCCCCTTCTGTTGATATTAGGATCACTTACACGATTTTGCCTTGGCTGGTGGGCGCCGGGATCTTAGAATACGCGAGCCCATTTTTTTTTTGGCAAGACGTGTCCCGTGCAGAAAGTGCGGTTTTCAATTTAGAAAACCTATTGTCGGCGACACATGGCACTCTGTTGTGTGTAAATTGGCGTGACAGCCTGAAATGTTGGCGTGCAGTTTTTTGCTTTTTTTACAAAGCGCCAAGGAAAGTGTTCGGTTGCCTCGTTTGTTCGTGAGCGGTATGTGAATGTGTACGGCTCTTCGGTCAGTTTACTGTTGTATGAGAGCATTCTTCATACTTTAGGGGTCACTGTTTTTTTTACCGTACTTTACGTTCTGTTCGTGCGGGCTGGTAAAGGTGTTGAGCGTACATGTGAGATCATAGAATCACAGTACGACCTTTGATTTTGTGACACCCACCCTCTGCTGAGCACTGTGTAGCCCCGTAAGCCTTATGACAACCTGGTTGTGCATGGTGGTCACCCATCCGAGCACTATCCAGGTTCAACCCTGCTTAGTGTCGAAAGATCTTAGGCAAGTTGTGACTGAATACAGTGGAACTCATCTGACCCTATATTCTTGGTTCTTTCGGTAAAGTCACGTAGAAGGGAAATAATAAAATAATAAAAATTAAACATAATAAGATAAAATTCTCACGACGTTTTGGCCACAACGCAAGCAGCCGTCCTCAGGTGAAGAACAGGGCTGTCGGAAAGACAGCGTCCTAATGAACACTGCTAAGCTTGGCAGCATCTTTTTTCATCTGACCCTAATTTATGTGGAGGTGCTGGGAGGTCATAGTTGTTGTCCTACCCCGGCACCTCCGATTAGCACGGTTGACTACGTACAGTGCAAAAGAAGTTCAACATACATACTATCTGCACAAGCTACTTTTTTTTTTCCTCGAAAAATTAGGATGATTTGCCACTACTTCCTGTTTACTTCCATTATCTATGCTTCATCATTAACTATGATCATTCAACTGTTGAATAAAAGCCTCCTCAAGCCACCATCATCTCTGCGTATCATCTAAATTATTACTTTTATTTCATAATAAAGGTGGTTTACATGAGCCAATTCAGATCTCTGGGTTTAATGCAATTTGCACAAGATTATCTAATCTCCCCTACTAACAAGCCACTGCAAGCTTACGATTAATGTTTGCAGTGCACAAGAGTGCACTTGAAGTTTGAACCAAACCCAGGACTTTCGCTTCAACTGTAAAATATTAATTACAAAGGGCTTATCATGCAAACTGCGAGAATTATACTCGGTGCACATGCGAGTGTCGAGCTGAGACTTGCTTTCGTTTAAAAATTCTGTCGTGATAAAGGTGACATAATAACTTCTTGCGTTCCTCTTAAACCCACCACTGTTAGAGATTAAAGTAAATGGCCACCAATTACAGTGGAACATCTCTTATAACGGATTACCCAGCACTCCTATAATCAGCGTCCACAAATTAATCCATGCCAAATCCTAATGCCTGTTTCTCGCTTCATCCTGTTATACGAGCATTCATGTCGAGGCTGACGATGGGGTGGCAAGCCAAAGGAGGGAACGTGCCGGATCGAGCGATGAACCCGGCTCTTGTGTAAGATGCTTGCTGGATTGATACATCGCAGCTGCTTCAGAGACGGTGATGGCTTGGAGAGGCCTTCATCGACTCGTGTGGTTTGTTGTTGAGTGTTGCGGTCATGGTAGGCCATTATTAGAATATTAAACAGTTATTGAAACTTCGTGTCTGCCGCTGGAAATATCTAAATCCCCGCACGCTGCTGTGTGTTCTTTCTCCTCCTCTTCACGGCCAGGGCCACTTCCCGTACCCGGACCCCTCCAAGTGGACGAACGAGGAGCTGGGCATCCCACCAGACGACGAGGAGTGATGTGCACGTGACACCTGGATTGCCAGCCGAGCTCTCGCGCGCGTCCCCTCTGCCCGGCTCCCCCCCCCTGCAACTCTCCTGCTGATGGTGCCCCCCATGTGGCCACGGGTGCCGACCTACGGGGCCTTGGGTAACGGGGGGGGGACCTGTACATACTCCAGCAAATTCTACTGAACAGTTGAAATTAATTAGAAGAATGATTAAAGGCTGTCAGAATGAAATTGGTCTGGTTGTGTGTTTGTGTATAGGTGGCATCGGTGAAGTTGTTTGAATAGGGGGAGCAAGTTTGGTGTGATGGCAGTATTGGGCATCTGTTTTTGTTATCTCTGTGTTTGTTTTGTATTTCAAATTGTATCCGGATGGTGCAATTGGCATAATTTGATACCATTAATGATATGTTCAGATCTCTCTCAGATCAGTGCAAATCTGCATGTGAGAGAACGGCCCATCGGAAGTAGATTCAAGTGTCCTCTGGTCCACACACAAGAGAGGCAGTATTTTCTCACCCACTGGTATTGAGTGTAATAGTTCATTGCATGACAGTCAAACAGCTTTATTCTTATTACTGGAATTTTGCCAAATTTATTGCAGAGTCAAATTTAACGTGATGGGTGTTTTTGAGTGTGCTTTTGTGACTGGATCCAAGACCATCAACTCTATACACCTGAGATTCCAGGATATCGGTGGTGCTGGCACTGACCTGAACTCTGAGCCATCCAGCCAACTCTGGCGGTGCATCTATATGTGATCCGCACACTTGTTTTGCACTGCAGGTTCATGTTATTTAGTTTCAGCTCAAGGCAATGGAATCAAGGCCCCTTGAGCTGGATCCCAAAACATTGAGCTACGTTCGGTAGATATTCAATCTTGAGGCTGCCAGTAAGGCTCCACTACCCTTGGGGAACCGTTGAATAAATTGTCGTAGATGACCTTGATTTAGAACCACGTGAGAGACTATTCAGGGACAGTGCCTCGAGAGAGGCCTTGGGCACAACAATACCACAGCACGCCACCCAAACAGGATGGATCAAAACAAAGTACAGCGCTACTGTGGTCATCCGTGAGGTCGTGGAGAATTCTCGCAAACCTAAAAAAATGTAATCCGTTCTAACTCATAATGTGCCGAACCTACTTAGTGTAGCGCATCTGGAGATACGGTCACCATAACTTGCATTGAAAGTGTGCTGCATGCTCGCGGTGATCATGTTTTGATACGTATTCACCCTTTGCTACTCCATTATCTTTCCCCAGTGATAATATATTTTTTAGGATGAGTGTGTAAAGTGCGTGGAGATACTGTATGTATTGCAGCGCTATAAAGAAAAGATCCCCAGGCTAAACTAATTTAAATGTTGAACTTTTTTTCGCACCGTACGTAGCCAACCGTGCGGATCACGTATATATGTAATACCAGAGTGGGCTTTCGCTGCCTGTTTGTGTGTACGAGTTGTCTTGCTCTGCAGTTGGCTTTCTCGTTATAGTGCACTGACTGTATGTTTCACGCATACAGGTGTGCAGTACTAGTGGGCAATTAGTAGCAATGCTTTCCCAGTGTCCAACTCGTGTGCCCTTACCCAGAGCTCCATCATGCGCACCGAAGGTTTAATGATAACCAGGATTATTTTGGTCAGCGACCCAGATGATTCTGCACCCGGCCCCACCACATCCAGAATACCTCTCACTGTCTGGGGCTACTAGTTGCATGCCACCTACTGTCGACCGGTGGTCTGGGTACGTTGGAAAATGAAGCTCCGTCAGCACTCGTCGCACTCGTGGACACGACAGTGCACGTACCCACATATGGCAATACGTTAAAAAATATAGCAATGATAATGCGCAGGAAAGTGCGCAACGAAGTACGGTGAGGTGCATGCGTGGAATTTCACCGAGGAAGGATGCATGAATTAGACAACTTATGAAAGTTAAGAGATTTTGTATTGAATGTTCACATAAGGGGGGCTTGGGCAGGTCAGATCAGATCAATATAAAGATTACAACTTTTTATTTTACCATTTAAGGCCCACTGAGCTATACAGCTATTCTTTAAGAAGCGGCCTGGCCAGAAATGATAGCTAAAGGAAGGGACTTATCACGTGGAAATGTATAGCAGCCAAATAATCTAAACGCATGTTTCTAAATGGGGAGTGAAAACCGGAGGACCCGGTGAAAAATCCACGTGGCCACGGAGAGAGAAAACATGCAAACCCCAAATATAGAGGCATCAGGGTCGGGATCGGGATCGAACCCACGACGTCCCACATACCAGGCGAGGCAGTTAACATCTTACCACACCGAGGTGGGGTATTGATAGAGACTGAAGAGTGGGAGCCAAAGAGGGGAACGCCCAAGTGGGCAGCGATGAACGTGGCTGGCGTGCAGGAGTGAGATGATATTGTCTCTTGAGGTCATGAGAGATGGCGATGAGTTTGGGAGGCATCCAGCAGTTGATTGATCATGGCCGATGATGTTGACTCATCACAAAGCTGAACTTTTTCACCGAGCTGACTAGCCACTGAAAGTGTGATTGTTTTTTCCATCATAGAGTAGTAGACCTCAATAATGCCATAGCTCGCACTCTGCAATCGCACGATTGAATGAAATAATTGACGACTTCCTGTAGGTGGCGTGCGGCGTTAGCTGTGGGCTGCAGCGCTTTCCTATGGCGTGTGTGCTGCGTATGAGAGACACCCATATGAAGGGTGTTCAGAAAGTTAATCGGACGAGAAAATACAATTTGGATTTATCATGAGCACACTTCTATCGACTTCAATGCTTGATGAAGACCTCCCCAAGCTGTCATTTCTCACGGTCGTGTGATGCAACTATCTAGCGTCTGGACACGAGCTGCGGTTGCGAGATGTTAACTCCCTCGCCTGATATGCAGTCATCATGGGTTCGATCCCGACCCCTGACGCCTGTTATATATTTGAAGTTTGCGTGGTCTCCCCGTGGTCGAGTGGATATTTCTCCGGGTCCTCTGGTTTTGCCCTCCACATTTAAAAACGTGCGTTTAGAGTATTTGGCAGCTACAAATTGCCACGCGATAAGCCACTTCGTTGAGCTATCATTAGTGGCCAGGTCGCTTCTGAAAAAGAGCTGCATAGCTCCGTGGGCCTTACCTGGTAAAAGAAAATAAAAAGTTTAGTTTAGTCTTGATTTGAAGCTTTCGTGACTGCAGGAATCCATACACTTTGCTTCTTACGGTAAAGTCACGTAGATAGAAAAATAATAGATCACGACGTTTCGATCGCAACACAAGCAACCGTCATCAGGTGAGACCAGCATTTCCCCTGCTGTGTTGGTCTCATCTGATGACGATTACTTGTGTTGCGATCGAAACGTCGTGATATATTATTTTCTACCTACGTGACTTTACCGAAAGAACCAAAGAGTTTAGTTTAGGTCAGAGACGCGTATTGCTGGCCGCCCGTGATTAAGTGTGGCGAGTTGATAGTCTAACTTGGCTGGTCACGATGGGAATGCACATCCAAACAACTTAATCGTATATTCTTTTTTACTTGGTTACATTCCAAAGTTAAATGTAACCATTCGTCTTGAATGTTAGGCGCGTGAGAAAGGGCAGTATAGTGCCAAGTGAGTGGATACAAAAAAAGTCCACTTTAAAGTGGCTTCAGAAGCAGTTCTTCGATACTCGCTTCCGCGCAGCGTTCTGTACCCGCGGCGCGCTGTTGCGCGGATCTGCGAGAGTTACCGCCGAACGCATTCCTTCGTCTCACGACGACGACGATGATGACGAACAGCGTCATTGAATAAGACAGCCTCAGCGAGAAACGCGTGCGGTGGGAAACAAAGCATGCACACGCGTGGATTTGTGTGCCGCTTTCACGACACGCATTTATAATCTTTGTTTTTTTCAACGAGCAGCGTACAAGGTCGGCGTACAGATATGAAGAAGAGCCATTGCCTCAAAAACGTCGCCGATTACAGATATGTAGATGTTTAAGTTTTGTTCTCTTTTTAAATGCGGTGCTGTTGACGGTTCGGTTGGGTTTCAACATGGGTGGAGTTAGCCTGGGGGGGGGGGGGTATGCAGGGCCGGATCATGGTCCCGTGAGGCCCCTGGACACATGTCTTTTGGAGGCCTCCCCCCACCCCCCGCTTTCCTATATTCGTCAACATCTATCCGTCTTCTTAGGTTTTTTCGGTAAAGTCACGTAGGTAAAAAATTTATAAAAGTATTTTTATTTTACTTTTATTAATTTAAATTTTTTACCTACATGACTTTACCGATAAAACGTAAGAATATGAATCCTTGCAGTCACGAAAGCTTAAAATCTAGAATCTATCTGTCTGACAAGGTCTGACTCTATTGACATGATGAGCTGAGATGTGTTTGGCAACATGCTACTCCGCAGCTCATTTTCTATTCTGCCTACAAGGGAAAATATCCGCTCACTCTGGCAGTTTCTCACTGGCAAAGTTAGAACAATCCGAAGTGCCACAAAAACATTGGGGCACACTGACTGCAGAGTAAGTGCCTGCAACGACTCAAGCAATTTAGTTGGGCGCTTCTCACCCTCAGTCAGACATGAAAGACTTGAATTGGATGAGTTCGTTGGCAAAGTTCATGTCCAGGTCTGATGGATATGCAGCGGAGAGTGCATTTACCTTTTCACTCTGACATCACTGTTAGACACCTGATCTGACATAAACAGAACTCCAAAGAGACTGGTAAAACGCTTGTAAGCGTCCAAGCGATGTTCAAGGCATGCCACTAGCTTATCAATGACCACATAAAATGTTTCTATTTTGAACTTCTCCCCCCCCTAAAGTGTCACACCTGGCTCTGAGCTCTCATCTGCAAATGTTTTGCGTTTCCTCTTTCGCTGAAGATCGTGCTTATATGACTGAGAGGCACCCGTCACATTTAAGGCTGCCCTTTCAAAAGTCTCAAACTGGTCTCGCTATCCCGCCACAACGAAGAAAAAAGCTGTGCTGCTACAGAGATGTCAATGTCACTTGTCTGTAGGTGCATGCTTGTAGCGTGGAACCGGTCAAGTATGACGTCCCGGAAATGTGCCATGAACACCATCTCTAAGGTGTCCAATTTAGCACGGAGTCCCATCGGCCTCAATTCGAGTATCTATTTTTTCATTACCATCATTGCACATACCACCGAAGGCCTCTCCAATGTGCCTTGGTTGACTCTGCCCGAGCACTCC